TTAAATAGAAACAAATCAAATCATATAATAAAAATATAAGAAATTCAATTTTAAGTAAAAACTCGTATGAAATCTTCAATCCGGCTTTCCGAAAAAATTATAATTTTCGAACCGAATAATTCTCAACTCTCGACCGATCCCTTTCACTAAACTATTACAAAAAATCACTATAGACGGTCGCAATGATTTCCTTAAAAAAACCTTTTGTCGAAATTTAGTGGCATCGTCTTCAAGCAAAGAATAACGATTCCAGATATTGTATCGCCGGCATCAATCCCAAGATAGATTGGTCGTCTGGACGCGAAACCAATCTCAGATCAGGAATAGAACTCCTGCCCGGCCACGATCTTTTCCGCCACCAATCCTAATCCCCCGGTCAAGAGGGAAACCAACTTGACGTCATGTTTATTCCGAAAGCATCTGACCCCATGGTGCGGTTTCAGCTGGGATTTTTAAGGCATGTTTTAGTCTTTGCGACTTGGGTTTTTTGAGGCATTCGGGCTTCGAGGTCTCTAAGCTCAAGGCCGATGTAGGGTTGAAAGGTCATGGTGTCACGGCTTTGATATGACCCCGGCACCAAACCCGTGCGTTCCGACTATGAAAGCCTAGAGCTGACCCCGTCGTGAAAGATGCGCACGTGCGCGTGCCCGCCCACCCGGCGCATGCACCCCCTTCCCGGTTTGTAGAAAAACTCTCCTCGAGCTTCTGCCTCCGCTGCCCGCCCATGGGCGCAGCCCCTTAAATGGAAAGCGATTCTTCTTTGGAGATAATCGTAAGAGTTATGCGAAACCATTCATGTGTTTGATGAACGTGTTCGGCCGGGCCGGGCCTGGGCCAGCTGATGCTCACAAGGTGCCCCGGTCCGGGACTCGACCCGCTGATTCTCATGATGCCCGTGGGGATGCTCGGAAAAGTGCCGTCAACCGCGGCCCCGGACACCCTTTCAAGAGCAGCAAAATTGATGCTCATGCATGCGCTCTTCTCGGAGCCCAGATGGGCCGGTCCAGCCGGTAGTATTGAAGTTGGGGCATTGGTTGAGGTGGTAGCCCCCATATGTAGCCCCCATATCTAGCCATGCGTTACCTCAAGTTCCGCTGCAACCTACCTTTGGGAGGCTGCCCTGATGGCACCCAGTGTGGGTTTAACCGGCCTAGCGTGCGAGCAACCCGTCCGCAAGGGGCTGCCGGGAGAAACTGCCCAACCACCGTTTGTGGCTGAAAATCCGAGAGCCACATCCGAAAACTTTCCGGAAACCACCAAGCCTGGACATTCACATCTCTGGGTCAGATCGAGGAACCATGTCGACATCTATTTGACTTCATGGACCTCCTTTATCCCAGGAAGCATCTTTCATGCCGTGTCTGCCACAACGAACTGAGTCATCTTCACACTAGCTGCACGTTGGCAACAGCAGAGCTGAAACATGCTGCGCACTGACCACCACTGACAGCAAAGGCCGCTATTGCCATGAGACCACTGAGAATCCACAGGCTGAAGATCAGAAAAGGATGTCGCACGTGCATTGCGAACTTGCAAACAGCGCGCAGTCTGTTTGCGGATTCTTTGTACAAGTTGGGCTGCAGGGAGTGCATAGAAGTCGCGTGTTGCAAGTTGCCGGTCTTCAGCAAACTGCTTCGCAAAAAGAGACCAAGCTACCAGTCGTCTCTTGCGATCAAGTTCCGTGTCTCAACCACATGCGTGCCTCAGAAACCCAGTGATCTCTCCAGCGCCTTAGCACCAGCGGCCGGCACAAGGGGCTTGGCTCCCCGGAGGCCACTTGGGCTGAGGATTGAGGTTTAGGGTTTAGGGTTTAGGGTTTAGGGTTTAGGGTTTAGGGTTTAGGGTTTAGGGTTTAGGGTTTCTTGGACCTGGCTTGGTCTTGGACCTCTGGGCACCGAGCGGAAGGCTCCGGCATCTTGGCGCTGGATGTGATCCATTCCCTTTCGATCCAGGCCCTTCCGGGGGCAGATTTTGAGAGACCGCCCTTCCAGCTTGGCCTATGGTGTTGAGACCGTTTCCGCCAATGATCCCCCCTTTTGTGGGTTCTTCCTCTGGGCAGCTATGAAGTCTTACGGGCAGCTTACGGGTCTTGTTTGCAGGCTTTGGTTTTGGGGGGCTTGGGACGGGGACCAAAGCAAAGTCTCCCCGAAATCCCTAAGGGCCTGCAGCATGGGGTGTGAGAAACTGCACATCTTCTTTATTTCGCATCCAAGTGGAGTTAAAACAAGGAATGGGAAATCACAGAAAGTGTAAAAGCCGTTTGCAGCTCGGAGCTTTCAGAACCCGAAGCTTACATCTTGTCTTTTTTCCTTGTATGGCAGCGACCGAAAAGTTCACGTGTCTGGAGGGGCATGCTGTCCACAGCCCGTCTTCAGGGCCTCGTTCGCTTCATTCACATCTCCGGGGTTGCGAAATGGAAGACTGTTTCATTGTAACTGTGTGTCATATGGCAGGTAAAGAAGGTCTGCGTGCTCCCTGACAGGATCCCACGCGGCCACTCGCATTCGATGTAGCCTGGCTCATACTCCAAAGGAATCTCTCGGATCTTCTCTTGTGTCTGCCAATCGATCAGTTGGATACATTGGTAGAAGGCATCCTCACCGGCATGCTCTCCTGAGAAGAGCAGAAGTCGATCCCCTAAAGACTGGCAGGAGTGGTTGATGTGGCCTTTGGCCACCCATGCAGCCAGCCGTTGAGGCTCCCTTCCTTCTTGCAGCTCACAAACTTCAAAGTTGAACGCCCGTTGCACATCTTGGTTTGGATCTTGGTCACCCAGCCTGGCTATCAGCTGGCCACAGCGATCGAGGCCATCGTGGCCAGATCGAACATGTGAGCCCCTCCCCCGCCCTTTACCTGTTCGGCCGTCGGACTGGTCACCCTCCTGCCAGTCAAAGTTACGCATAGCTGCCACGTAGCCGCCCACGCGAGGATCGCGCCCATCGGCTACAGCTGGGAACTTGAACTTGAAGGGAACGGGAGCACCTTCTGGCTGGAAATGTGCCGAGCGGAGATCCTCCTCCTCAACACGGCAGAGTCGGAACTTCTGCAGCATCCCCTCTTTCAAGCCCTCCATGGCTTCACCCGCAAGCCCCGTAGCCATCAGCACAGTGGCAAGCCCATCTTCGAAGTGGAATGCATGGATAGCCTGACCCTCTGGCAAGGGCAAAGGGATGCGCCTTACGCTGATGTAGCCGCTGCTGGTCTCCGTAGACCCCTCCATTGCGAAGGGCTCATTGGCCCCGATCAACCAGATGTCCGAACGCTCGAAACGGTTGATCTCGTACTTGCCGATAAAATCCTCCAAGGGAGACGCTTCAAGGCTGTTATTGTCGTCGTACCGCCGCCAGGCTGGCCGTGTGGGAAATGCCAAGAGGCGGTCGCGACCCACCTGCTCTACAACGGCGCCCTCACACAGGGGTCCCCCCAAAGGCAGCTTCACGGAGCTCCACACTATCTTGCTCTCACGCCAGAACTCGAGGGCTGGCATCCTCACGACGTCCACAGCCCCACCGTCACCCAGGCCCAAAGCTTCCAGCGTCTCGCTATCGCGCAGAACCCGGGCGCCAAACATCAGGCGCAGGCCGCAGCGCAACTCGGGCGGGCCACCATAGCCGGCTGCTACAGCTGCGCGGCGGAGGCGAGCCACCGGTTCCAGGGGCCCTATGCTCACGGTGGCAATCTCTGCCCCAGAAGCCGCAGCTTTAAGGAGGATGTCCGGCATGGCCGCAAATGCCAAACTTGTCAGCGTTGGTCGGCCAATCTCGGTTTGTGTCCGGACCTATAGAGCCAACAGGTGCGTGATCAGCAAAGCAGCTCAGGACACGCCCCGTCCCAACCTGCATGGTTCACACCCGCCCTCGCCCCTCCAACAGTGGTGCGGGTGCGGATTTTGGCTGCTAGGGCTAGGGCCAGTGTTGGGGTTGAGGGTTGGGGATGTGAACAACGAAACCTAAATCCCGAGCTAACGAGCCAGCCTGTGGAATGTACTGGCGGCTATCTGCGGCTCCCTGCCTCAATCCAAGCATTGTCTGGATGGGGCCGTCACGATACGTCTTGGCAAGCGATGGGGAGCCTGTCATGACAGCACCGTTGCAATACCCCAGGACCAAAAGCTATAGGCCTACGCGGGTGTAGCCGAATTGGGCCCCCCAGTGGCAGAAGTCGGAGGAAACCACCTCGGTCCATGGACGGCGTAATTGATAATGTAATAATAGCAGGCATGATCCTAACTACCAAGAACTGTTTACAACTTGTTACAGCAACTCCAAATCGAGTTTGGTTGGGGCCCTGGCAAACAGGGCTCCCTTCCGCCTCGGACGTAACAAAGGCGGACTGAGGACTGCGGCTGGGCGAAGGCGGCGAAGGGTGGAGAACTTTTTCCACACCTGCTTTGTAATTGTCAATCCGGGGTAAGTATGCCCAGAATCGATTGTTGTATTAATATGTGTAACAGTACATACTCAAAGCTCAATGCCTACCACTAGTTGTGAGGGCGCAGACCCCACGACCTAGCTCCTGCTTAATATGTGTATATATACATATGCATATATTTGATGTGCGTACGTGCATGCGTGGGTGGGTGGGCGGGTGCGTGGGTGGGTGGGTGAGTGGGTGAGTGGGTGGGTGGGTGGGTGAGTGGGTGTGGGCTGGGTGTGGGTGCGGGTGCGGGTGCGTTTGCGGGTGCGTATGCTTTGAACGTTCGATCAAACATTTTTACGCAGTCGGCATGCCCAGGGTCTGGCCTATCGGGGGGGGGGGGGGGGGATGCATGCTTGAGGTTATACGTTTTCTCGTTCCTGACTTGCCTCTCTCATGTCAAGTTTTTGTCGCGGTTGATGTAGTTACGAACATCGGCAATCCAATTTTTCGACGCTAGCAAGCTATGGGATGCTCATCAATGGGTTTGATGCGTCAGGTCGTATTTTCTGTTGCGAATATATTGCCTCTCTCACGTCGTGAGTGTTTTGCGTTTTGTCAGAAGCCTTGCTTTCCATTATGGGGCTACCCGTACGACACACTAACATCGAAAGCCGTTTTCTACCACAGTTTGTCGCAGGGACGAGTGCAGGAGTTTCCAGCTGCTTGTATACAAAATGGAGTTTCCAGCTACTTGTATACAAAATTAAGACAAACTAGCCAACCCCAGGCAGCACAGTTTAACAGTCAACCGGTGCAGGCAGACGAGTCCACAGGACCGACCAGCAGATGGAACCGCAGAAGCATGAGACCAGATGACCCTGAGGACCAGAGCACCATCAAACCACCACAAAAAACACTTAAAATACATCCCCCCCCCCCCCCCCCCGCAGAAAATGTTCCAGAAACTTGGCTAAGCGGTGCCGAAAGCTAACATGTTGTGAGCATACAGTATGCGCTTTTCTGGACAGGCCGGAAGGGGGGGGGTTGTTGGGAATGCCTTGCTTTCATTGCGCAGGCTTTGCCTTCCTTCCTGTTGCACTACGCCGTACTGCGCTGCTCTTGTGGAGGAGTGTGGAGGAGACAGAGAGGAAGGGACGGGGATAGGGAGAGAGAGTGAGAGGGAGGGAAAATGGAGAGAAAGCAGGAGACACGGGTGAACTTGCTTGACCTATTGCAATGTGCAGCAATGCGCAGCAGTGCGCAGCGTGGCCGAGGAGCCAAACGCTCCAAGCCCACCAGGGGTTCTTGGCAGCCTCCTCCCGCGCAGCTTCCAGCCGCGCCGAAAGCGCGAACTTCTCCAGTCTCACGGTGCCTCCATTGCCTCCAAGCTCAAAGCCGGACCCTCTCTTTTGAGCCTCACCACCGACGACGCTGAAGCGCCGCACAAAAATGAGCACAACCAAAATGCGCATACAAATCAGGTGGGACAACCCTGCAACATACGACTTTCGCAAGGTCCCCAGCACGCGTCTCGCAAACTACTTGAAAGCTAGACGGCTGATGTGGCTCAATCTTCCAAGACCCTTGCAGCAAAAGACTTCACACTGGACTTGGGGCCTGGCTCTTGCCAGCAGGACTGCCAACCCGGTGTAGGCCGACCTTCTCACGTGGTAGGGTGCAAAAGAATGCCCTCGGCCTCGGGGCCTCTACAGCCCCAGCCTATCTACCCAAAACTTTATACGAAGCCTAAAGCGAGGTCCGAGCATAGTCCGAGAAACTTCGATCGAGAAACAGGAGCGCCTCAATTGTGGGACTTGTGACTGCGGCCGTGCCTTCCTTAACGCCCTCGCGGCGAGACTACAAGCGATGCACGCGGTTTACAGAGTCTACGAAAAGCGCAGTGAGGAGGCTTTCTGGTGAGCGCGGCGCAACCCGAAAACCTGTAGCGCACCAGCCACCAGAACCCACAACAAAGCATCATGACATGTCGAGGCGGGTGCCCCTGCTGCCTGGGCCTCATTTTGATCAAACGCGCCCTTTCTCTTACTGACGCCGAATCTCTTCTGAAACCCTGGCTTGCCAGCAATTCAAAAGCCGAGCTTCGCCTTGGTGAGCCAGCTGCTTCCGCCACATGTCTTGCACCATCCCCTGCCCCATCCTTTTGCGGGGTCTCGGTTGGATCTCTGGATCTGAAGGCCTACTTCAAGATACACCACGTCCTGGAGTTCTAGCTCTGGGCTTCGATGAATGCACTGAAGGCCGTGGGATGAACTGCCACCCGCTTTTGCTCCCTATACCCTCAAAACGCCCAAGGAGCACCGCAGGGATTTCTAGCCAAACTCCGACACGAACCCTAAGACAGCGTCTCAGTCTTCGACCACGTAGTCAGCGTTCGGGACGAGACCAAGGAAGCGTTCGACCAAGGACAGTCCGTTACAGAAACTTCTTCATTCATCCGGCGTCAAAACCCTGTGCACAAAAGGTCCAGAGTCTGAGCAGCCGGAGACGAACCGGGTCAGAACGGATCAGGGCCCGGCTACCGGATGCCAGACGAATCCCGAGAGAATGCGGAGAAAGCGGAGTGGCTCAACATTCTTTCGAGTAGCATTTGGCCCTCTCAGGGATGAACACGACCCGCTCAGCCAAATCCGGCCGAAGCAGCACCTTGTAACCAACAATTGGGAATCCTTCTCGCAGTGCTTCAGCCACGAAGCTGAGGGTCGTCGAAAGCTTCCTCTCACTTGCCGCAACAGACCGGAGACTTCACTCAAACACATCAGGTTTCACAGTGATTTCACATGAGCTTGCACAAACGAGACAAACAAGCCACAATGCCGAGATTGGCCACTGAGCCCCCACAAATCGAAAGCCATGCGTAATTGGAGCTGGGGAAGCCCCAAGATGCAATGCGCGTCTACCAAGAGGACCAGCGAGCCAACATGCAACCATTCATCAAGTGTGACACTCTGAGACTCTGAGACGTTGATGGCATCCGATAGTCGCCTAAACCCTAAACCCTAAACCCTAAACCCTAAACCCTAAACCCTAAACCCTAAACACTAAACTTTAAACACTAAACACTAATACCTGCAAAGCGGTCGGTGCTCGGGCCTCGTTGGACGTGCTGGGGCAGCCCTTCACCTTGGGGCGATCTGGGAAGCTGAACAGACATACTGGTGACTGGTGGGCATTTCCGAAAATAGGTACCCCTTCCATACCCGCAGATAGAGTAGAAGCCCCTTAAAGGGACTTCCCAAAAAAGGTACCACTTTTTTCGGAAAACCCTTGGTGGGACTGGTGGCCAGGTAGGCAGGGACCGATTCCATTCCCATCTGCCCGGCATGAGATGGAGAAGCGGTTGTGTGAGAATCTGAAAATCGGAAGCCAAACTTCTAACAAACGGCGGGCTAGCCCTTGTATAGTGAGGCGAATCCTCACAACTTTCAGCCTTCTGGTACCTGACAAGGTGACCTCTCTGCTCTCTGCTCGACAAGGGTCAAGGTTTGGCTTTTTTGAATCGAACACCTTGTAAAGTCCAAGCGACTGTACAAGGCACGCCGAAGGTGGCGATGGAAGACGATCTTGAAGTACAAGGCACGCCCAAGGTGGCGATGGAACACGATCTTGAAGTAAACGAACTTACTTCGAGGGGTCAGCTTGGCTGAAAGGGTGCGAGCGTTCACGTGGCCCTGAGCCGAACGCTAATGGCGACGGGCTCTTCGGGCTGGTTGCCTACCGTGGTCATGGTCTCGATCAGTGGTCGCCTGTCCCACTTCTCGAGTACGAACCGATGAACCACCTTGGCAATGGCGAGGCGCGCCTCATAATCCGCAAGCCGCATTCCCACGCAAATGCGGGGTCCGTAGCCATATGGGAGTGCATCGAAGGGTGGATGTCTGTTCAGGCCCTCGGGCCCCAACCACCGCGATGGACGGAAGTCATGCAAGTCATCACCAAGTTCCTTCTTGACTTCTGGATCATTCCTCAAGATACTCCGCAAGGCGAGGAAAATCGTGGTTCCCTCCGGCAGCTTGCGACCTGCCAGGGTCACAGGCTCCGTCGCTTCCAGATCCATGAAGGTCAGCGGTCCGTGACAGCGAAGCGTCTCCAACCACAGCGCCTGCAGCAAAGGAAAGGAGTCCAGCTGTGCAGAAGAGACCTGGGGGGGATTTCCGAAACTAGGGGAACCCTTTTTGGGAGGTTCCTATAATTCAGGATCTAGTTTTTGGGGGTCAAAGAAGGGGTACAGTACCCCTATTTTCGTAAACCCCCACCTCATGATCTGGAAGTGACCGCACTTCCTCTGCGACTTTTGTCTGAAGCTCCTGATCCCGAGCCAGGTGGTAGAAGGCCCAACATGTGGTGAGGCTTGTCGTGTCTGTGCCCGCTACGAAAAGGCCAGCTACGTTTTCAAGCAGCTCTTTGTGAGTAAACCTGTCGCCATCCATGTCCATCAACTTCTGTGCAATGCTTTTCCTGCTGCGGCTCGCATTGTTCAGAACCTCCTCAGAGCGCCGGTCAAAGCGTCCGGATATTTCTGCACCATTGTCGATGAGCCAACCCAGCCCCGGAATCTTCCAGTAGGGTATCGGCGAGAAGTACCGCAATTGCACAGCCTGAAATAGCCGCTTGATATCAGAGGTGATCTCATCGTTGCGAGTCGCAAGCAATTGCAACTCTTGGCCCAGAGCTGTCTTGCAAACCACTTCTGCGCTGTACAAGGGCAGAAGAGCCGAGAAGTCCACCTTTCCCTTGGAGGCATCCTTGTCGATCTCCAGCAAAAGCTGCTGCGCGACCTCCTCAATGGCTCCAACGTGGCTTTCCACACTCTTGGAGTTGAAGAAAGGGGCCAGCACGCGCCGCTCGCGCTTCCAGCGCTCCCCCTCCGAAGTGAACAGGAAGGCAAAGATGTCTGAGGCGTTTTGAATCTTCGAACCTCGCGTTACCTTAAAGGGCCTTCGGGATAGGACGTGATGTGCTTGCTCCCAAGAACACACAACGACGGAACGGGACCCAGCAAGGTTCATCTCGAAGACCCCCTCTTGACCGTACATGAGCGACCACTCCTCGATCTTCTGAGTGATGAACTTCGCCCCCGGGCCAAGTTGCGATAAAACGCCGAGCAACCAATGGCCAGGAACCTGTCGGAAACGCTCGACTTTCGCACTCCGAAGCCAGCGGATCGCCAGCAGTGATACTCCAGCTCCAGCCAAGGCGGCTGCAAGCACCGTTCGGCGCTCTGCGAGTGTCTGCATGACTTCCGAGGGTGCTACTGCCAGTATCTGCCGGTGAGTGAGCCGCCAGCTGCGGTTCAAATGCACCCCGAAGGTGGACGGCATTGAACATCATTGAACAAGTATTGAACAAGGGTTCCGTGATCGTGTGTTTGCATCACGGCGTGAAATTCTAGAAAATGAGCCCGACGCCGTGAGAGCGCCAGTCGTGATGGCTTATCGACCTGATCAAGCTTGCCTAAATGGCTCTCAACGCCTTGGAGCGAGGGCATTGAGCTCATGTTTCTAAATCTCGGGCGCCTCGATCCAGAATGTGTCAGCTTCTACGTCGGGGCATCACATCACGTTGCTGCAGCAGGAAGTCGGCCGCCTGGCTACACGTTGCATCTGCTGCTCTGGGATTGGTGAGCTGGGCGAAAGGTGTGAACAGGAAGATGCTGCACATGGATCCTGCCTGCTTTGCCATGAAGATGCGAGCAGCACTACAGCAGCATGAGCACTGCCGCGACCATGTGCTTGCATGTGGCCATGGCCACCTACTGCTCGCCTTGAGAAAGTGTGAGAGTTTGCTTTGCCTTGAAGATGCTCCTCATCTTACTCTCTGTCGGGTGAATTCTGCCCTTGCGCTGCCTGGAAGCCTCGCATCCTTAAGCATGACAGGTCCGCCGCAAACCCCTCGGACTGCTTCATTGCACAGCCTTGAACCCATAGACTCGTGGACCACGGACGAAGACTTTTGAACAACTTTCACGGCTCTCACAAATCCAAGAAAGTACCAACAATATATTTTATCTTCAAAACGAAAATTTGAATGATCCTCAAGTCATTGAATCCAACGATGTGAAATCAGACAAACCAAGAGAACCTAATGGCCAGAGATAAAGAGAAAAGACAAAAAGAGAGAGAGAGAGAGAGAGAGAGAGAGACGAAAGGAGATAGAGAGATAGATCGACAGACAGAGATAAAGATAAATACAAATTCAGACAGAGACAGAGACAAAAACGGGAACTGTCATGAGTCATGATTCCCGGACCATTCAGATTTAAGGGAACTGGGCACGACTAAAAACAAGCGTCTGCAAAAGACCGTAGCTTACCCTGAGACCCTGAGCCCTGGCTTTCCCGTTTTCATCCAATTGCTCCGGCCCAGAGTCGATGACGATCGCCCTGGAATGCAATGAGCTGCACAGGGCCAAACCGGAAGCCACACGAAGCAACTCATCCCCTTGGCTTCGCACGGCTCATCTTCCTCCTGAGCTGGTGGAAAGACCTGCAGGCGAAGAGAATATAAAAGCAGTGTTGCAGCGCATTCCCTACTGCTGTCGTGACTTTCATGCAAATCAGAAGAGCGTTTCACTTCGTCCATCTTTGGACATCTCATCTTCTTGCAGGGTGCAGTCAGGAAGGGCCCGAAAGTTCCGAAAGCGCGGCGCCACAAGATCGAGGTGCATCTGAAAGTGCGGCTGACAGGAATCCGAGTGCTGAGACAATGTTCAGACTTCCCGTGGCGCAGAGATTGTCCTTCGCGTTCGAAGGATTTGCAGGGCACTCAGTTGCCAAGATGCCCACGAAACCACCGATGCTTGTTAAGGCTGCAATCACAGCTGAGATGTCCATGCTGCAGCCCATCTTGAAATTGTCAGCTGTGGCGGTGTTTCCATCAGCAAGGGGACACTCAACGGTTCCAGCAGTGATGAAGACACCCACCGCTGCCGCAAAACCCACCAGGCCGGCAACGTCAAAGCCGCACTTTACCTCCTTGTCTTTTCGATTCTTGGCCTGTCAAAGGCATCAAGGGGAAGCTGATCGTGGATTCAGCATGGGACCATCACGAACATGTATTTATGAAGCACCTGAAGAATCCTAGCATGCTGGACACCTGTGAACCGGCTGCAATCCGGAACGTAGCCATGTGCTTCGTTGGCCACGAGTGAAAAGTTAAAGCATCACGTGGCGAGTCGGGAGCCTGGAAGACTACTCAAGATCATTCCTGCTTACTTGCGTCTCGCACTTTATGCGCTCGAGAAACGATTTGGGGTGTGGGTTGGGGGCTCAAAGGCTGAATCAAGGCTCCCCCCCGCCTCCCCCCCCCCTACCCTCCCCCCTCTCCCCCCCCTCTCGCCCCCCCTTCCTTTCCCCACACACCTTTAAGTCTCGTTGTCGAAGGGTTGGAAGCTTTGAGTCTCGTTGCCGAAGGGTTGGAAGATTTTGAAGGGTTGCTGCGATCCTACTTCCTGTCCGGAGATCCGTCGGAGATCCCACCTGGGATTCCAGGAGCCTGGTGGAATCATTGGTTTCAAGATGACCTCTCAGGGATAATCCGCCAGGCGGAACCCGCCCGAAAAAAGCCAGAGGCGGATGAACAAGACGAAGGAGGCGAGCAGCGAGGTAGGTGGTTTCAGGCGTTTGTCCGTGGCATCTACTCGAGTCTATGGAAACCGAGGAGACAGAACCTTGCAACCACAAACCAAGACAGCCACGACATCGTGCCTTGCGCTGCTCCCGTCTTATCTTCACAAACTCCTTGTTATTGAGGATGAAGCCACCAATCGGTCCAAGTGAAGGAAGGCGAGACAGAACCTGTTCTGTTTTGTGCGACCCAGATACATAAGATACACCAATGCTCCGCCGAAGTTGATTAAATTAAGTAGACCTTACCTAGTACAATCCGAGGAGCGATCTGGCGAGCATCGTCGAGCTTCGACTCTGCCACCGGGTTTTTCTCAATGGCGTCCTTAATGCTCAGCCGCCTGGTTAATCCACCCACGATGTCGATTGCAGACGCATCAACCACACCTGCCACCACCAGCGGGTCAGGATCAATTATTCCTGGGTATGGAGGGCACGTGGCCTGAGCAGTCTCAGCCCCAGCGGCCAAATACGACACGCCAGAAGAAATAAGACTCATGGCAGCTGCGCATTGAGCACCTGGGGGTTTCCGACTTTTAGGGGGTTCCTTATATTTGGTCCTTTCATTTCTCGGGAATCCTAGACTATTTGGGGGCCTCTATCAGGGGTCCCTTTTGTTCGTAAACCCCCACCTGGATTTGGGGGAAGCTTCACTGACATGGCGCAGTCGGAAGCGGCGCGGGCCAGGAAGGCAGCAATGAAACTGAAAAGGGCGACGCTCGACTCGACACCGATGCGACAACCCTGGTCCAGTAACCTCATGAGCGCTTGCTTCTTCCTCTCGTCTAGGAGGTCAATCTTGAGCAAGTCTTCGATGCGATCCAGCGTCACGAACTTGCGAAAGTTGCTCTTGCGCTCACAAGCCTTAACCGCTCCATTGACAACGTTGCCAACGATTCCGATGAAGGACGCCACTAGGTACACATCCACTGTGCAAGTAGCAATGGGCAGAGCAAGGGGGTTCTGCGTCATGTCCTGAAGATGCCTTTTGATCGCGAAGATATCCTTGGCAAACGTGCTGTTGGCATGGTCCATGCTTGGAGCGACGTCGTCCTCGAAAAGCTCGAGCAGCTGCTGCACTCCCATATCATCTGCCTATACTCCCCTTAAAACCTTAATAAACACGATATCTTTAAAAATCTCCTCTTGGGTTTTATATAAACAAAAACAAGAAAACAATTCCCAAGGGGGATATAGCTGCCACCTGAAGAGATGACTCCGACACCTTCGGGATTGCCGCGGTGGTGTCCTTTTGAAACTGCAGCACAGCCACCCACAAGAGGCCGACGAAGGCCAGAGCCGCAAAACCCATGCCCAGCCTACGAGCGGGAAGCCCTAACACAAATGGCTTGGAGGTCTCAGACTCCCAAGGCACCTCGGGCACTTCGCATAGCGCTGCCTCTTCAAAGGCTGCGTCTAAGTCCACTGCTTGCTTTGAGAGCGGACTGAGTGTGCCCTGCGACACTTTGGCCATGGCTCGGGTCACTCGGGTCTACTGCTCCAGAATTTAGGGAAGCCTTGACCTTCGAGCTGCGGACAACGGCGAGACACAAACCGAGAATCGAGAGCGTACATGCAGTGAAAGCTCGTGGGGTTCGTGTGGTGTGCAAAGGAGGCCCTGACAGCTGGCTGGCCTCTTGCTGTTTGTCTTCGGGGCCTTCACTTACCTCAGCTCCACGACAACGGCCTTGGCACTTATGATCTGAGAGGACAAAAGGCATGACTGGTTTGATCAGGGCACATCCGCGCTGGAAGTGGTCAGGTTGGTGCGGGCCTCAGCATCTTCCAGCGTCTTCCATCACATGCCCATCACAGCACTGCGCAGAATGCTTGCAGAGCCGGTGGTTCTGAAACTGAACATGCATTGCACGGGCTCCAAGCAACCTTCTCATCTCGAACCGGGGCGCGCCAGCCTAAACTGACATGCAAAGAATGGGGGCTGTCTGGCAATGCACCGCCAGCACATTTGCACCATGTTGTGAGCCCACGGGAAGCTAAGATTTCTGCGAACATGGCTGCTCTCTGCCTGGCAGTTGGAGGCATTCTTGAAATGTTGATGTACAGTCATTCCGAGAGCTTCCGAGGCATGGCAGCGTCGATCAAGGTTCACGTTGCACGCTCTCATGCATGGACGTGCCTCCTCCTGGCCGACCCGGGTTATCTCACCTATGCAGTCGTAGCCAAGTGCAGAAGTGCAGAAGTGCAGAACGAAGTGGTCGCTCTGCGCAACGTCTTCGGGATTATCCCAAGATGCCTCTGTCCGAGCTCCCCCTGAGAGGCGGCATCGCGGGCCGCTGATTTCTGGCTGGGCCTTGACAAGGGCAATGGCAATGGCAACCCTGAACCAAACTGACAGACCGCCCCGTCCTTGGAAGCTCGGCTGTTGGCTGCTTCTGGCAGACTTGAAGCCAAGCCCCTGGACGCAGGAAAGTACTACGATGGAGTTCGCAATATCGAGACCCGGCCCAGCACTCAGGGTTAACTTTGCTCTCAAGTTTTGCCAGCAGCCCAGTTGGACATACAAGGCTGCAAAAATCAGGGAGATCTGCCAATCTGAGAAGAGCTCGGAGCGCCAGCATGTGCATATATCTGCAACAATATTTCCCCCCCCCCCCCTCCCCTGCCCTCCCCGCGATGGTTTGGGGTTTAATGGTCTGGAAAGATCATACTCGCCTTCCTTCGCCCAAGGGAACATACCCCCCCAACACATGGTAACTCGTCTCGAAAAAGTTCGGCATGATCGAACGACCCAGAGAGCCCAAATACCCCTTAGTCAAGGAATATACTCGTTAAAATTATGTCGGGAGCCTTGATGGAATTTCTGGTATATTCCGTATTTAAGGGGTATTGGGCTCTTGGGGGACAAAGCTTGAGTTTGCAACCATGGCTCAAGGCTCGCTCCAAGCAAGCTCTGAACAACAAAGACCCGTTCTTGTCGGAGTTGAGTCCGGGGTAACCGCGATTTTTGAAAAAGCAAGAACTGCTACAATCTTGCATACAAATCCTGGCGCAGGACCGGTTTTGCGCCAATCCTAAAACTGAACCCTGCGCTATGCTCTCGCAGATTAACTGGGGATCATGAGTGCACAGCAGCTCAGCAAGTTGGATGCTGTCGAAACGTTCATAAATTTCGCTTCAGCTGACCCTTACGTTCTGTGTGAGTGACGTGTAGACTACAGTGTAGACGCGACATCCCTCCGAGAGGCTCGCCCTCTGAGGCTTGGCATCTGTGAGCTGGATGGCCTCTCGCTGCGAAGCGTAGAAAAAGCCTTGGGCTTCAAGGGGCTCTTTCCCGAAACCCTAAACCCTAAACCCTAAACCCGGCGTGGACTGGGCAAGCCATGACTTGCTGAAGAACTCTCGAACAATCTAAACACATGCTCCGATTGACAGTTCGGGCGAGTCAAACTTGTGCATCAGAAGCCTCCTTGTGTCCGACAAGTATCTGTCGGAGACTTACCATATCTCAAAATTATGGTTCACGCGGCTTGATATTCCGTGCATTCATGTCAGTACCAATAAGCACATTCACTGAAGGATTAGCAATGTACCTCTCTTCAGAACATTTTGACATTCGTTGTAGTTGTTTAACTTCCATCTGGGAATCGATTCAACTCAATCGATTAGATTTTTCTTGCATGCAGAGATGGCAGGTGGCATTCTGAGTCTGATGCTCATTGATCCAAACACAGCCACCAAGGCCAAATTCTTCACCACGAAGTCCTGCATCACAAGTCTGCTCCCAAGCCTTACATGCGGTTGCAACACGAGGAGCTTGAGACTCGTGACTCTATCGAAGAGAGGCGTGCCTGACTGCTGCCCTGTCTGCTCGCCATGAGCAAGCTGCTCTAAGCCCTTGCCTACGTGGGCAGTGTCCGAGGTGAGGCTACTCTGAGCAGGAATGTGAGGCAATGATCGGTGCAGATCGCGCAGAGTCAGCGAGAGAGTGAAGGCTAAGTCTGTGGCTGACTTGTATCCAGGCTGTGGTGCTCAAATGAGTTATGAAACTCCTGGCTGCTTGTCAGCACTTCGTCGCGGCCCAATGGAGCTGAAACATCTTGGAGCAGAAAGCCTCTCTGCGCCACTCTTGTGCGAATCTGCTTGGGTCGCACTGGCAGTTTTCTCTGCTTTTTCCTGCTTGTGTTCAAAGAGGCCTCTCAGACGGGTCCAAGTCGCCGAGAGGTGTCCTGTACCAGGAGGGCCGCGTAACATCACGTGTATTGCAACTCCGAAGCATCTTCCGCAGCTTCTGTAGTGCATCAGAATTTCTATCCCGAATTTCTATCCATGCCTGTCAGAGTGGGCCAGTCCTCTTCGGTCTCATTTTCGACGAGTTGTGGGAAGCGCATGAAGCGCCGAGCGACCGACTCGGCACGCGACCCGAATCTCTTCCCAGATGGCGAGTAAGTGAGGCTACAGGTATGTACAGTGTTTCCAGCCGTCTAGCTTGCTTGGTCAGCCTTGTGCGATTCTGGCATGACACGGACATGGCATCGCTATGGTTCGTGAATTTCCTGAGAGGCTAGGTTGAGCAACGCTGAGCTGCCGGCATCCGTCAGCTCGCGGGCGTCAACGATTTCGTCCGCAACATTTCGGGTCCCAAAATATCCCGGACCACAGACCTTTCCATGGAAAGCGACACGCACCACTCGACCTAGCACCCAAGTTCCAAGGTAAGGCCAAGCGTTGCTTGTCAGGCCTGAAGCCACGGAAGCCGGCGTCGCCGCGCGGCGTTGAAGTCCTGCGCTGACTACGACTCATACAGAGGCGTTTCTCATCCAGAGAATGTGAAACATCAAGACCTTCCAGATCCCAGGTGGCATTCTGGGTCGGGGGTCCCTTTCGTAACCTGTAGGTGCTGATGTGGAAGCTCAGGTCCTCCACTAACTTGTGGTGGCCGACTCTGTACTGAGGAACTGCCTTGATTTGAAGCCCAGTGCTAACAAGGGCAACTCGGCCATGTGATTGGAACATGTTGAGAAAAACTTGCCGACGAGCGATGGCTATCGCCTGCTCTGATCAAGCTGAAGAGCCACTGGTGAAGAAACCCTGAGACCGGGACTTGGTGCCAGAGCTTCACATTGACGTCCGATGGCCTAAAGCCACATGGTGTCATAAACAAATGTCAGAGTGGACCACACAAAGACTCTGGCAATGATGCCTCCGCAGGGCTGCTCAAGTCGCTTCAATTTCAAGAGGGTCCAAACACCGGGATCAGGAGGCACGAGCCCGCTCGTCACTGAACCGAGGATGCTGCTGCTCTTCCACCCCCAGCTGTTGCTTCACCGCACCCAGGGCGTTGGTGGCCATGGCATCCTCTGAGAAGCCTGAGCTGCACCCACTTCTGCCGGACATTCCTGGACCCAGTCAGGTTGCTGCCAAAGCATATCACAGCAGATGCCTTGCCCACTCTCTTCAGCAAGATGGCCATCGAAGTACCTCCGTGGAGAAGCAAGGACGTGACGACATGCGCAAGCATGGCTCGAAATGGCAACGTCTGCAGTCTGCAGCGTTTTCTGCACGAATGCAGCAGGGCCACAGCGTCATCCTAGCTCCCGAGTTTGCTTCTCCTGCAATGCCAGTGGGCCCGTGCCCCCGTGTGCAGACTGAAAGCCTAAGAACGCATCGGGTGCCTTGCTCTGGAAACACTTGGGAGTCCCAGGACATGGCCAGCATGGACCTTCGAAGAGATGTCGTGGAAGAGATTTGTATTGTCAGACATCCGGCTGTCTCAGAAGCTATTGGATGCCATACAAGGACGTCGTCTTTCTTCCATGCAGGAAAGAAAGGCAGGGGCTTCTGCTCGGGGTGGATGCTTTTGCCTTCAACTTAGGTGCGGCCTTTGCCTCCCTCTTCGCTTTTTCCCCTTTGACTCTCGGCTTCGCCTTACTGTTCGCCTCTGCCTTCGCTTTTTGGCCAGGGCCAAGGGTTTAGGGATGGTTTAGGGTTTAGGTTTAGGGTTGTAAGCCGTGGCAGCGCGATGCAGGCAGACTCTCTTTTCTTGCAACGTTCGGCGCTATCGTGGGGCAGCTTGTGCATCAGGGCGCGCAAGTGGGTTCTCACGGCTGATGCCATAGTCACCAGCGTTCAGGAAGGGCACCTGAGGGGTGCGGCTGTCATGTGGGACTTTCTTAGCTCTTCAAAATTAGGTCTCCTTGAATCAGGTCTTGCGCACTCCCTACTAGCAGGACTTCCTTGAGAACTGCGTGCTGCAAGAACCGCATCTGACCTTTGCCCCAATTTCAGTAACCATCATTTCTTTGAGGCCATTCAGCTCAGAAGCCAAGCACAGAGCGGCGGGCTGCGCATAGTATGCGACCCTGTCCTGCCCGAGGTTGAAAGGAAATAGTAGTACTCCGAACAGCACGCTTTGCTGTTATTCCAGATGGCAGTGTAAAGCCAGTCCACTGCACCGAAGGTCAGCGCACCGATGGTTCCACCTGTCAGCTTTGCAGAGCAAGTGCTTTTGCAGGGCGGTTGTCTTGGGAAAGGCTGTCAGATGCTGTCGGCATACAGGGTGAGATGGGGCCGAGTATGCGAACATCTGATCTGCCATGCTTACCAGCCCGACGATTGTCGAAGCGCTGCCTGACACTTACTCTGCTCCAGAGACGTTCTTCATCCACAACTCGCGCAAAAAGATCCGCTGCGCCGTGCAACAAGTCTTACACAACTACTGCAGTAGCATCCCACATCCCTGCTGCACGAGGTATCCAGGAGCCTGTGTGCTTGCCATATCCTTGCTCTACCTGACAGAAATCAGGACATGCTTCAACCTGCGGCTCATATGCTACGAATCGCCTTGGCATGTTCACAGGTCAATGGCAACAAGCACGACAACAGCAACAACGAGCGTTTTGTACTAGTACCACCCTCGGTGCGGGGTTGTCCTGTTTTTGCCTCAGCTATTCTCCTCTCTCTTCTGCTCCTCACCCGGGTGTTCCAAAATCCCTGGAGTGCGTAATGACTCCCAGAGAATCACCCAGAGACTCTTGCAGAGTAACTTTGAGTATCCTTGTTCTGACCACACTCCCAAGAAATTCCCGCGGAGTGCTCCCCTGGAGTGCCCACCTTGCTATGTTCATCCCACAGTGCCACCTGCAACTTCTCCGGAGGGGATGCTCAAATTATCTTTCTTGTTGCTGGGCAGGGGAGAGGGGTAGTCAAGGGCTCCTTTTCGGACTGCCCGGGTTGGGCAGGAGGTTGTGACCCTCCTTCACCTGAGTCCACCCTTTGTTCCAGTCATTTGGTTCCCTTTGGCTCGGCCTTGCGCGGGCCGACGCAACTGCTCTCCCGTGTGAGCCCCTGCATTGGATGCTCTGGTAGCTGCAGCCGACATGCCTTGTTCCCTTCGCAGCGCCCTGAGTTTTTTGGGAGTGAGTGCTTGCTGTCGGCGTTCAGTTGCCGTGTAATTAGGATGTTTCTTCCTAGTTGGGACTTGTATCGCTTTATGTCTCGGTTTTGCTCCAGCCGAAATGCTGGAGTTGGGCCCGCAGGAAACCTTGATCGCCCGTCAGATCCTCCGAGCCACTTGACAGTTCCGGCAACCGCAGCAACAACAGCGACAGCAACCAGGAACGACATGCTTACTAAGGCACATTGATGACCCAAAGAGCCCAATACCCCTTAAATAAGGAATATACCTTAAATCACATTAAGGATCCCTATATAATTTAAGGTATATTCCTAAATTAAGGGGTATTGGGCTCTCTGGGGACAGTGTGCAATAAAGGATCTGCATATGTTGCACAGCAGTTGCTGAGAAGCGGCCCTTGACGCGAAGAACTGGTCGGTTGCCAGGCCGAGCTCGACGCCCTCATCGATCAATTTCCTGGGTCTGTACTAGGAGTTCGTCTCGGCCACGCTCGTAAAAGGTTCATAGTTGGCCATGCGTCTCAATTCCTGGTGGAAGGGAATGTGTTGCGCTGCGCACCTGCAAAGGGAAACTCGACCCTTCCGAGACGGAACCGCGAGATTCTCAGAGCGTCAAGCTGGTACTAGTACAAGAAGATGGCATGGGAGGCCTCGCTGATGAAAGCGTCATCACGGAACTGCGCGCACACCTCAAAGTGCCACATCGCTATGGGGCAGCGCGTGTGCTGTGCTACCCTTGCTGTCACGCCCAGTCAGGCCAGTTGCAATGGCAAAGCAGACTTGGCGGCCATCAGCATCCTCCTCAATGCCGCCCTCGAAAGCAATGCAGAAGTCAGCCCGCGCACCTTCCGCCTTCCAAGGTTTCTGCGGCTGAGAGTGATGTTGCTGCGAAGTATCCCTCTATCCCTCTTACTCTCTTGTCACTTTCTTTCTCTCCGTCTTAACTCCTTTCCTGGAGGTCTGAGATACTCCCGTGCACATCCCGCGCACCGTCTCTCTTGCAGAGCGCAATCGCTGCAGCGCGCCCCGCCGGGTCTCCTCGACCCCTCTCGGCTGTGCAGAAACGCCCGAGTCGGCATCGACCTCAAGTGTCTGTGAGTATCCTAAACAGGCCGCACACCTATCAGACAGAGATGGCAACCAATCGCAGCAACAGCGACCCACTATGACCCACTCACAGTTCAATCTTGTGCTGACGAATGTGCGAGGACTTCCCTAGAAAACTGGAAAACAACACTACTAACGACATGCACAAGGTGTTCGGCCTGAATGGGCCCTTCCCCCCGATCATAATTTCAATGAACGCTTGACTCCGGGGGCCTGTGGCCATCTGTGACCCACCAAGAGAATTTGTAATTCACAACGACGCAAGTCTCCGTTTGAGGAGCTAGCTTTCGTGATGACAGCCCACTGCCGCGTTCATTCAAGGCCGAAGGAGGTTCACCAAACCGGATGTGGTGCAGATGTTCACAGGATTCATATGTGCGAGTTGTTTGGGGGTTCATCGTCTCATTCCTGGCGGTGCTCTCAAACCTCAACCCCAACAAGCACGTCACCAGTTTCTATTGCCTGGTGTGCTGAAACGTCCGACACTTCCGTGTACTGAGTTGAAATCCTGCAGTCTTTCTGAAGGTGCCTTTACTTTGTGGCAGGGTGCTTGTCAGTGAGCGGTGCAGCAGTGTAACAACACGCTAAAGCCTAAGACCTCAACCTGAACCAACACACATGCCGCCGAAAAGCTCCGCACAGCTGCAGAGGCTTATCCGTGACCTGCTCGAAGCCTCTTCGTGCTGCCTGCGATTCCACGCATTTCCCACAATTAGGGACTTTTCTTATATATGCCCCAAATATACCTGTAATGTGCACCTGTTTTTTGGACCTTCCCAAAAACACAAACCAAATTCAAACTTTCAAAAACCCCCACATGGAAGCTTGAAACGGCTTGAGGCTGCTTGGAGCACACAATGCAATTCAACCACATTGAGCATCAACTTTTCTGCGCGTTCCAGCCTCCAGCTTTGGGGCACTGCGGCTTCCTACAACGACGGAGATTTCGGCCATGTCTGCGGCGCCAGATTCTGCTGGGCTAAGCTCTCTGCTTTTGATTTCTTGCTTCTGCAGACCCATGTTTTACGTTGACTTTAGTGACTTTCTCGACAATGCCAAACCCTGAATTCTAACCTGGGCTTGCTGAACGTTGAGCAAGTTGAGTTTCTAATAGGTCTAGGCGAATGGATGCATGGATGCAACCCCTCAGGCTCAAGCAGCTAAAGCAGCTAAAGCTGACTCGCGCAAGGTACTTTCCTTGTGCCTCGCCCACAACCTTGTAGACTTGTAAACGTAAACCTAAACCCTAAACCCTCCGCTTGAGTACAGGTCATGGGCAAAGGCAGAGCCAAATGTGATACGGTGACGGCTCCACTCCCAGCAGCGTCGTGCCATTCCTATGCCAGTTGCTCCACGAAGACTCAAATACTGAGAAACTGAGAATTGCTCCCTTGGTTTTCGTCGGAGCCGATGAAGTAGCCAGCGCCCCTCAAGCGCTTCTCCTCTGCTTCAAAGGGTTGGGGAGGTGCGAGCGGAAGAAATGATTGTATTTCATTGGGGTGTTGGCCATGTATGTCGTTGTGTTGGTACAACTGCTGGCGCATGATACAGCCACCTTGGAGCATGCCAAAAAATCCGGCAAGCATTGCAAAGCTCCTTCAGCACGTCCTTGTCATAGGAGATGTTGACGACCGCAACTGACTGGCAGTGCAGAAGTCAAGCTACAGCCACCTACAGCTTCTGAGTGAGAATGATGCGCGACTGGCGCAGTGTGCGCCTAGCAAGCATAAAGCTGAATGCCCAGCTACAACGTGAAACGGGATGCTTTCCTTGCAGCAAGGTGGGCCTTGTGCTGGATGCTGGCTAACTGTCTCCAGGTTGGCTCATCCTGACCATCAAATCAGATCAACATTCTGGGCATGATGATCTGAATCTTCCGGCAATGTCATGGATTATCACATGAGGTGCCCTGGAAGCTGAGAATGAAGCTGGAGAGTCTTCTGTAAGACCTCACACCAGCAGCTGACGTGGCGCCAGTTGCTGCAAACGCCGTAGTTGCTGCCAAGCTTGACGCAACCGTCCCCAGCATGGGCCTCCAAAGTACTTCTAGTGGCCATACTGGCAACCAGAAGTACTTTGAAGCCCAGCCACAGCCCATGCTGGAGACGACTTAAATGAGGAAGTTCCTTATGGAGACGACATGAGACGACTTAAATGAGGAAGTTCGTTGAGTGCTGACACAACTGTGGATCCACTTCAGCGGGTCGCAACTTACTGTTGGCAGCTTGAGCTCGCTTCTCGAAGTGTGCATGTCATGCTTGCGAAAGCTATGCAAGTCTTCTCTGTGTTCCATGTGTATCGTGTGATCCACAAAAGGAGTCCGGGTCAAAACCTTCACGGTGCATGTCAGGCTTCTGGTAGCATTGGTTGTGTTTTCACAGCCAACATTCAGTCAGCCACTGTAACGTTGATGACCTGATGGAAATGTTGACTGAGCGTTGACTGTGAAAGCACAGCCAACGCTAGTGGTACCAAAAGACTGACATGTACTTTGAAGGCTTTGACTCAGATTCCTTTTGTGGATCACGCGATGCACGTGGGGCGACACAGAGAAGGTTTGCGAGGCCTCCGCAAGCATGACATGCAAAATCGATTTGCATGGCCCCTCCGCCAAAATTGAGAAGCGAAATCTAGCTGTCAACAGCGAGGTGCAACTCACTTCAGTGGATCCACATTTGTGTCAGCTATCAAGGAACCTCATTAAAGTCGGTGTATGGAGGAAATCTTCCATCACCGACTACGAGTAACTCTCATCCAGGTCGATGCAAGGTTGCCGCCCCGCACCCCTTTCCTAACATTGAGAACTGGCATCCTGGAGGCGGTGCAAGATTTATGTCGCTGCACCAAGTATGTTAAACCACCCACCTTTCGAAACAACGTGAAAAGGGAGGGCGGGGGATAGATACTTCTGCATTCTGAAAGCCGTGCAAGGTTCCCTGCATCCACAGATGTATCAAGCGGGAACAGGACACGCAGGCTTGGCTGCAGACCACTGTTCTGAAGCAGCCGAGAAAGCGATGGAGGAGGGATGGCTGCAATGACCTGGCGAGAAATCAGCGCGACAGCGTCAGCCGCTGCACGCGCTGTTCCCGTTAACTCTGCGACTTAACGTCGTGCATGTGTTCAGACATGCGGCGAACTTCAGCGCAACCTCCGTGTCGCTCCATGCGCTCCACAGGCCCTAAGGCAAGGACGCAGTCCGTCTCGATAGTGTCACCATCTCCTGAGTCTGACTTGGAGGAAGAGATGCCATGATGTGCAGCTTAAGACTGCCAAGACCATCGGCTAGGAACGGCTTCAGGATGCTGCGGGTGGTCCCACATACGATGCTAGCGACAAGAGATTTCAAGCGCACAAGGACATGTTAATGGGCTGGGACAAGCCTGCAGTACGTGAGGAGAATCCTGGAGAGGGCTTCAACACGGACTAGTCCTGCGCTGGCTGCCGGATAACGCCGAACCTGGGTCCGCGTGACCTGTCCTCCAAACCCTCTGTTTCACTTGAGGGCCGGAGGCAGGGAGGACGAAAGCTCGGGGACCGGAAGCAAGAGCAAAGTTGCAAGAGAAAGTGCGGGCAGGGCCCAGTTGGAGGCATGCTTGAGGGGCCAGCGTCTTCTTTTCAGCCGTCGCAGTGTTGGGTAGATACTAGCTTCTTGCAAGCAACTAGCTTGTTGCAATCAACACATCACTAGTGGGCGGCGACGCATGTTGTGCTGGGAGCCTGACTCACGCGCTGCGGTCAACACGCGACGGAGTCAGGTCTTGACGTAAAAACGCCTCCCCTTAAGGTATTGATATATCAATTTACCCCCCCCCCCCCACCCCCCCCCCTCCAAAACCAGGGAATTCGTGTGATGTATCAATTTACCCCCCCCCCCCCCCCTCCCCCCTTCCAAAAAAAAGGAATTCGTGTGATATATCAATTTACCCCCCCCCCCCCTAATAAGATAGTATCAATGATACGCTGTTTTCTGGCCGTGGTCGGCCCCCTGCTGCTAAAGCAGATAAAACTCCAGCTTCGCTACGCGAGCTTTCGTGACTTGCTGCTTTAGGCGCTTTCAACTCCTTATGTGATTGCAAACAACCGTGTCGACCCCATGTGCAGCCAAGTTGCCCAGGGAAACACGGACAGACTTTGAGTCGGGGCTTGGTTCCTGCAGCCTGAGAACATCTACGGTATCCAGTATCGCACAGCTGTCACACGGAGTGAGTGTTCCAGGCGAAAACAGACACGGTTCAACTATCCATTTTGCACTCGCAGCTGGGCCTGCTGCAACTGTTGTGAAACGCAAGAGTATCACAGGATCACACCAGTGTTGCTCATGTCATCCTATCGTCCGGATGGAGGGGTGCGCTGCTAGCTTGACAGTAAATCAGAGGCTTGACATCGGAAGCCGTTCCAGAAAGACAGGTTCTCGTTTGTTCTTCCGGGTTCACTGCTTGAGCTGCTTGCCAGGGGTCGCTCACCCCACACAAAGGACCGCGCGTGCAGATGTTTTCTCAGCATGAAGTGCGGGGGAGGCTGCGGTGCTATCCTTTGCATGACTTGTATGCAGTTGCACGTAGAGGAGGTTCACGTTGGAATCATTCAGCGTTCAAGGCTGGGAGCACTCCCCCGCAGTCGCCGCCCAACCATGGATTGCCCCATGTCAAGATCTGTCCATCCAGGCGCATGGCTGCAAATGCGCTGCAAGAGGCCTGAATGTCGTAGATCTCGACAAGCTCGCCTTGGACCCGTGAGCTGTCGCCACCATGGTCCGCATGCCCCCAGCTCACTACAGAGCCATCAGACTTCACGGCAGCAAAAGCACCAGAGGAAGCCGCAACACGCTGGACGCCTTTCAGCTCTTGCTGCACCGAGCTACTATCACCTCCATGCGGCGCAAAACCCCATGTAACCACCGTCTCATCCGATCGGATGGCTGCAAAAGCGCTGCCTGATGCCCGTATCTCTTGTACGTTGGTCAATTGCGCCTGGACCGACGTGCTGTCTCCACCATACAAGCTATGACCCCAGGTTACAACACCACCTACCTTTGTCAGAGCTGCAAATGCACGGCTATTGGATTGAATTCTGAGCACATCGTGGAGCTCTGCATGAACGCTGCTGCTGTCACCACCAAATTCAGCATGGCCCCATGTCACCACACTTCCGTCATGTAGGAGAGCTGCAAAGGCACCGCCTGATCCCTGCACATCCTGAACATCCAGGAGCCTGTCCTGCACATCATCTCACAAAATACCTTAGACACACCCTGAGGGCAACAAGTGGGGCATTTCTACAGCAGGGTTGCATGCGAATGTCTTTATCCAACCTGTGCAATTCCACACGCGACACCCTGTCCAAAAGATCCAAACATGTCTATTGCCTCTGACATATCGGACGCGCGGAGTCCATGAGATTGTGGTTTCGGGGAACATCTCAAGGCCGCAATCGTTGGGTTATGCCGTGAATTTGTGCACACAAGACATTCGCTGAGCTCCACAAAGAGGATATCCTGACATGTTCCTGACAAGCACTCTCATTGGTCCTGGACGTCGCTGCAATCGCCGCCATTTCGTAGATCGCCCCATGCCACCACTGTCCCATCATGCAGCACCGCAGCGAATGCAAGCCCCGCGGCGCGGACCACCTTGACACTCCGAAGCCTGTGCGCCACTCGGCTGGTGTCGGCTCCATGAGCACCGATACCCCAGGCAACAACAGACCCATCAGACCGCACTGCGGCAAATGCACCGCTGGAAGAGCAGATTTGGATTACGCCTCGCAGATCCTGTTGCACACTCCTGCTCGAACCACCACAAACAGGATGGCCCCAAGTCACTACAGTTCCATTGTCGCGTATGGCAGCAAATGCCCCACTGCCGGCTTCAATCCACTCTACATCTCGAAGCTCATCCTGTACCTGGCTGCTATCGCCGCCGAAATCGGCATCGCCCCAGGTCACGACATGTCCATCGCGAAGTAGGGCGAAGGCCTTGGATATACGACTTGAAGCCAAGCCAGCATGGCGGACCGTCGCTGAGACTGTATCCCCACTGCATAAAGTCACGTCTTTGAGCTTGCTGCCTCTCTTTAGCACGGTCCCATCCCTCGAGAAAAGGCCAGCGATCAGGACTTGCAACTTCTGTTGTGCTCGCACTTTGAGGTCATTCACCGTGGCTTCTGACTCCAACAATACTGACGCTGTCTGTCCACTCAAGAGGACGACATGCAGCAGCAGGGTCATTCAGCTTCTACAGTGTTGCGCTAGAGTCAGGAAAACTTAGGGAGCAGGCGTTGTGTTTTGCAGATTGGCCTATCCGCTTAGTCAAAGCCAACATCAATCATCGTAGTGGTCTGTCGAGCCGCTGATCAGTCCAGAATCCAGAACCTTTCTTCTTCTGTTAGCCAAAGCACTGCAACGCAGGTGCTGCTCTTCTACATAACAGACATGACATCCCCTCCAGAAAAAAGAGACAGAGAGAGAGAGATGGAGCGCAGCTCGGTACAACCCTGCTTTCGGAAAACCCAGCATGTCAAGAAACCGGCTCTTGCTGTGTGGCACCCTCCAGTTTCTGCTCCGACTTGGGCCAGTGCCGCTGGACGACTGATCCCAGCCTCAACACACACTATACTATAACTGTAATGGGAGGATTGAATATGAGGGTATAGGGGGGATTTCCTCTTAGGGGGAGGAGATTACACACCAAGAAGGTGTGGTAAACAATGACAAAAGCAAGGCACAGGACGAAGATGAGATCAAATGCAGAAGATGCAGAACAGAGACGAAAGTGCATGGGGCATGGGGTGGACAGGCTTCTGCGGACCTGGGAACATTATGCTGAAGCCGAGCGAAAAACGGGATCCAGCGAAACACAGTTCTGCAAACACAGTTCTGCAGCCCTACATGTCTTGCGTATCTTGCGTTCGTGAGCAAGAACTCTCCGAGAGCGCTCCAGCGCGTCTGCCCCAATTTTCCTCCTTCATTCTGTTGACGTTTCTGGTCCTTAATTGGGATTCTGATAACTCAATTAAGGATTGATAGTAAGGGCTTTTCTATACGTGCTACATGCTAGCCCCGCAACAGGATAGGAAGGCGTGCAAGTCACCGGATCGTTCTGCGTGATACGTAGCGCGTTGCGCCGCTCTGCACTGGGGTGCAGAAGCGCTGTTTCGAACGTTTGCATGTCCCCTCCCATTCGTGATTGCCCCTCCAATGGAGTCTCAGGCAGAGATGGGGAAGTTGGCTGGCTTATAGGAATAGCCAGAGAGCACGAAATCAGGACACGATCGAAGATGTCCAACCTCGAACACAAAAGGGCTCCCTGGGAGGCTGTCAGAGAAGTAAACGAAACGTATGGGAGCGCTGCCTGATGCTGCCTGCCAGTGCATGGGAGAAACTTACAACCTCTGTGGCAAATGCCGAATCTCCACCGCACGCGTTCCAGGTGCCGGGTGCCGCAGGGAGTCCTCGCAAGAGCAGACCGCACGTCACGCATGTCCAGCGTATGTCTTTGGGTGCGCTGTCGGATTAATTGCATGGAATTGGCTTGTCTGCCTTCGGCCTGTCTGCCGAAATCATGTCACAGCTGCTTTAGACATCGGCTCCTCTATGGCATCAGTCAGACTGCTCATGCCGTTCCGGAATGAGTAGCTGCCTGGGATCAGGATGCACGTGGGCTTCTACAGCGCTAAGAACCCAGTGCTCATCTTTGTTGTTTCGGGTGCCCGACCCACTGCCGCAACACTCTTTCCCCGTACCCAGAGTGATTGATGGAAGCAAGATGTGCATCCCCGACACAAGGAAATCTGAGCTGCCCGCGGCCCCCCGTTGCCACTCGCTGTAGCAGAGGGTCCTGACATCACAAGCGTTACGAAGTCATACTGACACTGCAAACCTATAGTGACCTGTGCAAGCTGCAAGAACTTGTGCCAGGCTCATTTTGTTCAAGTGCTGTTGGCTCTTCATCTGGCCAAGGCCATTTTGCCATCAGGCGCGTCCAGCTTTCAAGTCCCAGCTTTTGCACGGTGTCCGCATTCTGCTCCAAAACTTGATCTCCAGCTGAGGGGTCGGCAAGAGCTGCAGACACGTCGCAAAGCCGCAAGAGGTGAAATGTTGGTCGCGGCGCACGCTGCGGAACGCTCGCCAGAATCTCATCTGGTGCAAGCTCACCTCCGGCAAGCATAGCCTCACCTTGCAGCTGCTCCTCAAGCTCTTCGTCCTGGTCATCTCCCTCCTCTTGCAGAAGCTCTGCCAGGTACCTGAAACTTTCTGGCCGGGCCAGAAATCTTCACGCTTGTGCAGCCTCTTGCCACTCTTGCCATGCCTTCCCTGCGATTCCCGGTTCCCTCTACCCATTCGAAAGCCCTCGCAACTGCAGCCGTGTGACTTGTAGGCAACTCGCTCCTCGCGTCCATCTTTCAGGCCGACCAGAAACCTCTGAGACTTGGACTTGCCCCACCCACCCCCCCCCCTTTAATGGGGGATTCCGACAAATAGGGGTACCTTATTGGGGTCCTATTATAAGGGAATCCTACTCTTTGGGGACTGTATTGGGGGGGGGCACCTTATTTTCGTAAACCCCCACATCGCAAGTCAGAACTCAGCCACCTCCTACAGCTGCCGAGACACATGTCATGGCCCTCTTCGTCTTGCCCGGCATCTGGGTCCAAGACCGTGGCCTGTGATCAACGTCTTGCCCAGGAGCTTCATCAGAGCAACAAAACCTAACCCTAAACTCCCTAAACCCTGGTAATATGAGAATCTCAGAAAGCAACTTTCTAGCTCTGCTGAAAGAGCGCACCGCACTGGCGGACCCTTGACAAGCCAATGGACTGCGACATCGTTGGCAGATTCTCGGAAACCCGTTCTGGATAGTTCTAACTAGTAGTCAGGTGTAGTCCCAGAACAGGGATCATGTGCTCAGCACGATTCACGCCACATTCGCAATACGCTAAACCCTAAACCCTAAACCCCTAAAACCCCAAACCCTGAACCCTGAACCCTGAAGCCTAAAGCCTAAAGCCTAAAGCCTAAACCCAGCCTCCTGCAAGGCCCCATCAAGCGGTAGAGACAAGACATCGTCCACCTCAAGCACGCTGCCAAACCTCAGCTTCGAATGCGTCGGGCCCGGGGAGCACATGAAGCTCGTATAATTTAGGGTTTAGGGTTTAGGGTTTAGGGTAAGATTTGCAAAACGAGCCAAATCCTCACGGCCCTCGGGGCTTTCTTCAAATTTGGACGTCACCGTCGTAAAATTGCCTCCGCCCGCCCCCCCCCCCCCCCCCCCCACAAGTTTAACAACTAGGGGGTCCTGATTCCAATTTTAAGCTCGGCACGAAGCTTTCAGTTTTTTGTAATAGCAAACATTCACGACGCCGAGCCATGTCATCTACCCAGTGGGGACGACCCAAGCGAGACATTTCGTGAAGGAGGAGCGCGGACAGGAGCGCAAAGCTGCGGAGCAAAGAGAGCCAGGGTTTAGGGTTTAGGGTTTAGGGTTTAGAGTTTAGGGCAACTTAATCTCCATGTCGATCCTCGCGCATCACGGCGGGTGCAGAGCCACCTCTGCCGCGGGTGAGCCAAACTGGCCAGAGGAAGAAAACTTTAAAGGATCAGGACAAAGGACCACACAAAGGAATTGTTGCTTTAATGCTAGGGAAGGCAAGTTTTGAAGGACAAGCAGAATATTGACAAAAAGCCGGCGGCGAATACAGCCTAGGCATACGGAACTGCGAAACAGACGTGCAGGGAAAAAACCGAGTTCAGCCTGCACGCCCCGCCCCCCCCTCACCAACCACCCCCCCCACCCGTCCTCCAACTTAAAAAACATGTGCCTTACGCACTGCCTCTTACAGGCGCCGTTTCCGAAAACGAGGCTCGCAAGGGAACATATGAAAACAAGCATAAACCAGAAGAACAGTAGGTTGGGAGGGCAGTACCATATATGTGTATATGTATGCATACATTCTATACTGCATACGGGACAATATATGCTAATGTGTAACCTGCGAACGTATGGAGGTGATTGGAGGTGCTATGGAGGTATTGGCCAGAGGGTTATGCGGATACGATTCCTATCCCGCCTAGTGTATGTGCGGCTCTTTCAGAATACAAAGGACGGAGTCAAATTAAATTATCACTCTGAGGCTAGGCACAACGGTTGATGCTCAAACTGGGGATGAAATGCCACCAGCTTGACACCCAGGCTGGCTTCGAACGTCACCCCGTTCTTCAGGGTGTTGCCGAAGAATTCTGCGAACGGTTCAAATTCCTAAGTCCATGGCGGCGAATTACGCAATCCAACATATTCAGGTCATCTGAATGGTATGAAGCACACACAGTCTATGATGGTACCGAAAGCGCACTGACATTATATGGACAAGCTCAGGACAGCGCGCGCCAGGCTTTCACGTGAGGGCAGACCACGAGGCTTGTGGTTGCTACGCCCGGTCGAGTATCCCGCTCTTTTGGCAACGCTTCCGCCTCTCTTTGGAGGTCCTGCAGCACCTCTGCAGGGGTGGACCCAAGGCAAGTGACCACCTCAGCTCCATGAGGCTAGTCAATGTTGGGGGTGGGCAAAGCAAGCAGAGTGACAAAGACCACACAGCAAGCAAGCGCAGCTCGGCCCAAACACCCGGATTCCGCCGGACTCATCGGCTGTTCTGGCCCACGGGCATAGGTTCATGCCGATCACCAACTTGTCTAACCACGATCTAACAGCAGCTGCGTGCTCGTCGACCATACCAATCGCTCGCCGATGGCTTGAACGCAGCTTTCGATTCAGACGCAGCCCGAGTCCGAGCGAACCTCAGCAAGTTGCGCTTGCACATCCTCATCCGTCTAATGTATGCGCATGTCCCAACGGGTGTCAACAACTGACTCCACATTCCGCCGCCAAGCCGCCGCAAAGAATGGAGGCTTTCAGCAGCCCCAGCGCTTGAGATTCCACAGGAACGACAGGAAACCTGATTTCGCAAAGAGATCGAACAACAGACGTTCAGAGCTTTCAGAGATTTGAAGCCCCGAACGTGCCTGGCTCTGCATTTCGTGAAGGCCTCTGGCGCGATCCTGGAAGTGCGCGGGGTTTAGGGTTTACGATGGTTTAGGGTTTAGGGTATGTGCGAACACTCTGCAAATTGCGTCAGCCTCATCGACAGTTTTCTGTCACTTTATGGCAGTCCATGTCATTTGTTTGCCATGTTCTGCTTGAGTATATTATATTGTTTGAAATTTTCTATTGTATTGAACTTGTTTATGTGATATATGGATAGAACGTGATTCATGGTATGATATGATCTAATAGTGCTACATTATACGCTTGACATGGTCTTACTAGTATATTCCAGAATGCCACCGTGCCTGCTGAAGCTTCGGGTTGGCGCAGCCACGACGTGCACTTGCGGCAGAATCGAAGCCATGAGAGGTTTCCGAGAATAGGGCTGTGTACCCTCCTGGCTAAAAGGGAGTAGAGTCGAGTAGGTCGGGGTACAAAAGGGGTACCCCCTTTTTTGGGAAGCACATCCATGTTCAAGGACGGCTCGACCCCGACATGCATGAGGTCACGCATGGTTGGGTTTAGGGTTTAGGGTTTAGGGTTTAGGGTTTAGGGTTTAGGGTTTAGGGTTTAGGGTTTAGGGTTTAGGGTTTAGGGTTTAGGGTTTAGGGTTTAGGGTTTAGGGTGTTTCGGGTTTAGGGTGTTTCGGGTTTAGGGTGTTTCGGGTTTAGGGTGTTTCGGGTTTAGGGTTCAGGGATTTGCAACTCCAACAAACTGGAGATAACACATTAGTCATTAGTCACCAGATGTCACTATCACTAGCCTTCATCGCAGGTTGTCTCATCACACGTGCATTTCCAGGCCGTGTGCGTCAGACCAGCTCTGAGCCATTGGCTGAGGTGCAGGCATGGACTTTCCGTGTGCAGGTTGGAGGCTCAGAGAATGGCGAGGTGCTTCAAGCTGCTGGTAGGAAAGACGTGGAAAGACTGTGCTTTGCGGAGCAGCGTGGTGTAGCGGGGCGCACCAGCAAATCGAGGGCCATCCAGCTGCGCTGTCGATAGGCGACGACCGCTCCAAGCGCTGCCTCGGCGGAGAAGTTCTCCAAGTGCTTCTTCGAAAGATTAAACAAGTGGCATGTAGGTTTCCGTCAGTTGACTGGGTCTCTGAGCCCCCTGCCCCAACGAACACGGATCCGAAGCGTTGCTCATTGTGCCAGAGCCGGGGAAAGCAGGTCCTCACAGAGAGGTCCTCGGCCTTCCCTGCGAGTTGGCCCCGGCAGATGGGATCTGCCAGGCGCAGAGCCAGGGAACGGGAGGCACGCCGTGACGTGAAGGCTGCGACGCTTTCATCAGGCTCTCGACTTCGCGGCCACAAGGGCTCTGCCATCAATGCTGGGCCATACCGGAGCACGTGATGAGCGGAGGGTACCAGTTGCACGCGGCCGCGGTGCAGCAAGTGGCGCCGTGCAGAGGCTTCGATGTTCGCCCCAAGGACCTGGGGGGTTTACGAAACTCGGGGGTATCCCTAATATACCCCCCCAAGTACTATAATCCTGATTCTAGGAACCCCAAAAAGGGTACCCCCCCCCCCCCTATTCTCGGAAACTCCCACCTCGTCGTCAAGCTTGAGCATCTTGGCCAAGCCCAGTGCCTCCCGACCATTCTTGTTCACCAAGACGCTGGAATGGAAGCCTGTCTCCAAGATCTGGCGCTTTGGTCCTGCACCCCAAGAGCCCAAGACCCCTTTTAAGTAAGGAAGATACCTTAAGTCATGTTACGGATCCCTGTGTACTTTAAGGTATGCTGGGCGCTTTGGTCCTGCATGTCCCACATGGGGGTTTCCGAACATAGGGGTATCCTTGTTGGAGGTCCCTTTAAGGGGTACAAAAGGGGTAAAGCTGCTCTGTGTCCTCTTGTGGTGCAGACAAGGCCGCCAAGCCGATCGGACTCCTCGAGCTAACGAGGTCATGCTGTGGGCAAACTATCTAAACGCTAATCCCCTCACCAAAACATGTTATGACAAGAATATTATGTACCCCCGAACGCTTTATTATGAGAATACTAAATACCCCAATATACTGTAATATCACACTGTACTGGGAGCATTTGATATGGGGGGGTAGGGGGGGGGTTAACCATTCGGCGGAAGGGATTCCCCACAAGCCTCCAGGAGCGTAATCTGCGCATGGGGAAGCTGTCTTTGCAGCAGCCGTGCTGACACCAATCCGGCGATGCCTGGATACTGGCCCTCTCAGCTCCCCACCCGCACTTGAAGGTTCATGGTACCTATTAACCAATTAGAACTCTACTTGTAACCAAATTAAGGGCACTTAAGGGGCTTTGTTGCCACCCTTAGAGATTAATGACTTTACAAGCATGACTTGTGGTTAGTGCTATTCTTAAGTCAGTATATAAACTTGTGAGCTGACTTTTGGTTCTGGCATCACTTTGGGGGTTTCGGTTTTGCTTCAGGATTTGTAGGTTGAGGACATCGTCTAATGGTCCATGATGGTATGAGCCCTCCATCAGCCTCAACAAACCCGAGCAGGGAACAAGCTGTAATGTCCAGACTTCACAGCCGAATGTATCTCCAGAGCCGAAACAACTCAAGCGCCATGATTCCCCGCTTCATGTACTCTCTGAACGACTAGAAGCACTGGCAGTCCGAAAGGCAGGGTGGATCCGAGCCATGCATGTTTGCATTCTAATTCGAAGCATCGGGCCTCCACCAAGCACGCAGAACTTTGGCACGTCTGCAGCCATCGGTTGAACGTGCTTTGCAAGACCATGCCGAGGGTTCTGCGTCTAGTATACTGCAGGTGAGTCTTCTTGCGCAGGCAACGCCATATCCTAGTGGAGTTCTGAATACAACCCGCCAGCAACTTCACAACTGCACTTGCACTACCAGCACATGCTGACTCTTCGAAAGCTGTCGATAAGGGCGCATAGTCCACAAGACCCAGATGAAACATCGCATGCAAAACATACAGAATGCTGCCTCTGCTGCTTACAGCTGCGGTACGAGTATTGTGATGGATCACGCTCTCTGCTGCCTGCATGACAGTCTGGCAGGTTCTTGTTGGGTATCCAGCATGACTGCTCCTGCAATGAGTGCATGCTTGTCGGTCAGATTTGCGCGATATCACGCTCATGGTCCATTGCCACCAGCATTTTCATGCAATGCAAGCATGGTACATGCTAGTATAGGTACATGTGCATGCATGGTCATACATGTATCTACATATATATATATCACGCACACACACACACATATATATATATATATATACATGCAACCACTTATATGCCAGTACTTTCTGAAAGCACAAACACACACACAAACACACACACACACAGACACACACACACACACACACACAGACACAGACACACACACACACACAGACACACAGACACACAGACACACAGACACACAGACACACAGACACACAGACACCCAGACACACAGACACACAGACACACAGACACACAGACACACAGACACACAGACACACAGACACACAGACACACAGACACACAGACACACAGACACACAGACACACAGACACACAGACACACAGACACACAGACACACACACAGACACACACACACACACCACAGACACACACCACACAGACACACAGACCACACACAGACACACAGACACACACAACACAGACCACACACACACAACACACAGACACACACACACACAGACACACACACACAGACACACACACACACAGACACCAACACACACACACCACACCACACACACACACAGGACACACACACACAGACACACACCCCACACAGACACACACACACACACAGAGACACACACACACACACACACACACACACACACACACACACACACACACACACACACACACACACACACACACACACACACACACACACACACACACACACACACACACACACACACACACACACACACACACACACACACACCCACACACGCACGCACGCACGCACGCACGCACGCACGCACGCACGCACGCACGCACGCACGCACGCACGCACGCACGCACGCACGCACGCACGCACGCAAAACTTAAGAGATCTATGAGTCCTATGTCTACTCCATTGATGTTTCAGATCTGATGACATTCGCTGCATTGACGTTCGTTGAGCAAAGGAAGAACGACCAAATTATGGTGTAGCATTGCGGAAGTTAAGGAGGACGGATTGTCGGAGTACACGCAGATTTGGCCCAATCCAAGACATTCACACTGCGCCCCGAACATTGGTATAACTAGTCCTACGCAATCGCGACCCGCTGGCTGGAACACCATTTGTCTCCGGGTCAGCCCGGCGGAAGCAGGCTTCGAAGGCAAGCACTTCGACCTGGACACAAGCTGCTTGCTCGACACGCTGGCTGCATGGGGGCTGTGGCAGCTCCCATGGTGATGCCCTGAGGCATCCAAAAGCCCTAGAGACCCCAGAAAACACCACAAGAACACCCCTAAGGGTCAAGACCGGTCGATTACACTTGAGATCGGGGCAGGGATAGCTACAGACAATGCTTCTTCGTGCGCAACTCCCAATCCCCTTGAAGAAGCAACGTGGGGCCATGATGGGGCGAGGTGCTGAGTGGGGTGGGTGACCCAAACAATAATTGAAATCAACCTTTTGGGTGGGCCACGGCCCCCCCACCCCACCCCCTGCGCACCTTTAACTATTGAGTCAACCAGGTGAGGACTCAAGCCACTAATTGCTTAAGAACCCCGAAAAAAACCTTCCTTTTTCAGGGAAATATAGGGATCATAATATTCTATTCTTTTGGGGCTCTTCAGCACATAGTAGCAAGGCCATCTGTGGACCACCAAGACAGTTTGCAACGATGCAGAGTTTGAAGGAGCTTGCTTTCGTGAATTGCTGAGGCGCCAGCGGCGGACTGTGGCGAGCTCCTGCTTCAGCTTCTCTGTCTGCACACGGCACCTAACACGGCAGAGCAACTTAACAATGACATGAAGTTCAAACAGAATCGGTCAGGTTCATTGGGTGGCGAATGGCGGGATGATGATGGCTGCTTTCGCATGAGTGTCTGAGATCCTCTGAGAAGCGATTTTTGAGCTCCCAGCTCTCGTGCTCGCTCCGATCCCTGCAGCGTGGCAACATCATGTCACAAGTCTAGGTTTGTGCTGCAGCTGTCAGCGGGTGATTTGCAGGGGGTGTTGGGGCGAAGGCAACCCGTGCTCGAGTGCTAAATCTTCCAAGTAGGTGAACATTTCGCCTTTCTGGGCATCCCTGACCTGCCTCTTCAATCTGCTCACTGAGGCCAGCCTTTCACATCTTTCACTTGTCTTCGACACGGGAGCTTTGCAGTAGTGTGCCGATGGTTCAGGCCATGAGCCAAGAAAATGGAGGGTCGCGCTGGCACTGCCCAAGAGTGCCTGTGCAGCACAACGTTCCTTCAGCCGCTCACGCAGGTCTGCGCCTGACCGACAAGTATTTGCAGCCGGTGCAAAGGCTGCTGGAGTGCTATAGATTGGCCTCTGGTCCGGCTAACATGCAGTGCAAGCACTTCGACTGCTTCCATGATGTTGAAATCCTGTCACTGCGCTGGGAACGCCGGCAAATGCCAGCAACGAATGCTAAGCTCAGATGTGAAAACATGACGAACACGATTTATCACGGCAGCGGAGGTGAATGCACTCCAATTAGTAGTACCACCCCAGGGCGCGAGGCAGGGCCCCACCAGATCCCAACAGAACACCGAAGCTCACCCCACAAATAAATGGCACGTGTCGAGTGTCAGTTTTGTGTCGATCCTTGGAGCACCCACCAATACCGATAACTACGAAAGTACGAAAGAGTTCTAAGTTCTAGGGGAAAAGGCCCCGCATTGGGCAAGCAAAAATGGCCTGTGCGCATTGCCAGCTGTCGGCCCTGCGTAAGTGTAGCAGCAGCCACCTGGCGAGCAGCCAGCAACGTTTGTGACAGTGTTGGACGTCCCCTTGTAACCTTTGACACAGCAGAATCGCCAGCAAGGAAGGTGTGAATAGGAGTGTCTCACCGAAACATCTTCCGCGACGAGGGCACATGAGCGGTGAAACCAGAACCCATCAGAAGCTAGAGCAGTGAGGAGTGAGTAGCCATTCAGCCTCACACTTTGCCCGCGCTTGCAGAAGATGGGCATCAGCAGCCTGGCTATGTGCTTGAATTGCGGTAAGTGTCGGGGACACAGACACAGCAATCACACTGCAACGTACTCACACACTCACATCGAACATGCAAACCGTCAGGAACTCATCTCGATTGCTTCCAAGTTCAGCCTCACTCTCAAGAAGTGCTTCCCGGGCTCGTGCTTGCATCACCTTCACCATCGGAGTTGATTTTAGAGAGTCCGCCAGGCATCGCTAGAGTTTAGAGTTGGCCAGCCAATCCCGATCAACTCAGCTTTGCCAAAGGGTGCGTGATCTGGAAATTCGTATAGCATCTCAGAGCCAGGACCGTCATCTTCCTCTACTAAAAGGGACGGGGATGCATCACAGAATCTCGCTCACACCAGGTCACCACCTACGCCACGCGGACGCGAACCGTTGCTGCCTTCTTCTGCGCTTCCTCCGCGCTCACCGTGCGCTGCAGCCGGTGGACCTGCTCCCAGGCGTAGGCGTAGCTCCTTGGGATCCACGTTGCAAGAAAATCCCAAGCCGCCCCCCTTGAGCCGCGCCGCGACGGGGGGGGGGGGGGGGGGGAGTTGGGGGGGCATTGACTCAACGCCTCGCCCCTCTCTCGGCCTGCACGTCTCATTCTTTCTCTCTTTTTTGGCAGACTTCTCCTTTACTCACATTCTGTTTCCCTTTAATGCTCGGCTCGGGTCTCTCTCGAACTGTCGTGGCTATTATTTCAATACCGGACTGCAACGGCCATTCTCGCAACGCTGGCCTAAGATCACCCTACACCCGCCCAAAGCGCAACGAGGGACACAGCAGGTGTAGGAGAAGCAGCTGCTACCAGAACACGTCCCGTTGTTGCTTGACACAAGCAAAGCTGCTGTTGCCATTTTACAGGCAAGTAAAGGACAGAGAGTCAGAGTCCATACAGCCGTATGTGCAGCACCAATGGCTGGCAAACACCTGTGCTCAGCTCCCTGCGCAACGAGCTCTTCAGCTCTGGCATGCTCCATTTCCATCATCGACCTCTGCCAGAAAACCATATGAAGTAGGGTATATATTTCTTGTACCCCCAAAAGGACACCAGGTATATACACTCACCAATATTAGCAAGGAACCTTATATACACTCACCAAAAACAGAAATATAAACCCTGCTTCATATCTGCTCAGGGTTGTGCAGGGAAACTGTCATCATGTAGCTCTGGGTCAGTGGCATCTGTGCATGGCTCTCAAGCTTGCAACCTTGCAGCCATGCTTGTGTCTTGTCAATGGGTTCTGTGCGGCACACATGCAAGCATCAGCTCTAGTAATTGGCGAAGGCACCAAAGGCCCTGGCCTTCCCCAATCTGCTTGAGGCTTGAAGCGGCGACCTGGACAGGACTTATGAACAGCACCAACGCTGTATTGCAGGCATTTGCAGGTTTGCTCTATGCAAACCCCGTGCAGTGCAGAGACAATGCCGTGATTCTGGTATGGTGTGGAGAGCCACTGCCTGCGCAGATGCTGCCTCCTTGGTAAGGAAGGCAGGCTCACCAGACTGACAAGGCCACGAGACCAACGAAAGCTTGGGGCAACACACCCGAACCGCATTGCACAACAGACCTCACCACCGGACTCCCCAGCACACTGCTGCCCACGCGCCCCCTACCCCGCTGCACCAGAACACACCGTTGGGGTGTCACCCCCACTACCTACCGCGCCCGCTGCACCTGGAGCAAAGCCTACCGCCACATCGCCAGGAAGCTTCCGTCGCTCCTTTACCACATCACCACGCCTCCCTCCCCCACGCCCCTCCACCCTCCCCCCTCTTCCCCCCCGCAGCACCTCAACTACATCGCAAACATCACCGCACCACCACACCACCGTCCCACACCGGCACGATGCCTTCAGCACCCACCATCAGCAGCAGCAGCAGCAGCAGCCGCGGCGGCGGCGGCAGCAGCAGCAGCAGCAGCAGCAGCAGCAGCAGCAGCAGCAGCAGCAGCAGCAGGAGCAGCAGCAGCAGCAGGAGCAGCAGCAGCAGCAGGAGCAGCAGCAGCAGCAGCAGGAGCAGCAGCAGCAGCAGCCGCGGCGGCGGCGGCGGCGGCAGCAGCAGCAGCAGCAGCAGCAGCAGCAGCAGCAGCAGCAGCAGCAGCAGCAGCAGCAGCAGCAGCAGCAGCAGCAGCAGCAGCAGCACAACAATCCATCATGCCCCTGCCACGTCAGCACCATCAGACTAAGATGAAAGAACATGTAGAACACCAGGATGCAAGCTTGCTTCCAATGGTAAGATCGCAAACGCCCTAAACCCTCAAGACCTTAAAGCCCTCAATGCTTTCAAAGCTCAATGCCCCACAACGCCCCAACACCCTCAAACCCTACATGCCCTAAACCCTGAAAACCCGAAAGCCCCAAAGACACCAACCCTCGATAAGCTAAACCCTCGAAACCCTGAAGCCATCAATGCCCTAAAACCCTTAGTATTTCAAACGTAGACTACCTTTAACCCTCAATACCCTAACGCCCTGGAGACCCTCAGCCTTCAATACCGTAAGGCCAACAAAAACCCCAAGCCCCTAAATGCCCTAAACCCTGGATACCCTACAACCCTAAAGCCCCTCAACGGCCCACAGAGTTGCGGACCTTGTCCGACCCTACAGTACTTGCTTAAGCAAGACTAAACTCAAGCCTCGCTCTGCTAGCTCTTGTGACTTGCAAACTTTGTGGCTTATGCGGATGATGATATGGCAAGTGTGAAAGCCAATGTGAGAGGCATGCGAACTTGGCAAGGAAGCATCTCGATGCAAAAATCTTGAGTCCCTTGCCCCAAGCGAGATGTTGATTTTGTTGACTGCTATGATTTTGTGGCTGATGATGATGATGATGATGATGGTGGTGGTGGTGGTGGTGGGTGGTGGTGGGTGGTGGTTTGAAGATGCAATTAGATGATTCTGATGGTGTAAACTGTGCAGATCATGACCGCAAATGATGCGAATCAGTGAATGACGAAGGCTGACTCAAACTGCACACGAAACCATCAAAATAGATCCCCACCCCCGCCACACCCATGCTTGCCAAGAATACACATGGGTACTATCAATACAGTATTGACCACCGTCAGCGCTCCTCCCGACCTCCCCCACGGCCCGCCCCGCCACCCCCATGCAGTGCGCAGCTTTCCGGAAGTTGCCTGGCCCTGTCAAACTAGCTTTCGTGACAAGCTTCGCTCTGCAGTTCGGAGGTTTGCGCGTGAAGCTCACGCAGCCCAGCTGCCTTGCCATTTCAGCATCGTGAACTATCTGCACACTTGACCTTCCCTCCCTCTTGCTTCATCCTACTGCTTGCAAAGAGAGCCTCCTCAACCTACGGCAAGCCCAGACAGGAAACGGTCTGTTCTCATTACGTTCGTTTCATTACAGCTGGAACCATTTCCACTCACCCTCCGGCAACAGACTACCACCATTTGCCATCGCATTCTCAGCACCTGCAGGGCATCGCCACGCCATTGTGCCGCCGCCAGCCCACGGCGTGACATGGAAGCAGCTCCTGATTATGTTGTTCAGAGATAAGCTGCGCGGGAGCTACTATTGCTGGTCAACAGACCATGCAGTCAAAGGGCTCAATTCGGCATCCATTTCGGTGATCTGTCCTTGCAGCGCTCACGGATGCTCACGGAGTTCAAGTCGTGGGCAGGGGAGAAGAAGTTGGTTGGGCAGGGGAGAGAAGTTGGTTGGACTGGATGGATGCATTCACACTTTTCATCCGCACTTGATGGCCGGATGGTCCCGGATGTCCTCGAAGGCTGCGTGCCGCTTCGCAACTTTGCTTCAGGAGCCAGGATTCCGTGAGCAGGTCCTGGCAGTCCAGGGCCCTGAATGGACATCGGAGACCATCACCAAACGCTCCGAATCCAAATCCAAGTTTGAATGGCATGTTGTGGCAACCGTGGCAACCCTTGTGGTGTCCCGAGCCAGACTTTCTTCAGCTGATTTTAGCTCAAGGAGCTCATGGCCTGAGCTGTTGAGCAATGCCGGAAGGCAAGTGAAGCCCGACCCTTGCACAGCCACGGTTTAGGGTTTAGGGTTTAGGGTTTAGGGTTTAGGGTGGAATAGAGTGGAAACCCAAGTAACTGCCAGGTCGCTGCATGCCTCCTCATCTTCGCACTCACGCGACCATTCAGCCTTGCTCTATCGGTTGCTCGCTGGATGGAGGGAGGGACAACGCTGAACTCATGCGCTGGACCAAACACCACTAAACTTGCCAACAGAGAAGCTTCTCTTGAAACTGAGGAGCCCACCGTGAACTCTTCACACTCAGTGCGAAAGAGGGCTACAGCCTTTCAGGGTGAAGTACAGGCTTGTTTTGGAGGTTTTGGGAAGTGATGATGTTGATCCCCTTGCTGTTCAAGGCCATCCTTTTGGGCTTTATCACCCTTTTGCCTAGCAGCCCTTGGCACTTGCAGGTAAGTCCCAGCAGCTGAGAACGTTTCGAAACCCGCCGACCCACCTCGTGGCATGCTGCGGTCTCCATGGCCAGGTTGCGTCTGTCTGCACGGGCGGAGAGCACGGCCTAGGCTCGACTTGTGCAAACCACGACGCTTTAAGCAATCTGTTGCCCTACGCTGCAATTCTCGAACCTGGTACACAAGAATGTACAACACACCCACAAATACGCGTGGCAGCGATGCCTCATCACTGCTTGCTTGCGCTTCTTGCCCGGTCACCGACTCGTCCGTTGCCAGCTGTGCCACCTGCACATTGCGAGCTGTACGCTGGACACTGCACCGACCTGTTTCCATCCTTTGGCCAATAGGTGCGGTCTGCGAGACATGTGCACGGTCCTTGATTGAGTGCACCACAACTCTGACATACTCTGACATATGTAAGTTGTCATGTAGTTTCAGAATTTCATCTCTTGAAACATTGAAGCCATGGAAAAGTCCGTTCTGTGAAGTGCCTCGATGCGCTGCTCTTGCCGCGCAGATTGCACAGACCACAGCAATGAATCGTGCTCCTCTAGCAGCTGTCTGCACATCGCCGCTCTCTGCAGACACAGGAGCCTTTCACATGTGCGTGATTCTGCAGTCCTCCGCGATGCAAGACCTTGTGGCGCTTGTACGTGTGAGATTCAGCTGGGCCTCCTGTGCAGCAGTCTTGCAAAGCAGATCAGAATCTAGAGGTTGCGTCGAAGAACCAAGGCAACCCAAACTCGTGCCTGCACCTCAAGCTGACCCCATCCAACCGCGCCCAGCAGATCCACCGACACTTGGCCAAAAGCGGCGCAGTCCTGAGATTTCGACAGCACTTGCAATGGTTGTCAGGGACCAAGGGCATGTCTTGCAGATTCCATGTCCTCAGCCGTCTCGATTAGTCGCAGTGCTTCGCCGCGTCGCTCCTGCAGTCCCAGGATTCAGTGCGAGCATGTAATGCCACCATGCTCATTCAAATGTGACGGTCCTTCTCGGACTGACGCAGTGCTCGGATGTCTCCTAAGCGAAGAGGACACCCAAAGCAGTACAAACAAGGCAACTAAATGGTCACGGGAGTGCTCTGTTGCTCAAGGGACAAACTGCCAGCATCTTTCTTGCATGAACTTGAGAGCAGGGCGAGAAAAAGCCAGGGCCCCGAAGGCGAAGCGCTCTGTTTTTTGCAGGCAGCACGGTCGGCAGCCCATGTTTGCAGTATCGCGATCACGTTAAAACACAAGCTGCACATGGGAGGGCACCACCCCCCCACCGATGTCCCGGGATTACGCAGGCAAAGGCCCTCCACCCGCCCCCGTCCGTGTGACCTTGAATCCCTGACATATCAGGCCAAAGGTCACCCAAGCTATTTCTGTCCCAAGACAAGAAGGTTGTAAAAAAAAACTCCTGTGACCTCCATGAGGAGCTTGCGTGACTACGAGTCTTTCGGACTAGTTTGTCCGTGGGGCTCATGCGACTATCAGCAGAGGCCAACACTCCACCGCATGCAGATTGGGCTCCTAGCAAGTCTTAGTCCTAGACCAGATGTCTTGGCACTGGGTTGCCCTTGCAGACCCTTGGACCACTTGGTGTGCCTGCAAGCTCCTTGTGCCGACGAGGTTCTCAGGAGGTGGCGGTTCTCGTCGTGCAGGCTTTCCAGCTCTCCTGAAGACTTCGCTAAATTTCCCAAGACCAGTGGGCAGTCGAAACTAGAGTTGACCACAAGACAGAATGCAATATGACATATTGCAATAATGCGATCTGTATTGACTATATATATATATATGGTACCCCCCCCCCCATGGACCTACCTTTTTTTTGAAACCTCGGCTTGACCGATGTTTCAAAAAAGGGTGGCTTCTCCAAAACATTGGTGTTACCGATGTTTTTGAACCCCTACCTTCAAAAAACATTGGTTTTACCGATGTTTTTTGAGCCCATGCTCACGAAACATCGCAAAAACCAATAAAAACCATAAAAACCATGATTTTCCAAACTATGGGCTTGGGTCTCCGAGTAGTTTGAAAAATCATGGTTTTTATGTTTTTTATTGGTTTTTGCGATGTTTCCTGAGCAGGGGCTCCAAAAACATTGGTTTTACCGATGTTTTTTGAAGGTGGCCTCTCCAAAACATTGGTTTTACCCATGTTTTTGAACCCCTACCTTCAAAAAACATTGGTTTTACCGATGTTTTTTGAGCCCATGCTCACGAAACATCGCAAAAACCAATAAAAACCATAAAAAAACCATGATTTTCCAAACTATGGGCTTGGGTCTCCGAGTAGTTTGAAAAATCATGGTTTTTATGGTTTTTATTGGTTTTTGCGATGTTTCCTGAGCAGGGGCTCCAAAAACATTGGTTTTACCGATGTTTTTTGAAGGTGGCCTCTCCAAAACATTGGTGTTACCGATGTTTTTGAACCCCTACCTTCAAAAAACATTGGTTTTACCGATGTTTTTTGAGCCCATGCTCACGAAACATCGCAAAAACCAATAAAAACCATAAAAACCATGATTTTCCAAACTATGGGCTTGGGTCTCCGAGTAGTTTGAAAAATCATGGTTTTTATGGTTTTTATTGGTTTTTGCGATGTTTCCTGAGCAGGGGCTCCAAAAACATTGGTTTTACCGATGTTTTTTGAAGGTGGCCTCTCCAAAACATTGGTGTTACCGATGTTTTTGAACCCCTACCTTCAAAAAAACATTGGTTTTACCGATGTTTTTTGAGCCCATGCTCACGAAACATCGCAAAAACCAATAAAAACCATAAAAACCATGATTTTCCAAACTATGGGCTTGGGTTTCCGAGTAGTTTGAAAAATCATGGTTTTTATGGTTTTTATCGGTTTTTGCGATGTTTCCTGAGCAGGGGCTCCAAAAACATTGGTTTTACCGATGTTTTTTGAAGGTGGCCTCTCCAAAACATTGGTTTTACCCATGTTTTTGAACCCCTACCTTCAGAAAAAACATTGGTTTTACCGATGTTTTTTGAGCCCATGCTCACGAAACATCGCAAAAACCAATAAAAACCATAAAAACCATGATTTTCCAAACTATGGGCTTGGGTCTCCGAGTAGTTTGAAAAATCATGGTCTTTATCCTCTAACATCCTACTAAACTAGTATGAGCCTAATCCAATAGGAATCCCTTCAAATCAATGAGAATCCTACGCGAATCCCAGTAACATGCATAAGAATCCTACCTTATTAAATTGGTAGGAGCCTTAGGGCGTGATGTCTTAAGATATGTTGCTAAGGTACAGTGTTAGTATAGATGTTAGGACTTGCTTATCGGGGGATGACTGTTTCAGATATCGTAGCTAAGGTAGTGTTTTTAGGACAGATGTCATGTCTTGGCGTATTGGGGCGTGATTGATTGTAAGGAGGTTTTGGTACTCTCCCAACATTTTCGTAGAATTAATAGGATTAGTAGGAATCCTATTAAACTGAAGAGGAACCCTATTCAAATTAATAGGAACCAATCGGACTCCTATAAGAAATAACGTGAACCTTTAGACAAACCGATTAAAATGAACATGAGCCTAAACCAACAGGAATCCCTTGAAAGTGAATGAGATCCCTTTAATATTAACACGAACCCCATTAACATGAATAAGAATCTGATTAAAATTGATAGGACTCTTATTACAGAAAATAGGGGCCTTATTAATAATTAGGAACCCTATGAAACTTTATTGGGATCCTATGAAAGTAAATAGGAATCCTCTATTGAATTATCGGGACCGGACAACAGTTAATAGGAAGCCTATTAAAATGAATAGGAACCTTAACAAGTTGGAAACAACCCGGGTTACAAGTCACAGGAATCCTATTAAAACGAGAAGGAATCTTTCTAAATCAATAGGAACCAATAGGCCTTCAAAACAATAGAATCCTTTAACAAGAACTGATAGGAATCCTACTAAACTAGTATGAGCCTAATCCAATAGGAATCCTTTAAAATTAATGAGAATCCTATGCGAATCCCAGTAACATGCATAAGAATCCTGTTGAAATTGATAGGAACCTTATTAAATTGGTAGGAGCCTTAGGGCGTGATGTCTTAAGATATGTTGCTAAGGTACAGGTTTAGTATAGATATTAGGTCTTGCTTATCGGGGGATGACTGTTTGAGATATCGTAGCTAAGGTAGTGTTTTTAGGACAGATGTCATGTCTTGCGTATTGGGGCGTGATTGATTGTAAGGAGGTTTTGGTACTCCCTCGAGATTTTGCAGGATTCGAGTTTGTTGCTTGGTACTACCTCGAGAAATGGTGGCTGGGAGAGAGCCTCAGATCACGAAAATCATGGAAAACATTGGTTTTACCCATGTTTTTGAAGGATGGAGCCCGAAAACATCGGCAAAACCAATGTTATCCATAAAATCCATGGTTTTCAAACCATGTGGCTGGGAGCACCCAATTCACGGATAATTGGTTTTACCAATGCTTTTGAAGGATGGAGCCCGAAAACATCGGCAAAACAAATGTTATCCATAAAACCCATGGTTTTCAAACCATGTGGCTTAGACCGCGAAATTCATGGATAAAAACAAAGGAAATTGGTAGGTCCATGGGGGGGGGGGGGGTAGCATATATATATATATATACATATATACACATGATCTAAAGTCATAAAATACCATCTTCACATAAAATCTTAAAGTATGCGTTTCATAAAAAAGGGAGTAAACAAGCAAATAAGCAAATATACAGATGCAATCTGTGAGACTTACATCATACAATACACTCTATACCACACGACTTTCATGGTATTGTATTTCATTGTATTGCATATATGGACAGTTGTCAAAAGTATGGCCCCTTTTATAATACGGCACCTAATATTTAGGGTACCCCGAAAGGGACCATAATTTTGCCTACCACCCATGTATATATACAAATGTTCAAGCAGGTGAGCACGAAGCCTTCGCCTTGGAAACGGAGCTCGGCAGCCGGGCTGCCGGCTAGCAACTGCGCCGCCTGACCGCGGCATTGCTTACAAGAGGCCACTTTAAACGGCTGTCCTGTGAACAATTCTGTGAAAGACGCGTGCAATGTCTTTCAATCTAAGCTATGCGGACAAAAACGGTTGAGACGCTGAGAATCGCGTTTGGCCTTCGACTCCAACTGCGCGGCATATTGAGACTCTTGCCGCTCGGAGCCCTCACACACGCGAGAAACAGACTGCATGCGACTACTGGCGGCTACAGTCTGCAAAAAAAATGGCTGCCGCGCCACCTCCAGCTTTTTCAAGTCTGCGTACTGGTGCTCCAAAGCTCGCGCAGCTAGCCGAGCCTGACAACCGATTCTCTCCACGGAGTCATGTGGACTCGGTTACTTCAAACAAACACATGCGCAGGGAAACTGCGCACGCCCAAGCCTCGCGGCGGGACTGATCCAACTTGCAGCGTAGCTGCCATACAGACCTGCATATGTCTGCTGTACTTGGAAGAAACTGCATGGCTTGAGCTTTCGCTGGTCAAGAGTCAAAGGTCTAAAGCACATGCTGGGCTCTCTGCTGCCTCTCTCGCACCGCTTGAGCAGCTTTCGCATCCTGCATTTGCCGCGTGACTTGGACAGATAACTCCTGTCTCTGTGAAGCTACAAATAACCTGTGCAGACGGCTGCCTTTAATCTGACATGTTTGCAAAGTCAACTGTTGCTCTCATCAACTTCTCATCTCCGCATGAACCCTGCAGTAGCATAGGATGTTCGTGCATCCTTTTATTCCTGTAGATTTGTAAGGCAAGACGAGAATGACATGGAGATTTGACTAGGAGTTTACAGACTGTGCGCAGCAATAGGAGCCAGATCTGCGGAGGAGGAGGGAAGCAAGCCCCTCGAAGGCATCTTCTACATCCTTCGCCTCTTTGACCCTCTTCGTGATCACAGCAGGTTGCGGCCAATTCAACACCGGGCCTGCTGGCGGCGGTCGGAACTTTGTGCCTCTGCGGCGCAAAAGCTCGCGGGGGAACTGGGGGAGCTTCATGCCATGACACCCTGCACACCCTGTTCCGAGGGCGCGGCACGAGGCATTCAGCGCTGGGCGCCCGCATCTCGTGGGCATCAGCAAGGACCCCTAAGGAGTGCTCACGTTCGGTCCCTGGGGCCCTTGGGCCCGTTACAAACTGCGATGCGAAAGCGGCTGCTTGGCCTCCTGCCTTGGCTGATGTTGGCCACACGGCTGCTGTAGTGCTAAGGCTACTAAGGTTCATAAGGCTTGGCTGAGGCTAAGGTACCGCACATACCCGCGCAACCGCACCCGCTGACCTTCTGTTCGAAGCTTGATTTTGGGCCAATGGGTGGACTCGCGACGAGAAGGTGCTGCGATGCTCTTAACATGAACCCCCAGTATGCTCCATGCATCTCAATGCTGAGAGGTGATGCTCAGCTTGCACTTCGCACCATGTTTGCTCGGACAGGGCAACTTCTGGCCTTCTGACCTGCAACGCAGTTGACTGGATCCGGGGTCCCTCCGCTGACTCAACATGCCGAAAAATCTTCGTGACTGGGCTGCTCTGGCCTGCTCTGACATCAGCCAGCCTCCTGCAATCGAAGCAGCTCTTCTGCCTGCGTCTTCACAGAAGTACCGGGTGAGGACTTGGTATCTCCAACTGGTTTCCTAAGTATGGTACCTTACCCCAAGTTCCTACACCCGGTGTAGGTATCCACAGAAGCTTCAAGCCATGCCGAGGAAGAAACAACGTTGGGGCCTCTCTGAACACTTGCTTGTAGTCGGCCATGGCTGCCTGCTTCAGAAGACCAGAAGTCAGACATAGAAGAAAAAATAAAAGGCAAAGGTCAAGAGCGAACGAAACTCAATCGTGCTACAGAGGCAGAAGCGCGATCGCCGCGCGAGAGCCCAGGCTCAATATGTCAGTGCATGCAGGAGCTCACCAGTGCACCGCCATCGTATGCGCGCCTCAAACTCTTGCATGCGATCCTTCAACGCCTCTTCGATGACCTTGAGAAGGGGATCGTGGTCGAAAGAGCCCCAGTGGCCCGTGGCAGCTGCTGAGCACCACAGAGCCAGCATGTGTAAGAATGTGTGCTTGCGCAAGTGTCTTGCATCCTGCCTCCGTGGTTTGCATCTCGCCCAGATCCAGATCTTCAGGCGAGAACCATGGCCTAAAGCAACATATTGCTACGCTGCAGAACCCAGTCAGAGGACACAAGACTGAGCTTGCAGCTGTGGCTCGGGGATTGCCACAGCATTCTGCTCGTCCAATCGCCGAATCTGAGCTGAGACTCATGTGCATATGCGAAGACAGGCGAAGGCCTCCGAGCAATGCTCCACATGCAGAACGCTTTTGGGAGTTTACGAAAATAAGGGACCCCTAATGCAGACCCCCAAATCGTAGGATTCCCTTATACGAGTAACAAGGACCCCCGTCCCCCCCAACTTCGGGCCAAACCCACACATGAGCTAGGAGATCTTCGGTAGCCAGGGTTCCCAGAGACTCCAAAAGTTAAGGAACATACCTTAAATCATACTAGGGTTCCTATTATAGACAAGGGATGTCAATTAAGGGGTTTTGGAGTCTCTGGGTTGGTAGCCAGGGTTCGAACCTCAATATCCCTAAACCCTAATCCCTAAACCCTAAACCCTAAACCCAGGGTTCGGACCTCACGGTCCAGGTCCGGCAGCCGTAGCCGCTTCGAGTCCAAGGCCAGCAGCTCGGGACAAAGCGAGCGCAAGCTCTTGGCGTACCTTTCACCGCGGGTTTAGGGTTTAGGGTTTGGGGTTTGGGATTTAGGGTTTGGGGTTTAGGGGTCTCAGGGTTGCATTGCCACTTGGCACAGGATGGAAGGAGATGCTCCCAAGTATATCTATAAACATGTAGACTTATTTAGTTATTTACGAAGATAAGATAACATGAAATCGATCTCTTTGTGGAGACATCCAGCGACCTCTTTCTGGAAGTTTGCGATTTCTCACAATCAGCTTGAGCGGAATTCGCATGACTTAGCATCATTCCTCTACCAGGGAAACTGTGCTAAAAGTCGGTCTGCAGTAGCAGTCGTTCTCTTGTTGCGATCGATGTAAGAAGCTAGCCGCTAAGGTCTGAACTCTGGCAGCGCGCACACCGGACAGGCGTCGGAGTTGTCCTGCTTCGCACCAGGCTGTCATCTCTACTGAACAGCTTTGCTACCATCCGGTTCAAGAGACTTTCTTAATAAGGCATGCTACGGCCACTTGCCAGTCCACATTCTGGAAGGAGAGGTGGCGCAATGAGCGTGACGTCTTCAGGCCTGCATGCATACGTGTACCATATACAATACATCCTGCAACACTTGCAGTCAGCGCACGAGCTCGGAAAGTTGCAGGTGCCTTCCAAGTCTTGGATTTTCGAGATCGGATTGGCCTTCGGACAGAGGATGGGGGAATGATACTAGACCTCCACCCCAGGGCCCAAGTAGGTAGTGCAGCAGCCGCCCTCCCTGAGGTTTCGTGGAGTGCAATGGGATGTAACCCTAAACCCTAAACCCCAAACCCCAACCCCAAACCCTAAACCCTAAACCCTAAACCCCCAGCCTTCAGCATTAGCCGCTCAAGCTTTGGAGCGCCGCTCAGATCCTGAACCTGGCGTCTTGGCATCCTAAGGGGGCTTTCCAAAAATAGGGGTACCCTTTGGGATCTTTTGGGGCTCCCTTTCAGGGGATTCTGTTCTCTTTGGGGTAGAAAAGGAGTACCCCTATTTAGGAAATACCCATACATGATCTGGCGAACCCCTCGAGGTTATTGAGAACAAGTCCTGAAGCCCAAAGTCCTCAAGACTCTAGGGCCCATACACGCAGCTTTTGCAGCTTTAGGCAAAAGTTTGAAGCCCAACATGCACTTTGCCTTCAAGATCTTGTTGAAGGAAAGGTCCACCTTTCAATTTCAGCAAGCGAGCTGCGCAGCAAAGCCTACGTTGCCCTATACAACGCTGAAGCCTAAACCACAAGCCCAGGAGAGCTTAGACGCGTCAAGTGGAACCCGAGCAAATTTGAGTCTGGATGGCAACCGGCTGAAGCGTCGGTTCAAGAATACGACTCTGACGGACTCGTGCTGCCAAGAAGCTGAAACAAGCTGGCTTAAACCTTCCAGGTTCTCCATGCCTCAGGCCATGCTCATGCACAACTCCACGCATGACCGCCGACATTTTGAAATATCTAAGACGCTGGACATGTGCACGTGCGCTGCAAACTGCAGGAACTAAGGCTGATGCGGACAATCTGGTTTTTGGACAGATCCAACCATCGAAGGTTACAGCCTAGGTGTGCAAAAAAGGGTTGAAGACACGCCGAAATAGGCTCAGCCCAGCAAGCTCCAGCTTCCTCGCCGAGAGAAGCGCATTTGCCAAGCTGATCTATCCTTGTGATGGAGCCTCAGCAAAGGTGCAAAGGTGTGCATAGTGCATCACTGATGCGAGCAATCGGACAGATGCTACTCAGGAGCGGTTGGGGAGAATGGCCTGGAATACGCTTTCCTGCAGGGCTTCTGTGTTCAACAGAGGCTTTCATCGCAAAGATGTGGGAACCACGGAATTGCGAACACAAGGAAGGCGCCTCATCAAACTCCCCAGTCGCATGCTTGAGATATTCCACTGTAAGAGGGGGCATGCTTTGGATCCATCGAGCCGGATTGCTGCGCCATCGCAAACTGCAAAAAAAACAAGCGCAGAGTTGGCAACTTTGAATGCCCTAAACCGGTGAAAAAGAAAAAACCATGTTGAACCATCAAACAACAATGCCACAAAGTGCCGACAAGCGTTGCACCGTTTCACCGCTTGTCATTTGCTCTCCGTGCCCAAGTTATCAGGGCATCGCTCTGTTGAGGAGCCTGCGTCCGAAAGGGAGGACTCCTCCCTCGGAACCTGTCAGAAGCTTTAGGTCACTGGGGCCATAATCATAGTACTAATAATAATAGTAAAAATAATAGCATAAGGCAAACGGCCATGAGGTTTGCAGCCTGTGACATCAAGCCTGTAAACTCCAGCCCTTAACATGTTCTTGCATCACGCGACTGCTAGAGCTGCTAGAGTGCTGCTGAAGAGGCGGTCGCCAACATCAAATGGAAGGGACGTCGCACTTTACTCTGCACGCTACACGTCACCAGGTCAGGGAGGAAGCCTGGAGCACTGCTCGTCCAAGGCACGGAGGCCCCCTGGCAAGTCCTGGACACGAGATTTCATTCTTGCTATTATTATTGTGATAATGATTATTATGTTTGTATTATTGTTATCATAATAATAGTTACTATTATCATAATACTTGCTAATGTTTTTGTATTATTATTATTATCATTAGTACTATTTTGTTATTGTTATTATTATTGGGCCTCTGCCAAGCTTCTCATGCCCCTGCTACTTCTCGTTGCGCATGGCTCAGAGATGGTGGCTCCTCCTTCTTGAGAAGTTGCAGCATGGACTCGGCTCGCATTGCCTTAGGGTTGGTGACTGTGCCCTAAACCCTAAACCCTAAACCCTAAACCCTAAACCCTAAACCCTAAACCCTAAACCCTAAACACCACAAGGCCAGTGTCTGGTGCGTGGTGTTTCGTGGTCACACACGCAGCTCAAGGACTGCTTTAGACTGAAGCTCAAAATCTTACTCAGCCCATCTCAGCCCCACACTCTGCTGCGGAGTGCTGCAGAATTGCGGCTAGCAGCCTGGCCGGTGGCAGTGGCTCGAGACCCCTTTAAGCATGTTTGCCTCAAAGAGTCCAGGCGAAGACAGCACCTTCATGTTGTTCAAGACCTGCAATCAAAACCTCTTTTCTGGGTGCTTCTCAGTGTCGTAGGAAACACTGCTGCGTAGGCAGCCAAGATCATTAGCATCAGCTCGGTCAAGCGGAAAAGCACACATTCAAAGTGGTGGTGCTTCGTTAACAGTGTTGACGGAAGAACAGTGCCAGAGTTACGACACGTTCTGTCAACCTCCAAGCCGTATCACGGTCTGCATGACTTCAGCTCACCCGTGCTCCCAGTCACAGGAACGAACCTTCGTCCAGGACTGAGCCGAACGCTCACTACGTGCCAGCAGCTAGGGTGTACGAAACTCTCTGCTAAGCACTTCCAAGCCACTTGGGTCGCTGCCACCCCATGACCAACTTTTCCGAGGCAGCACCATCGCCCCCGCTGTGAACAGCAACTCTGCCTTGACTGCCAACAAGCACGGAAATCGTTTGCATAAACCTCAAGCCAAGTAGCGGCAATCGAGCTGACTTTCGTTAGCGTAACAGGATCCACCTGCCCAGATGCTTCATTTCTTTCTGAAAACCTACATTGACACGTTGAATCGCGCCCTGAGTCGAGTGAGTTGCCGGTGTCTGCAGTTTTGCACTTTGTGCCTTGGTGTGGGGTTGTCGTCGAAAGACTCGCAGTGCTTATCAGCGTGCCCGGGAACGAGACGGGTTTGCTTGGTCACTCGGCGGCCTTCTCCAACTCTAAAATGCACATACTCAACCAGGAAACTCCTTACGCCAACTGAAGTGAACTGCCATTCAAAGACTGCCGGAGTGTTTCACGCGCCTTCGACGATCCCTCAATCGATGTATAGGCCTCCTGAACATGAGCCGCTTTCAGACATGATGATCGTTCTTGTATCTGGGGGTTTACGAAAATAAGGGGCCTCTGATATAGACCCCCAAGTAGTAAGACTCCCTTACTCTAAGGACCCCAAGAAGGTAGCCCAAATTTCGGAAACCACCGCATGATGCGCGTTCTTGTATATCCCCCGGCACTCCGATTGAAATTTGCACCATGCCAATTATTCATGTCCACGTGCACTGCACCCGCTGATTCCCGGTCACCTCACTGGACAATGCGTTGTAGTCCTTGGTTGCTGGAAGTGGCCAAAGAGCTTCCATGTGTAGCATCAGCGTCATAGGCACATGTCCCTTCCCTCGCAACAAGGGGGTTTACGAAAATCAGGCACCCGAAATGTAGACCCCAAGTTGCAGAATCCCCTTTAGAATAAGGACCCCAACCAGGTTCCCCTAAATTCGTAAGCCCCCACAAAGCAACCAGACTGTAGCATGACTTGCATGCAAGGGGCTTTCTTTGACGAGGCAGCGCTGCCTGCTGCTGCCGAGAGGGACATGCCGGCCAGCACTCTGGAGCGTCGACCCGAAGCACAACGTAAAGTAAAGACTGAATTGAGGGCTTCCGAAAGTAGGGGTACCTTATTGAGGTCCTTGCTATATCAGGGAATCTTATGAAATCTGGGGGTCTACATTAGGGGCCCTTTATTTTCGCAAACCCCCAAATGCAGGTTGCGACCAGCCTCTCTTGGCCGAGCTTGCATTCCCAGTGCGGGGAACGTCAGTTGCGACCTTGGCTAGGGGCGATGTCACGGCTCGAGCAGTGCTGGCTGGGCCAAACTAACGTGGGTTTATGTTTAGGGTTTAGGGTTCAGGGTTTAGGGTTCAGGGTTTAGGGTTTAGATTATTCATGAACCCTCTGGTGTGCAAAGTGCGGGTTCAAGCGGCGCGACGGTCAGCAGCGCCGCGTCGTGCGGGAGGAAGGCTCGCCTCCTCTGTGGTTACTGGTTCTCTCTCGTTTAGGGTTAGGGGTTAAGGGTTTGGGTTTAGGGTTTAGGGTTTAGGGTTTAGGGTTTAGGGTTTAGGGTTTAGGGTTCAGGGTTCAGGGTTCAGGGTTCAGGGTTCAGGGTTCAGGGTTCAGGGTTCAGGGTTCAGGGTTCAGGGTTTAGGGTTTAGGGTTTAGGGTCTAGGAGGAATATAATAGAAAAAAATGAAGATGCTCCTTCGCATCTATCTTCTGCTCTTCCGGAATCGTGGTGTTGGCCTCCTTCCTGAGATCAGATGTTGATCTGAATCAAGCGGCTACGTTGTGTAAGATCAGGTTCTGCTTCCCCCGGCCCACTTACTGCGAACATGTGAAGCGACGCCTTCAAGCATCTGATTCATGAAGGACAAGACATCAACATGGGCACGCTGGATTTTTTTCAGACTTCCACCAGCATCGCCACCTTAAATCCTAAGCCCTGAACCCCAAGCCCTCATTTCTCTTTAATACAAGGAATATGGGGCGCCCTGTGGGCCCCCGGTGCAACTCATGGTTGGGGTGCAGGCAGTGGCCGATGGCCTGTTCTGGAGACCTAAAAGAGAACCTGCTGAGCCCCTGTGATGCATCTCATAAACAACAGAACTTTTCGTTTGGGTCAGCCCTACCGATGTTTCTGCAGCTGGCCTTCTGGCTTCAAGCTCGTAGGTTCTCTACCAGCACTATTCGCGGAATAGGCGGGGTTCTGCCCGAAGTACTTCAGAAAGGGGCGTGCATACTCCAGTCTGCTCATAGTGACATAACTTGTGGCGAAGCAGCATGGGGGAAGCTGGCACAGCAGCCAGCTGCTCGTGTGGATCATCCTTATTCAGCGCGAGGTGCTGCCAAAAAGAGCACTCTGCTGTGCAAACACCACTGCTCATGGCCACTGCTACACTCCCCTAAAGGACCTATGAATCATATTTATAACAATATTGCGAATATTTGGGTTGATAAAAACACACAATAATTTCCTAAGAGGGTTGTTTTATACTGCAAGATGAAGCGCGGCGGGGCCCTCGGTGTCGGCTGCATTGGCGCTCGCCAAGGCATTCATCCGGACCTGCGGTCAAAGCAACAAGCTGCCGCACACACACGATGACCGCACACACACACACACATGTGCTACAAGTCCCTACCCTAAACCCTAAACCCTAAACCTTAAACCCTAAACCCTAAATAGCACTGCAGCTGGAAAACTGATGCCCCCAGCCCGGCCTCCGCTTCATCGGCTGCCGTGACCAGGGGCGGCTCGGCAGCTTAGCACAGGAACAGCTGGACGTTTATGGTTTAGGGTTTAGGGTTTAGGGTCCACTCTTCTTGCTCGACTTCCAAAGGTACATGGGGGTTTCCGAACTTGGGGGGTACCTTATTGGGGGTGCAATATACGGGGCCCCTGATTATTTTCGTAACCCCCCACATGGTTGGCTGTTTCAGGTGCTTCTCACCGGTGGCTGCAGCTGCACTGGAAGTTGCTCCTCAGTCTCTTAGCGGCCTCGCTCGGCTTCCGCCTCGGCCTCGACCCTGCTCAGGAGCCCCTTCCTTAGGTTTAGGGTTTAGGGTTTAGGGTTTAGGGTTTAGGGTTTAGGGTTTAGGGTTTAGGGTTTAGGGTTTAGGGTTTAGGGTTTAGGGTTTAGGGTTTAGGGTTGTATGGAGAAATCCGGAGAACACGGGCCCTTGCTGCAAAGTTCTGGACTTCGACCAGAGGCTCGCCGAGCTGTCGGAGGGGTTGTTGAGATGCTGCCTTCACAACATGTGTATACTTAAAAGATAATGTAAAAAAGATATGTTAATAATTGTAAAAGTACTACTAGAAATCCTGATTATAGTATTAATATGTGCAAACGGCGCAAGATCAAGCCACAAGATGCTGCCGCACGTCGAGCTCAGGCTGAGGCCACTGGTGGTCCATGTTATCCTGTGCTTCGCGGGCAGCCCTGCCCGAGAAGCGGCTCGTGTTTGCGGTGGCTGCCAAGGCCTGAATCTCAGCTCCAGCCACTTGCGAGAACGTCATGCGCCACGAGGCTCTCCCAAAATCAGATAAGGAAATCTGTACTGCGCTGGACTCTCGATGCAGGCCATGGGTCTTGCTCCATCCTCTCATTCCAGATCTTTTCCTTGGATCTGAATGAAACGCATTCACAACATATCACACATGCAGCAAACCGTCTTCCACATGCACCTTTCACCCCTGGTTCTTCGTGGGGAATGGGGAGTTAGGTACCCGATATAATACCTGTAAGGGTATATAAAGGTACCTCATTCCCTGATTCCCTACTAAGAACCAGTAAGTTACCTGAGCAAAGCGAGAAGACCTGAGGCCTGTTCAAAGCTGGGAATCTTGTTCAGCACGTCGCTGGGGTGCCTGCGAAGTTGAGCAAGGTCCGCGCTGGACCAGATAGATGTACATGGGTACATCATGCTAATTCTTTAAATTGGGATCCCCTTCTCCTTGGGTCCCCTATGTAATACGGCCCTTGTATTAAGGACCACACAAAGGGGACCCTCGTTTGGACAGCTACTCACATGTGCATACTGCGTACTGCTGATTGCCTTTCATGTCCAGGATTTTCCGAATACTAGGCCTCTTGCAAGTCATATCTGGAAGCGCATCCTGCTGGCAAGTGGCCAAGGAGGCGGCGTCGACTGCCACAAAGGATGCTGCGTGTCCTTCTCTGTCTGGAAAGTTTCCTCCTCAGCTCATGACGATTGGAGCCAGTGCCGAAACTTCCAGTGGCTCCTTGTCGGGTTTAGGGTTAAGGGTTTAGGGTTTAGGGTTTCGAGGAGTGCTCAGTTTTGGTAAGGAGGGACAAGGCAATCTGCCGCCGAGTCGCGTCGATTCCGTATCCAACTGGGTGTTCCCTCTTGCTGGTCTCGCCTTTCCGTGCTCTTTGCGTGAACCCGAGGCCGAGCCACATGCCACAAAAATACCAGGAGTCTCACCCGCCTTCGAGAAACTTGTCTAACCACTGTGGCTCCGCCTTCATCAGGCGCTTGTAGGCCTTCCTCAAATGACACCGCCTTTCTCCATATGATTTCGCAGCTTTCCACTGCAAAATTCAAGACATCTGCGCTTTGCCCAGGACTCTCACATGCAACTGCCGTATGCAATGAAACTCGGTTCCTGCAAGCGAAACCTCCAAGTCGGCCAAGCTTCATTTCCAGCAGGTCGCCGCCAAGCATTTTCTTGGCTGACAATGTGTGTCATACTGGGTCCATCCACAACTGTAAAATCTGTAAAATCATGAATCACAGGCGCATTTGCGCACATGGCTTCCCACATCGGCGAGTAGCAGCAGCACTGGCAGCTGCTGGTCCGTGCTCGCTGCACGCCCGCCCCCAATCCTGCTTCATACCTGTCCTGCCTGCCCTACGTGCACTAAAAAAGCCTACTTGGAGGGTCGCACTTAGTAAGTAGATCGTAAGTAGACTCATAAGCATCCTAAGAGAGACCTTAATCGGAGTTATCCTCTACCTACAACTCCATTCGATAACTCCTTGCTAAGTCCTCCGACCCTCCTCAAGTACCTACCCAGCCATCTTGGCATGCCAGGGCTCCGTCGTCATATCGGCTCCAACGCCCAAGGCCCCGGAGTTGCCATCGAAGGCCTAGTGCTTACAATGGTACTCCCATGGGAGCAGCAAAAGGGTTTAGGGTTTAGGGTTTAGGGTTTAGGGGTTGGGCCCCTGGGCCCGGGGCCTTCATCCGGGCATCTTCGTACATGTCTTCCCGCTGACTCTCAGTATACTTGTTGAGATCAGGTAGACCTCCCAGGGAAGCACTTGCACTCGGACCCACGGCCAGGGTGCATGCTACTTGACCCCCTGATTCAGTGACACCTGCCGGGCGCGGTAGTCGTGGGTCCAGTGTCGCAGGCTCGTCCTCAGAAAACCTTCCAATCTCTATGCTGCATGGTCGAGGACTTCATGCTGGCACAGGGGTTTATTGTGGTCTGCTCACGCTCGCAATTTCCCTCAATTCATTGCAGGTGTTAACATGGCAGCTGCAGCGCAACCTCAGGGACCATCGATACAGTGGCATGAAATGCCGTTTCGGTGCTGTTATGTGATGGTTTCCGACAATGGGGGAACCCTTTTTTGGGGGGGTCCTAAAATAAGAATTACAGTATCTGGGGGCATATTCGGGGTACCCCCTATTTTGGGACATGCCCATGTGCTGCACTGTTTCAGTGCCAGCGCCTGTCTTCAAACCGTGGCGTTGCCCGCTCCAGGCCATGAGGGGTGAAGGCTTTCGGGAAGCCTGCGCTCGCAGATCCCGCTCAAAGTCTGTGGGAGTTTAGGGTTTAGAGGCTTTAGGATCTAGGGTGCAGTGTAGAGCTTAGGGTTTAGGGTATGAACTGCTTGAAAGCAGGGCGGACGACCGTAGATTCTGTAGATGGAAAGGCGGCTGGTCCTTTTCGGGCAGCTCAGGGGCGGGGGAGGGGGGTGAGGGTTCCCGGTGAGGGGGGGAACTCACAACACCCCCCTGCCCCGCCCACCAGGTCGAAGTCACAAGGTGGGGGCCCCCGCCCTCCCGTGAGACCCTGAAATATCAGGGATTGAATTTAGGCCTCACAAGTACTATTTGCCCCAAATAAGAAGGTTGTGAACCAAAGGTCGCTTTCGTGATGATAAGTATAATATACAACAATACAGTACAACATTTCATGATGTATTACTGAAAGAAAACCTCGAAAGCAATATCTCAGACTCCTCATGTCATAAATTTGTACTATTATCTTGCATTGTTCCCGGGAATCACTTCAAGCGGCATGCCGGGCCTTTCATAGTTGGACGTCGCAGCGTGTGTTCTGCCAGCCATTTCTCTTGATCCCAGTCGGCATAAACCTTCTGATCGGCTTTCTCTCCTTGAGCTTGCATTCACACTCGCCTCTTCACCACTTGCATCCTATTTTTTGGAAGAAACACATCCGTTCGCATGTAACAAAAATTGTTGTATGTATGTAGATATTATATATATATATATAGTATATGTGTACTACTATACACATATAAAAGAGACTATCAGACAGTGAGATGCTCTGAAGTGCGGCTCGGGCTCTGCGGAAGGTTCCTCGCCGCGGCCAGGGTGCACCCCGCTGCTCCAAGTCGAAACCTTCTTAGAGCAAAAGCGGAACACGTTTAGGGTTTAGGGTCTAGGGTTCAGGGTTCAGGGTTTAGGGTTTGGGAATTATGATAGGAAAGTCAGGAACCGAAACGCGAACCGAACAGCACGAATCGTTCGAGCTGGAACCGGGAATTCGATGCGACCTTCCACCACCTTCACCTCCCCTCCACCGATAGGGGGTGGGGCGGGAGTGGTGCGGAGGGGGGGGGGGGGGGGGGGGGGGGGGTGGTGCGAACCGTGGACCCCCTCCCCTCCACGATGCAGAACTATGCAGAACTATATATTATGTTCACGAGAACCCATTAAACTCACTAGACAGATCAACTTACGCTAATCAAAGTGCTGCGCAGAAGCCAGCTTGGCCAGACTCCTGCCAATACTTGGAGATGGGAGTATCCAGCTTGATGGGCAATGTACACCTGTGAATGAACGACACGTCACACAGCACACGCAGTGGACACGAGAGCGCCATGCACTGCACTGACAATTTCACAGCTGGGAGGCTTGTCGCTGTCGAAGAACTGACTCATAAAATCGCCAGCCGTGGACTTGGCAGCTGATTTGAGCCCGCTTTTCCAGTCCATCAAGTCCGGCCTTGTGAGGGGATGCAGAGAAAAATTGCAAGTCCTCATGACATCTCTTGACATGTGGAGGCTTGCCAAAATAGGGGACCCCCTAAAATAGACCCCAAATAACATAGCACTCCCATACTAGGGAGCCCAAAAAGGTACCCGCCGAAGATCGTAAACCCCCCATGTCTCATGACTACCAAGTCAGTGCCAAGGCTGGCTGTTCTCCCTAAACCCTAAACCCTAAACCCTAAACCCCAAACCCAAACCCCAAACCCCAAACCCCAAACCCCAAACCCCACACCCGAAACCCGAAACCCGAAACCCGAAACCCGAAACCCTAAACCCTAAACCCTAAACCCTAAACCCTAAACCCTAAACCCTTAACCCTAAACCCTTAACCCTAAACCCTAAACCCTAAACCCTAAACCTTAGCAAGCGGCGGCCCTTCGAGCCATTCCCACCAGAGCTTGGGCCGTCCCCAATCTGCGTTGAGGAGACCGGGCTCCTTGACACAGCGCCTATTCCTGCCAAGGCATGGCAATAGGGTTTAGGGTTTAGGGTTTCGGGTTTAGGGTTTAGGGTTTAGGGTTTAGGGTTTAGGGTTTAGGGTTTAGGGTTTAGGGTTTAGGGTTCAGGGTTTAGGGTTCAGGGTTTCGGGCAATAACTCAAATGGGTATTGTCCCCCAAAATTAGGGGTACCCCCTTTATACCCCAAAAGGTGTAGAATCCCCCACAAAAAGGGTACCCCTTTGTTTTAGAGACGTCCGAATAGGTCAAGCACTTCGGAGCACAACTCATCCACTCATGGACGATTCTTCACCCAGGGTCCATCCCGGAGGTGGTCGGCCGTCGTAGGGGAATGTGGTCTTAGCTTCTTCCGCTCTGGAGCAGTCACGCACACATCGGTTGCGTAGCACGGAAACGGACGCGCTCCATCCGCCACCCCATTTGGCACCGACATTTTGGAGTCCGCCAAGCGGCCTGACCTTCCTCGGACGTGCCGAACTGCTTCCACTTGTCGCGCCAAAGCCTGCCTCAGCACGGGAACACTTGCTCAAAGCAACCACTGGTAACTACAGCCGACTATCCATGTGAAGACCAGCAGCGCTGCTCCCACCATAGGTTTGGTGGTGATGTTACGAAGCTTTCCAGCATGTCCTCACAGCGGCTCTAGAACTCTGTCAAAGCAGAGGTGAACTCCCCTTCGTGTCGTGGTGCAAATGCAACAGCTGGCTGTTGGACTAGCGGCGACAAATAGGAATACGCATTGCTTCTAGTATGCACCGGTAGGAAGGACGCACGTTCAATGTTGCAGCAAACATATTTTCAACCGTCTCCAAGACTCCCCCATGCCTGAAGCCTGTCTTGTTGCATGGTGGGGTTGGGGACGTGTTGCCAGGAAGTACTAAGATCTTACTGGCATGCTATTCTGCATGGTTTTCGATGCTTCATGGAAGTTTACAAAGTGGTGCGTTTTTTCTTGCGCCCCTCAAGCGACAAGGGATGAACTGCTAGCCCGTCTCCACCAGTCGCAGCCTTCCGCCTCGACCATCGACTACTCTTGGGGGCAAGTCGCGTCTGCAGGATATCCGGGCTTCGTGGCGCGATCCTGATTTTGCAGCGACGGATACTGGCATGTGCCACATGTGCCTTTGTACAGGCATTCTTGCTTTTTGCTGCCGGGGAACCCAGTAATTCCAGTATGATGGATCTTTGAGGTACAATTGCGAGTCCTGTCCGCTGAGTGACGCACCACTCCGGCTGAGCCACTTCGCTCAGACTTTAAACCTGGCTCCGGCGGAGGCCTTGTCATAGATTATTCCAGGAGTTGGATATCTCTGCCTCCGCGGGGGTACTGAGCATGCTTTGCGGCAAGTGTCTCCCTAAAGTAGATGACACGCAGCACAACTTCTCGTCGAGCTGAGGCGCGCTTCTTCTGTTTTCGCCTTTGATGTGGCTTGACTTATGCTAGCACTCGACAGGGAACTTGCGGAAACGTGCAGAGGCACAGCTGAACCTTCCACCGATGTGTGGTAGTGTTATGGGAGCTGTGTGGAATTCATCGCAACCGAAGTCAACGTGACAATTTCTTCTGAAACATCGAGTTGAACAAGAAATGCAAGCGCGCTAAAGAAGATGTGTTTGACAAGTTACAAGGAGAACCTGCGGCTTCATTTCATTGGTTCATAGATTTTGCGCTCGAGAGGACCCAATGGGGCCTGGGAATAAGTCTGACCGATTTAAGTCTGACTTGCTGTACGCACCGTGGGCTTACCGGGAACTGGTAAACTCCCGGCGAAACTTGCTTGGTCTGCAATTTGTTTCTATGACAGTTGGAAAGAGTGGCGCTGCTTCGCAAGAATTGACAAGTTTCAGGCAGTGTTCGCAGCTTACCCTAACCTGAAGAACTACAAAAAGACTTGAAATTCCTCGGGGGGCCTTGTGATTTCTGAACAAACTTGCAAATTCTCAGGAGACTGTAGTTGTTGTCATTCATTCCGACATCCCCAAGCCACAGTGCACCATTCAACAAAGGATGCGGTACTTATCGTTGTGGTTGTTTCCGTGTCCTTTGTTGCTCCTACTTGCTAAGCAGACAGGCTCCATTTCTTGGGATGTTCTCCTTACACTAACAGTCCTCAAAAGGGACTATAGTGCCCCCGATTATATAATCCCTATTAAGGACTGCTCGTATAAGGGGGAACATCCCAATCCTGTTTTTTTGGTTTCATGGTGTTGGTTGCGTTTCGGCTTTGGTGGTTCGAGGCGTTGGCTCCTTGTTTGCCCGCGAAGGACCTCCAACAGCTCCAACACAAGCTAAACAGCAGGCAACCCAGGAGCTTCTTTTTGAACTGTGCATTGGGATGTTCCTTCTTATACTAACAGTCCTTAATGGGGGTTACAATAGGGGGTGCTAGAAACCTTACTAAGGACTGTTAGTAAAAGGAGAACATCCCAAATTATGGATCTCTTTGCATGGTTTACAATCACAAGTGTTTCGATTATTTGTTTAGACACAGATATGCGAACAATAAATACAAGTTTCTCGGCGACGGCTTCAATCAAACACAAAGCTGAGGGAGACTATGGGGCGGGGGACCGTATGTAACATAATACAATACAACGCAACACATTATTGTATCATATGGAACTGAAAAAAGAAACATACGCCTGGCGGATGTGTCTATTTCTGGGGGGCTTTCCGAAATTACGGGCTTACTGGGGTGCGTATTATCAGGGAATCCTACTATTCGGGCAAGTATATTGGGTCCCCGATTGTCGTAACCCCCCCAAAAAAGAACTGCTGCAGCAAGGCACCATGGCTGACACCCCGCGCAGCGCCTGGGCGTTGCGAAGCTGTCTGCTGTCAGAATCACAGGCTCACACACCTTTCAGCGGGCTTTGAGGGCTCCAAAAGCTTTTGAAAGAGGACTAAGGGCTGTGAGTTAAGACTAACCCTAAACCCTAAACCCTGGAGTTTTAGGGGCTCGTGCAAAGCAAGCATGAATCCAGATCCTGGGGACCGGGCCATTGGTGAAGCTGCTCGGCTGCGACGAGTCAAGCTCGGGGAACGCCGGGTCTCTTATCTACTATTTGCTCAAGAACCCCAAAAGAAAAAATAGGGGGGTTCTTAAGCAAGCAGTTCTGTTAGTCTCTAGGTCTCTTCTGTAAGTCTTGTGTGGCTGGCGCGGTGTATCATGTCAGTTGGTGCAAGTAGCACAGTGTAGGGCCTCGAAAGTGTCTCATGCTCTGCATGTAGCCGTGATTCATGCTGTGCCATAGCTCTGTTGAGCTTCGAAAGGGCTGCGGCGTAGATTCAACATCGAAGGGCAAGAATGCTTAACGTGCTCATGCAGATTGGTGGCTGGCATGATCGCCTCGAGTTGAGCTTCCCTCGAGTGGAGCTCATGCTGCAGCCGGCTGACCTGTGACGATGGTTGGACTGAAGGTGCCTTATGGCTTAGGATGTAGAGTACTAAGCTGTGGCGAAAGCGAGAGCTCACATTTGGCTAGTGCAGATCCGGAACTTTTGTGAGCATCTTATTTGCAACTCCACGGAACGACCTTGAACCAATTTATGGTGACAAGGGCTGACAGGCAGCACATGAGCAAATGACTGATTTAAGCTGAGTTTCAAAGATGGAGCATACAGCCCCATGCTATAGCTACAAGATCCTACCACTGCACCAGCATACGATGCCAAAGCAAACTATGCTGCAAAAGTGCTCCTCGCCACCTGACTCTCCCCTACGATACTTTCTGAGAGTGGACTAGGCTGGTAAATCTCTTGTTCTAGCTGATGATACTTTTCTGTGTCACTTCTCAATACTCGCGACAGACCAGCTACAGTAGACGAACTAGCGTGCCTCGGACATGTCCAGCCCGGGGGCTTGCCTTGGCTCACCAAGTTCTACATGATCTCTGGCATGCATGCCCTCCCCTCCCCCCCCCCCCCCCCCCCCCCCCAACCCCCCTCCCCCCCCATCTGGGATAATCTGAGACTCGAACATGCTATCAAGCTTGGAAGCCTCAAGGGTGCCAGCAGCACTCAGGCAGATGCTATGCTCACGTGGCATTGACTGTGGCATGCAAACCTGTCTCGAATAGGTGCGTGTTCGATCTCGAGCGACCCACCAGTTGCGCCATCTCCACATTGGCGGCATCGACCCGGCTCCTGAAGAGATCCGAGACTCGGCCCAGGCCCGGATAGCCAGGCAGGGCTCCAGCAACATGAGAAACACAAGTGGGAAAATGCTTCCGCTGAGGTCGGCGCTGGTGCGTCGAAGCAACTTGCTCAAGTCTGCTGAGGTCCGCCTGCCATGCGCATCCTTCAGCCCTCATTCCAGAGCAAGCTGACCGTCTTCAAAGCATCGCGAGCCACATGGTGCCGCCAGTGCCTGATGGCGTGAAGCACCGGTGTGCGCATGGGACAACGCAACCTGGCAAGGGCTTCCCCCGGCAAAGAAGTACGCATGCCACGTGCACAATGGGGCATCCATGCGCAGTGTCTCCGAAGCTTGGGCGCCGCCTCCTGCTCGCAATGCTCTTCCTGCATTCGCTGGAGCAGATCAGTCACATCATCCACCTGGCGGGCTTCAGCGAGTCGTCAACGCCTTCAAGGCTGTTTTCTTGCCTAACCCGCCTGCCGACTGATGGGTTTTTGAGCAGAATTGAAGCAATCCCCATGTTTCAGTTCTTAGCTAGAAAAACCCCTTTTATACAAGCATCAATTTCATTGTCGCACTCAACGGCAATACCACGGGCAAAGACCCGCAACGCCTTTCGAAGCAGGTCGCTGTGGTGCTCTTCGTGAGCCTCTGGGCAGAAGAATCGGCGAGGTGCCATGCACACCCTAAAACCCTAAACCCTAAGCCCTAAGGTCTAAACCCTAAGCTCTAAACTCTTAAGACCCTAAGCTCTTAAAACCCTAAACTCTTAAAACCCTAAACCCTTTAACCCTCAACCCTAATTCTTGCCATGTCCGTGCCTGGACACTTACATCACATTCCCTCATCTTGCCAAAAGCACCCACTGCTGGTTTCCATCAAGCCGCCAAAACGGCTTGGATCACTGCAGAGCTTGGCTGCTTGATCCATTCTGGATGAAGGGCCAATCCGCGAAAACTGACGGTGAATGGTGCTTCCATCCTCAGACCCATGCCTCCTGGCCCGTAATATTTTACAAGCTTCTGTCAAAGGTGGGCAATGGCTAGGAATGTGCGAAGCAAAAAAACACACTATATTGCACTATGTAAATCGCGTAGTGGCAGCATGCTTCATGGCCTTGCCATGTGGTTCCTTCACACTTTGTGCTCTCAAGCAGGGAATGCCCGGCATGCCTGTCAAATCAGGTAAGGCGCAGCCTGCGGCGATCCGCTGGACAGAACTATAGACAATTCCGACTCATTCTCAGGTGTGTAGACGCCAGTGAGGCTCCCAAGCTGCTTCTTCAGATGATTCAGCTCCATCTCTACAAAAGCCTGGAATTTGCCCTGGTTGCGTAGCAGCCAGGTCTGTTCATGGATGAGCTTTCCTACGTCCATGGCAGTTGCCTGCCCCCGCAGTCTCAAACAGCCAGCCAAAAACTCCTCGACTTCAACCTCCCCACCGCCATCCATGTCCAAGAGCTTGAAGAACGACCACGCGTCATGTACCTCCAGCCCGAGAGTAGCGAAGTATTCCTGCACAGCTTGGCTCTCGAAATTGGCCCGAAACATCTCGTAGGTAATCGATCCCTGATTCGCCTCGTTTGCGCCGAAGGCCCGAAATAGCTTGCTGATCTTCTGCACGTGCGCTTTCTTGTCAGCAAGAATGGACTGCACCCTTGTGGCGTGATCATTCTGGGCACCTTCAATAGCACTCTGACCTTAGTACTGACTATGTACAGGCTGCAGCCGCGCAAAATTTGTCAATGTCTCTCAGAGACTGGAACGATGTGAGTTTCCAAACACTAGGGTCGCCTCACTGGATCCCTGATTTCGAAAACCCCAGATACAAGTAGGGTTTAGGGTTTAGGGTTTAGGGAAGTAGTACCGCAATCAACCAGATCAACGTCTTGTGGGTCTCAACTCTCGGTTTTTCGCAACTGAGTTCGCCACAGAATGCTGCAGTGACCACATTTAACCTAAGTCTCGCTCACACCGGACGACTCAAAATTCTTCAAGCATGCTCGAGCCCTATGTTAGTATGGTTGGTGTTCCAGAAGTCTGCAGCAAGAAAGTAAACAAAGTTTCTGTTCGCAAAGCTAAGTTACACGGCGAAATACGTAAACGAGATATAGAAGAGAAATATTACGACCCAAGCAATGGAGATCTGCATCAGGGGAGCCACCAGTTCTTCCCAACTTACACCCCCAGCAATGCTCATGAACAAGCTGAGGTAGGAATGCCCGAGGGAAGCAAAGTGCCTCTTAGCCAACATCAGCTCCCTTTGAGAAAGCTTTGCTGCTTCTGGATCCAGCAAATGGCTGTTGACGGCTTGGCAGAAGAGCACAGAAAAAACATACACGATGAGTCCCAGCAGTACCAACGCCCACGCGAGGGTCTTGAGCGTGTTTACGATCGAGGCAATCAGTGTTCGCAAGGCAAGGATAAGTCGGAACATACGCAGTAGGCGAACGGCTTTCGCAAGTCTGGTGATGCGAATGATGCGAAAGGGCTTCATGCCACTCAATCCGGAGACGCCTGAAGAAGAGCCGTCCGGCGTATCATTTGAATAAGATGCATCCAAGACAACTTCCCAAATCGAAGTTGCGACGATGAATATATCAAAGTAGTTCCATGCCCAGTCGCCGGATGTGAAGAAGCTACATCTATGTACGAGTAAGCGAAGCGACAACTCCACAGTAAAGATAGCAGCGTAGGCATACTGCACCACCTGCATCCACAACACATGCTCGTAGCTGTCTCTGTTTGCCTCTACCTCAAGGCCAATAAATATGGCCTGTGTGACTACCACGAAGGTAAAGAACATCTCAAACCAGGGGGACTTGACGATCTTGTCCAACTCGCTCTGCTTCTTCTTCTTATTATTCAACTCTGAATCGGCAGGGACACTGTGTCTCATGGACATTCTGTGGGCGTTCGCTTGGCGAGAGCGATCTTGTTCCCCAAAAGTCTTGAACAACCTGGGGTGGCTACTTGATCTCGCTGATTCCAAGAAGTTCCCGTCTTGTCTTGAACTTTGCACGCTCAAGCTTGCTTTCGGCAGGCTATCTATGAGGTGGCGCAGCATGCTATCCTGGTCGTCAAGTCTGCGTGAAACAATGCCATGCTGCTGAACCAGCAAGTTGTGAAGGTCAGGCCAGGATGGCTGCGAGTTGCCCTCAGCAACCTTCCAAGCTCTTCCAGGCATTGCAGATGAACTGGGCTGCGGATGCTCAACAGTTGCTTGGTCGTCGCATGTTTCCCCTGCGTCGGCCATGGCAGCAGCAAAGGTGTGTGTGATCATTTGCGCCTAAGACATCATCAGGCAGCAGGCTTGACATTGGTAGGGCCGGCAACGGCAGTTGAGAGCGCCGGGCTGGAAACAAACACAGATGTCTGTCTTGACTACTCGTGTACACGCATAGAGTACCTGCAATGAAGTCGCACGCCCTGGACCAACCATGTCTCCCACCTAGCGCAAGCTGCTCGACCCTCGAGGTTTTTGACTGCCCCGACCCCCCCCCTCCCCTCCCTCCCCCGACCCCCTGGTCCGGGGTCGGATAAACAGGACCTTAACAAGAACCAACTCAATAAACTGCCAACAAGCTGTCGACTTTTTCAAAGCGATGGCTCACTGCGCTGGTCGTCGACCAGGCCAAGAAAGAAGCGGCTACTTCACCTTCCTTGCTCGTTGGCAAACACACAGGAAGCCACGGGGGCCACGACAGCTTTGACATGCGTTGACCAGTTTCAGGAGGTTCCTGGCATTGAATCTGCCGTGAGGGGGTTCACCAACGCAGCAAAGAGCGGCAATGCAATATAACGTGCCACATCCTGCCTTTCGACTCTGATTCTAGGCATTGGGTGAGCTGCTGTCGCTGAAATCAATCGGAAATGTTTCCCTGAGACTCCGAAAGGCTCAACAAGGACCCCTTGGTCCTTGATGGTCCTTCTGGAAGTGGCATTTGGACGATGGCTCCTACTTTCTCCTATGTTCCCTTTGGGACTTGCTTTGGCTCCATTCAAAAGGAGCTTGCACTGGCATTGTCTTTGCCCAACTTAGGGTTCTTGCAATGCAGTAAATTCAAAGAAGCCTTCAGCTGAGCTGGAGCTGACTTGTTCGGCAACAACTGCCGAAACCATTGACATCAAAAGTTCACATGACACATGCATCGGCAACTGCACACATTCGGCTATGGTACTGCACTTGCGAAACGTCCTGCGAAGGAGCAAGGCCGTGGCTAAAATCGTGCTCACTGGCAAGCGACCAGAATTTCTCACGCTCGGGATTGCGAGAAACTGATCCCTGGATCAAGATCAAGTGAGATGTGTGCGTTGGGAGAATTTGTGGGAGATGCAAAGCCACTTCGTCCACTGGGTTACATGCAGAAAGTTTCTCCAATCCAGAGTTCAACTGCTCTTGTGGCACAAAGCCAGAAAAGGAATCTGTTGGCCTCCAGCCAACTTCACATAAGTGATGACTGTGGCCAAACCTGTGATCTCGAATCCTCTACTGGTTTCCATTTCAAGGTGCAGGCTGCTTGAGCCACAGCCTGGGGTCGACACGTGGTCGTTTAAATGGCAGATTTCGCCAACAGCAGTCTAAACTTGGAGGTGGGTGTAAAGTCAGAATCTCCGCCTCAGTGTGCAGTGGCCCAGCGCCCGTGCACTGAGAATCGCCCAACCTACAAGTTCCCCACAAGAAAGCTGCTTTAACCCCTGGTTCCTAGTCGGGAATGATATACCCTTTAAGGGATTATGTAGGGCCCTCATTCCCTCATTCCCTACTAAGAACCAGCCAGTTAAGGCTCATCTAAAGCCAAGCGTCTATGTTACCTCGAAGCCAACGGCCTCTGAGTTTTGCAGCAGCGACACATCTAAGCCAGGAAGAACTCCGAAGGCATCCTGCAAGAGGAACTTGTGCTGTGATGGTTTAGGGTTTAGGGTTCAGGGTTTAGGGTTTAGGGGGTAAGGTTTAGGGTTTTCTCCTCTGTTTATTTGGGGGTTAATGCTGGGAAAGCCTGTGGCATGAGACTCTCTCGTTTGGGGGCATGGGGGAGTTGAAGGAGGGGAATGTCAAAATCAGGAAGCAGCCATTTGGGCTTCTGAGTTTTCGCACCTGCGATCCTGAAAGAACAGTTCAAGGCCGGACTTGGTTGTAGCAACTTGACAAATCCAGTTTTTGCGTGACTTTAAACTCAGAAAGCAGAACTCGCAGAGATATGGGGGGTGTAGTGCGGCACCTGGTGCTGGTTGACGCTCTGCCAGCTGTACGTCAAGGCGTTGATCCAGCCGTTGCTGTCGAGACACCTGGAAGAGTCAGGCTTTGAATGCACTGGGGCACCTGGCCAAACTAGCAACTCTCTACTGCTACCTTGACGAGGCACACAGCTGCCACCCAGTGGTGAAGCCCGCGTCCGTAGTCCTGGACAGGTTGCAGCAGGGCTCAGCAAGGAACTGGGGGTTCAAGGGTCTTGGACCGCACATTGGGAGCATCAGAAGACAGGCCTTGACGTAGGACTTGTGGATGAACCAGGTGGGGAACACCTATGAAGAATCGCCGACGTAACAGCTCGATCCACTTTCCGGTAACTTTTCAGTGGGAACTACGAAAACATCATCGGCCAGGGCACGGTGATCGTGAAGTTCAGTGGATAGAGCAGAGCTTGAAAAGATGTTGACCAAACCACAGCTTTCGAACATCTCAGGTGGGTCACCTTCACCACGGCAAGCAGATACCTCAGTGGCTTCTCAAAATCTTGATTCTCAAACGCTGCACCCCTCAAGGTCCCTAAACCCTAAACACTAAAACCTAAACCCTAAACCCTAAACCCGAGAGGCCTTGAGCCTAAGCCATCCATAGTGGTTCATGGATGCCACCTGCAGTCTACAACCCTGACTCTCCCCAAAGCGAGCACAGAGGACACTGAGAAGCCAAGTGTCAACATGAAGGTTAGTACGAAGCAGACAGCCATCACTGCAGCCACAACCTTGGCAAACATTCTCAACGATTGGGCGCATCACCAGCATTGTCTCTTCATCATCAATTACGTCTTGGCGAGAACGTCCAAGAGCAAATGTCATGATCGGACAGAGAAAACACCTGTGCATAGAGCGCAGTGCAAGAATCAAGAAGCCAAGGAAGATTGCCGTGCCTATCTTACACATGATGGGAACATCACGCGCGCCTGCCACCCGGAAGACTAACATAAAAGACCCTAAACCCTAGACAACCTAAACCCTGAACCCTCAACCCTCCCCGCAAGGGATCCACGAATGCGGAGGCGCTGGTGCTGCCCCGGTGATGACCCCATTTCGAAGCACAATCCTAGGCTCCAACACACAAGCTCCTGTAGGCATGTAGGGTTTGGGGTTTAGACTGAGGAAGTTAGATTATGGAACTCGGAACCCTGTAAAGGCTGACAGGAAAAGCCTTGGCTCGTGTTTTGCTCCAGCGTAGAGCAATCCGCCACCACCAAACCGGCAGCCAACACCCAGCTGTATGGAAGTGCCTGCCAGCAGCGGCCAGAGTGCAAGATGAAATTGCTTGCGATGCTGCCTGACAGCGCTGTCAGTGCCGAGGCCTTCCCGAGCCAGTTCGCAAAGTTGAAGTTTCGAAGGCTGGCAGTTGCCAGGGTGGCAGCTATTTGCACTTCGACTAAACCTTGGTGTGAATCTGCATGAGGACTTACTACTACTACTACAACAACAACTACTACTACTACTAATACTACTACTACTACTACTACTACTACTACTACTACTACTACTACTACTACTACTACTACTACGACTACGACTACGACTACGACTACGACTACTACTACTACTACTACTACTACTACTACTACTACTAGGACTACGACTACTACTACTACTTCTTCTTCTTCTCCTACTACTACTACTACTACTACTACTACTACTACTACTACACGCGAATATGTCAGGATGGTCTCAGATCCAAGGAGCACAAAGTGATCAGGCAGTAATGGACGCCGGCACGAATGTAGAATGCCTCAGCAATCCAGGGCAACGCGCACTTGAGGTATCTGCCTCTTGTCTGCCGCAGCCCTTCCGGTAAGCCACAAGTAGGAAAAAACATGCCAAAGCAAAGCCACACTCTGAAAGAAGTTGAAGACAACATGCAACTATCCAGTCAGGCATTCTGCCAAACCACTGAACTGGAGTCCAAGAATCTAGTTCCAACGAGGGTGGCGGCAAGTCCAGACAGTCTTGGGCGACCCTTGGATTCGTGTGCTTCGGTGCCGCCCAGTCAGCCGTCTACAACCTAACGGTTACGCGCACGCTCGTCTTTGCCTCTGTGTTTCTTGATTTACCTTGCTACACAAGCCAGTTAGCGTTAATCAGTCCTTTTCAGAGCTTTGGCTCACGCAGCACTTGTTGTTACACAATAACCCTAAGACTACTACAGCAAGACCCCAAATTCCTCTACGGTGGCCCGAAACCCTACACCCACAGATCTCGCTCCTCCTCATTCCTTTTGCAAGGGGGTCCAAGGATCCAAGGTCGCTTACAGGGAGCAGGATATTTGCGAGCGTTCCATATTTATATGCACCCGCTCTCCCACTCCCTGAATGGTTCACATCTATGTTGTTGGATAGCGATTTATGGCGATGTATAGTACTCGGTTCGGCTATTTTCAGCCCAACCCCTTGCCCAGCAATGCTTGATGCTTTAAACCCATGCAGTGTGCCGTGGTCAACTGCTGCGAAGCTTCTGCGAGAACATGAGCTGTATGGTTGCATGTGCCTCGGCTGAATTGATACACGTGGTGAGTATTCCGAATAGTGCTGTGCGGCCGCAGTGAACCACAGAGAGAAAAATTGTTGGGAAACCGCGCCAATTCTTGCTGATGGTGTACTCTCAGCCCACGTCTTACTGGCTTCCGTCACTTGTCGGCCCGCATTCCCTTACCACTCTCCCATATTCTCCCCCATGATCCCATGGAATATGGCTGAGAGCTGGACAAGATCTGCTGCGCCCAAGTGCCACAGTCTTGGTGTGGCAGGGCACAAAGACACAAGGAAGTGGCTCTTTCAAAGCAGACCCAGCCCCTCTTCTATATGTCGGCTTGTCACTTCTCTGGAGGCACGGAGGAATCCCAGGCGCATGCAGCTACGCTGTCGTTCCAAGTAAGCAGTCAGAGACAATCCGCCGACGCCTCGGGCCGTAGGTGTCTGGGAGCAAAAAACCACACACAAGCCCCCCCCCAACCCACCCAGCACCCCCCACGCGCCCTTCATCCCGACCCCCGACCTCTACCCGGGTTGTCCTTGCTTGCTACCACTCCTACGTTTGGGTGCCTGGTCCATACATGGAATGATTGCACGAAATCTCCCGATTCCCTGAAGCCGGTCGCGTAGCGTGAAAATTTATCCTGCCTTACCCAACCCACATTTATCTTCAGGATGAGCGTTGTAGCACGTGGCAAGCCCTGATCATAGCTGCTCTGAACAGACTGGGTCTCCAGGCTGTCTGCTCGAGAGTAGCATCGAGCAGGGTGCACAAACCTGGATCAAGACCGATGTCGAACTCAAGGAATCTCACCCAAAAACCATGAAAGCGCCCTCAAGGTGACCTTCTGTGAGTGCATTGATTGGGAAAGTCCGAGGTAGACAAGCCCCGCCGCTTTTCTTACTAGCCCATTGCTGCGCGGAACCGGCTTGCAGGTGCTAGTTGTCGAACTCTCACTGCTGCTCTGCCATGCCCGCGCGTAAAACTATTGCCCGGCAAGGCCTTCATCAGCCACGCGCTGCTCAGCACGCTCGCCTCACTACTACGAGCACTTGGTGACTTGGTCGGTGCGTAATTGGGGCTGGAATCCGCTTGCCTGGGGTCGAAAAACTGGGCAATACATGTCGTTTACGTCCCACTTTCCTTCGAGCGTACGTCTGCGCTAAGAACATGCGTTGTGCTACTCCATTCGACTACACTCGGCTTCAAGCTTTGTTGCAGGGCATTGCAGGCTGCACCTCACTGCAGGAAAGGGACCAGCAAGGCGGAAAATTCCACCCAGGGCCCGTGATGGGACCAGCCATCATCCATGAGTGATGCGAACATGTCGCCAAGTGCAACGAGATTTTGAATAGAGACTCAAGGTACAGACCGGCCACTGAGCATTGAAAACCCTGCGATCTCGTTGCACCCAGGCTCAAGAGATCTCTTTGGAGTCCCTTCTCAAGAGAGGTCCGGTGACTGTGTTCCAGGCTCTGGTGCTGGGAAGTGCATTGGGGAATCTCTGTTTGGGAAGCGCGAAGACAATGGATCTTGTTCAGTTCAGGTCGGGTGAACAGCTCTGGGTACTTTGGGATTTGTCAATGGAAAACCAGCTCAGCTGAGCCGCGGTCCAAGGGTGCCAAGCAGACTCAGTTCGGCCAGCATGACTCCACTCCCGTTCGCCAGTGATAACTTGTTACATGTTTGCTACATAGTTGTTGGAAAATGCTGGATCCCTTCTTGCTTTAGTGTCGCTTCCCTCCCCTCCCCAGCCTCATGATGCTGGCACAGGTGAGCGACTTCGGCTTGTAGTGGCTCGAGCCGTTGTCGCCTTGGAGTACGTGCACCCCTAAATGCCTAAACCCCTAAACCCCTAAACCCCAAACCCCCAAACCCCTAAACCCCTAAACCCCAAACCAGAGCGTCGCAGCGAATGTTTCGTACGTTGGAGCTTCTTGGGTTGCGGCAATCGGTCCTCGACAGAAAGGTGCCCAGCATGCTGCTCCTCCAACTCCTTGCTCGGCATTTTTCCGGAGGATACCCTAAACCCCAAACCCTAAACCCTAAACCCCAAACCCCCAATTCAAACCCCGAAACCCCCAAAACCCTAACACCCTAACACCCTAAAGCCCTAAAACCCTACTGAGGGATCCTGCGACAGGAGTCGCAGGCTTGCCAGTGCTGCGGCTTCTCCAGCAAGCGGCCTCGGTCGTGTCTCACCCTCAACCCTAAACCCTACACCCTAAACCCTAAACTATCGTGGCTTGCGATGCACGAGCTTGCTCCTGCGCGTGCTTCCGGAGCCGCTGCGCGCATGTGGGATTACTTACTCCTTGCTGGTGCCTCCATGGCGATGTTCCTTACACTGCTGCTCCGTGTCACAAAGATGCTATCAGAATTCCTTCAACCTCATTCTTGTTTACAAATAACTAAAACGTCCGGTCGTGAACTTCGGACAGGTGGTCAGCTCTCTGTTCACAACCGTCTATGTTATCGCTACATCCTTACGCTCCGGTGCTTTACGTTAAATATCACCCCTTGATTCAATGGTGGATTCGTGGCCAAGGGGTACCCTAAACCCTAAACCCTAAACCCTAAACCCTTGTATCCTGAAGCCACAGCCCTGCAACTCTTGGGGCTCACTCGTGCAGAAACAACCCACTTGAAAGCACGACGCCACCAACAAGACCAGACCGGGACGTGGAACATGGCTATACATATACAGATGTAGAAAAGTCTTAATATAAGAAAAGCATAAGATACAATGATACAATATACCATGTACTATATCAAAATGCCTGAAGGGTGCAATATCCTAGCATTTTCGCCTCGGCTTCGAGGCTTTTGGAACAAGCAGACCATAATCTGGTCTCCTTTCCCCTTTCCAGCCCCCCTCCCCCCCCGGGCCCTTTGAAAATCTGATGCCCCGGGAGGTTCTAGAGAAGACGCCAAAAAATTGACCTCCCTCAACAGGACCGACCGCCCACCCGAGCCTCTTCTGCCTGCAAGCCCTCCCCTTGGACCCTCAGAGGACCATTTCGCATGCCACAACCCGTGTTGGGCCAGCCCCTTCTGCCGAGGCGGGTAGGGCTTACAATTCAGAGACACAGCTGACTGCAAGAGCTTTGACTTGACCTCAGACTGGGACTCTTCATGCTCTGCCCAAGTTGTGGCAGCCTGCGTGGCCCAAGGCAGCTCGCCAAGGTGGCGGGGGAAATTGGGAAGAATTACACAAGAAACCTCAAGATAAGAGGCCGGCCTGCACCTTGGCCTCATGTAGTTGCAGCACCAAAGCCTCGGCCTCGGCCCGCAGTTCCTTTGCTTTGTGTCGTTTCTGGTCAAAGAATGCTGGCTCTATGAGAAGAAGAGTCGGGGCGCTGGCACTCTCTTCTGCGGCGGACTGCTGCAATGCCCTGGCAAGGAGTCAGGAGTCAGGACGGCAAGTTGGGCTCATGTCACACATGCAGCACCAATGTCCAAGGCTAGAGACAAAAGGGCATCACGATTCGCAGGAGGCTTGAGTGTGTGACAGCTTCAAGCCAGCGATCGATGCAGTACACAATAGTCAGTGATTGCGATGATGATGATGATGGTGATGATGATGACGACCGACTTCATGGTCATCAACACGATCAAGACCATCATCGCCGTCATCGTCCTCGACATCGTCCTCCTCGCCGTCAGCATCGTATCTTGAACCCTTGTACCTCCTCATCATCGTCATCGTCATCATTTTCATTGTGACAACTGTTTCGGAGATCTGAGAGTTGGGGCATGTGTACTGTTCACTCATCACCCACAGCCAACTCAGGCCATGGCTCTGAGTAGAGAGCATCGCGAAGGGCCGCTGACTCTGCCTGCCTGAAACGACAGAAAGAACTGATGTCAACAGCCGTCAGCAACACGAAGTAGAAGCGAAATGTATTGCAACCTCTCTTTGAGCTTAGCCACGCTTGCTGAGCGTCGGCTCTCAGCTGCAGCTCCCAAGCCTGTGATCGGTTGTGCTTCTGTGTGCCACAGACAAGCCGGAAGCTTGGATAAGGCGAAGCTGACGTTGACGCCCCGTTCAGCTTCTGGTGCCTCCTCTTGACGCAGTGCTGCTACAAACGACCTGCACCATGGCGCGCTGTCTCAGAAAGCTGGAGGAGTGCTGTATCCACGTCTTTCTGAAACAAGGTTAGGGTTTAGGGTTTAGGGTTTAGGGATTAGGGTTTAGGGTTTAGGGTTTAGGGTTATTTCGAAGTTCACGGCTGCGCGCTGTTCAACGACGTACGACACAATGTCCGGTGCCTGTATGAACGTGGCGCGATCGACATTGCATCGGCATATGTGTGTCATCACACCCAGTACAAGCTTGCCGCTGGTGCAGATCCCATTCGATTCTAGAAGTCCTTGCTGAGAAAACCCTACACCCTACACCCTAAGCCCTAAACCCTGTACCCGAATCAGAGCTATCCTGATGTACTGAAGGACTGCTGCGAAGATTTGCACGTGCCTGCGCCGTGTTGAGGCTGCAGGAAGGCAAAACACCGAACGGACAAAGACATCACTTCTTCTTCTTCTTCTTTTTCTTCTTCTTCCTCTTCTTCTGCTTCACCCCTTTTACATTGCCCTGTCAGGCCAATTGCGTCGGTCTTGCGAGCCCTGTGTTTGGGCCTACGTGGGATCCTGCCAGCCGCACCCACACACACGCACACGCACACGCACACGCACACGCACACGCACACGCACACGCACACGCACACGCAGACGCACACGCACACGCACACGCACACGCACACGCACACGCACACGCACACGCACACGCACACGCACACGCACACGCACACGCACACGCACACGCACACGCACACGCACACACGGTCTCTCTTTCTTTCTGCCAGCGCATTCAGTATACTTGTGTAACGACACACACACTCTCTCTCTCTCTCTCTCGCCCTCCCTCGTTTGCTTTCTTACTATACTATACCTTTTCTCGTACGCAGCGAGGTAGGAGGCAGATCCAAATACCCCCGCCCCCCCTCCTCCCCCCCCTCCTCCCCCCCATTCTTCCCCCCCCCCCCCTCCCTCCCCCCCTTCTCCCCCCCTCCTCCCCTCTCTCGCTCCTCTCCCCCTCCTCTCCTCCTCCTCTTCTTCTCTCCCCCTCCTCTCCCTTTTTCCGCTCCCCCTTTCCTTCCTTCCTGTCAAGCCAGCTGTCCTGCCCCAGAACAAGAAATACCAACATCCACGTCAGTCAACCGAAAGTAGTCCGGCACTGGCGATGCGGCCAAAAGACGCTTGGAGTCTTTGTTCAACTTGCTGTTCCTCCTCGCCGGCTGCGGGTGAAACTGGATGGCATTCTTGCTCCTCACCGTCTGCGCTTGGGATGGGCAGCATTCTTCCTGCACACCAGCAAAAGTCACCGGTTGTGCGCGCTCATGTCGGTTCTGCATTCCAACTGAAAAATCGAAAACTGCCGGCCTCAGTGTCTTTATGTGACCGCGCAGTGTCGCAAGCTTCTGCTTTGCTGTCCGCGCTCTCTTCTCTTTCACCGCTCTGCCTGACACATGGAAGCTCAACATGTTCACAAGGCCTACTTCCCGCCAAACTTGAGTGTGGCATTCTTTGCGCTGGCAGTTCCCGGCTTTGAAGCGTCATGAGAAGTGGCTTGTTGCGAGCATTCTCTTTGTTTGTCCGGCCACCTTGGCGCTGACAACTCCGATATGCCAGACAAGAAAATCACAGCGACAATCCCCTAAACCCTAAACCCTAAACCCTAAAACTGAGGCTCGAGACCTTTGCGATTTTTCGCCCGCTCCACGATCTTCTCCTTGAAGTCCGTGCGCCCGGCGCGAACCTCAGTCAGCGGACCTACTGCAGCAAACTCCATGGAAGGGGATTGGCAGCAGTAACATGGGCTACAGGAAGCAATTTTTGTATTCCAGCACGGGATTTGCTGGTCACCGACTTCAATGTACTCTGGCAGGAGCAACTCGGGCTTTCAGGGCTTTGTGAGCTGCAAACGTGGCTTTGAGCAGCTGGCAGCTCTTGCATTACTTGGAGGTTCATGGTACTTCTTAACCAATTATAGCTGTACTTATAACCCACTTAGTGCCCTAATATGGTTCAAATTGGGGAATAAATATCATGAACCTCCAAGTAGTCTCTGGCCCGAACAGTTTAACTGTTCCCGGTCCATGCCCGGCGTGAACGCCCTGGGCTTCACATGAAACAAAATCACATCGCTGGCGTCATGCATCTTTCTGCCCGCGTGTCGTTAAAACCATTCTTGCCGACGCCCTCACTTTCAGACTTCAGAGCAAGAGAAAAAAGAGCTCGAGCGAAAGCGCAAGCCGACGAACAAGGTCGCGTTGATGAATGCCCTGAGTGTCTCTGCGTTGTACATGCAGTAGTTGCTGTCGGCGCGATCTTCGCAACATTCAATTCCACACCGCCAACCCAGATGCTACCTACAGAGCAGACTGGGTCAGATCGACTTGTGCGAGCATAGAGTTGAGAAATGTGCGGCATCAGGCCTACTGGCAACGAATCCGGGACTTCAAGTGCAGAGCACGAAACGAACATTGACACGAGAAACAAAGCACCCGTGCGAAGCACTATACAGAGACCCTGGTTGTGGCCGACTCAAGCCAGTCAGTCGGATCGCGTACTGTTGAGACGTTCTGGACGGCTCGGACCTTGGTTGCGCTCTACCCCAAAGAGCCCAATACCCCCTTAAATCAGGAATCTACCTTAAATCATACTACAGATCCCTATACAATTTAAGGCTTAAGGTACATTCCTTAATCAAGGGTACTGTACTGGGCTCTCTGGGTACCAGGTTCCTACGGGCAAATTTCACCACTGCCTCGATCTCTGTTTTTCTAGGGTTTAGGGTTTGGGGTTTAGGGTTTGGGGCTTAGGGCTAGGGAGAATTCTGAACTCAGTATGCGCCCAGAGGACGAGGTGTTGGAAGCACTCCTCCACCTGGCTGCCCTCCGCTGAAGCAAACCTCAATGCGTTTAGGGTTCAGGGTTTAGGGTTTAGGGTTGGATCAAAAGCACGATCGACAGCCTGCCGGGTCACCTACGCGTCCGCGCAATACGGCATGTAAGACAAGCAAAGCTTAAGTGCCCTGGTAGTCCGAGCACCGCGTGCCATGGCTCACCATGCCAAGACGCTGCACGGATATCTGGGGCCAAACTTCATGATCTGGTTTGTCACATTGAACTACCTCAGTGCTGCAAAGCGACTTGCAAGTGACAGTGAGTGCTGCAGGTCAAGCGAAGTTGTACAAACGGTTCCGAGACGTGGAAAGTTTGCATACGGTGCGTGCACAGTATGTGTACCACGCCTTGTGTTTTAACTATGATATGTATGCATGATCCCGGCTGTCGGTTCGCCAACCCCCCCCCCTTCCGTGGTATCCCCCCACCCTCCTTCCCCGAAACCGTAAAAGACCCACAGAACTCAAACCCCGAAGGGTCCCGAAGGCCCTGAAATGCCTTTGAATTTACATGGGCTCCGGATACAACCTTCAAACATGAAATTGAATGAAACCTTTAAGACTCAAATGGCCGGCCGGATTCAAATCTCAAGATGTCGAAGAATTACCAGGCACTGTCTTAAAATGTTCTTTGGCATTTTAACCCCCGAGCCCACCCAGATGTTCAAGAAAAGACTCTTAGCAGATTTAAAAATGGGCTCCTGAGGTGACCGGAAGCTTCCCTGGAAAGTAGCTTACGTTTTATATCTATAGGGTCTTCAAGATTTCAGGGGCATGACTGTTTCAGGTGTGATGAACCTTACTCCGGCGCCGCCATTCAAAGTGTCAATGTTTTAGAGAACTTCTGGCATTTTGGCTCAACCATATTTTCGAAACTTACGTCCCCTCGGCCATGATGTAGATTTCCGGGACCGAGCCAGATCCAGACTCTAAATGGCCAAGCCGATTTAACGTTTTAAGCAACGCCGGCATTCTCAAAGCCATCAAAAAGCCGGCCAACGCCAAATGGGCCCCAAACTACATATGGAGAATTCAAATTTATATGTATATATACCATTAAACCTATGCAACCGATCGCTAAAATAGCTCATGCACTCAATGTGTCTGCAGGTGTAAGGCTTGCGGTGCAGAGTCGATCAACTAAGCCAGCGGCTCCTGAACACCAGCCTTGTTCCAGCCCTCTGTACACGGCCTGAGTCTCCCATTCAGAATGGCTTGTTGGGACTCGCGCCCTGTGCAGCAGCCTCCTGTATGATGTATTCACACCGTATACTTCAATCAGCCTTACAAGACTGTTTCGACTCTCCGAACGCCAGCTGTCTCGCTCCGTTTAGCACCGTATCCTCTACTAGACTCTCACCCGGCTGAAGCCCAACCCTAAACCCTAAACCCTAAACCCTAAATCCTAAAAAAACTAAACCCTAAACCCTAACCCTAAACCCTAAACCCTAAACCCTGAATTTGAAGTGCACCGGGAGTCCACTTTTTGACCAGCTGGAATGCGGTGGCGGACCCTATCCTCAGGAACGCGCACGCAGCACTCCTCGTGCACTGAACTGAACTCTGAACGTGATGCCGGCAAGTCCAAGAATGCAAGGTTCTGCCAGCAGCGTTACGCACTCACCATCGCGAGGAGGCCCGACAAGAAGTACCCGGTAGCCTCACAAAGAATCTGACATTCCTTGCTCACTTCTATAGGCCCTAAAGACAGAATCCTAAAGTCTGACACGTGACCTTACAAAATAGACTGGGTATGAACCAGACGTGTATCGCAGACAGGCAGGGGGAGTGCCGGCTGGCATTGAATCTACGGCCTCTAGGAACTATGACTATAGGGCCAACAAACAAACAGCTTCCACAGCCGCAGAAGTGCCCGCATTAAGCAAAAGTGCCTGCGGTGCAGCCCGAAGGCTACAAGAACCAAGGACAGTGTAGCTTCTTGGTTGCCCAAAGCTCCGTTGAGTAAGGATACCTTCTGCAACTGCTCTACCCTTCGACTGCATTCTACAGGCCCATGCCGGCAGCTGTCGACTGCAACCAACACTCAGATTCAACAGCTGTAGATCACATTGCTGAGCCCCAGGCAACACGAAGCCCTAAACAACCTAGACCCTAACAGGCCTCGGGCAGGCTGTGATCTTGCTTGTAAATCGATCGTCTGGGAACCCTGTAGTGAAGGCCGGAAGTCCGCAAGCCGTGTAGCACACAATCGCCTGAAGCTATCTCTCAGCCTTACCGTTGCAAAACCTGAACCCTGGACTGACCGCTTGAGACTTGGGGTGTTGCAAAACCGACCCTGATGATACCACTACTTTCAGGGTTTGGGGCCCACTTCTTGACATCCTTATGGAATTCCCTTTTCGGTTCATAAAAAAGTTGTCACACCACGCCGTCACCAGAGTAGAATACGCACTCCTACCAAACCATCCCAGTAAACGGCTTCACGAAGAAGAGTTTCGGACCGGTGCTCGATTTTCACGGAGGCAGCTGCAGATGCTTTCTTCGTATCTTGGGCGAGAGGACTCAGACTTGCGGCACATAGGGGTGTAGATGCGTTTTGGTGTTTCTGCGGCCTTGGCGCCGGCACCGTGTATTCACACGGCCCAGATCAGGAAAGAAGATTTGCCAGGTCAGACTCGCGAAGCGAGAAAAGCTGGGGCGTGGCAAGGCAAGGTAAATAAACCCTAGACAACATTGCAAGGTCACACGAGAAGGGCCGGGCACGGATAGAGCAGATGCCGGCGGATGCCCATCATAAACAGACAAAGCCTCTGAATTCAGTGAACTCCCTTAATTCACTGTGGGACTGAATGGAAAACCCTAACCCTAAACCCTAAACCCTAAACCCTACACCCTAAACCTTCGGCTTGACAGAGTCCTGTCGCCTAGTGGAACGCTCTGTCGGCCAACGACGATGCCAGGAGCCCACATCTCCTTCAAATGAATCGGTTTAGGGTTTAGGGTTTAAGGTTTGGGGTTTAGGGCTAATATGGGGGGTTGTTACGATGTTTAGGGACCTCGAACATAGACCCCCAAATAGTGGGATCTCCTTCTGATAAGGCTCCCAATACGGTACCCCCAATATCGTAAACCCCCCGTATTCCAATGTCCCACAGGTTTTGCAAGCCCAAAGGTGTCACAGCGGCTCCATGCTTTGTAAACCTGGCCCAAATGGTGCAGTCCTCGCCATCTGGCCTGACGCTCACAGCTTGACCTTCTCTCAGTGGCTTCCTGATGGCAGAGAGCTCCACCTCGATTGCAGCACGTTCCGCGGACGTTGGCAAAGCTCTGTCATGCTTAGGAAGACCGACTCATGCACGTTGCATCATACTTTATGAAGGTTACATGACCCGACCTCATACGGGCGGAAGAAAACAGGGCTTACCCAAAAAAAGAGATCGACTGTCAGAGATCAGCAGGGATCTAAAAGTCTACAAGCTTCTTGCGCTGCCCCAGGCGCAAAGTCTCTCCTCTGCTTGGTGGATCTCCCTCCTTTCAGGACTAGGTTGTAGGTTGGCATGTCGGGATCTCCCGGCATGACGATGCCCTGGCCGTCGACAGAGCCCTGCAACCTCGAAGGAGTTTAGGGTTTAGGGGCTGGGGCTTGAGGGGCTTAGGGTTTTCAAGGGTGTAGGGTTTGAAGGGTTTAGGGTTTGAAGGGTTGAGGGCTTGAAGGGTTTAGGGTTTGACTGGTTTACAAGTATGCTCTTTTTGGGGAACTCGGTGAAGCCAAGGGGGTGCACGGGGCATAACGGGATCTGCTATCGAGCTGCCACTGCCTGTGCGTGGCAGACCAATATTCCACGTGGGCGCCATCTTCATATGCTTCGTACCCCATCGCAGACTTGATGCGTTTGGGACTGTCATCCTCATCTGGATTGTAGTCTATAAGGAGGTCTGGGTCGAGCTCCTCCTGAACTCACTGCAAGGAAGATGGCCGAGGTATGTCGACGTCTGAGGGGCATCCGATGGAAGCACAGGAAGCAAGATGGTTTTGAAGCCTGCCTCATCTAAGCTTTGGCTTTCCTCCGCATCCAAGTCGGCCAACACCTTTCCCTCCGCCTGCGCAAGATAAACCCGAACATGAGCAAAGCCTTAACTAAGCCTGGGTTACTTTGGAGGATCTGAAGATACTAAACCCTAAACCCTAAACCCTAAACCCCTAAACCTTCATAAGCCTCTGAAGGCCACTGAGACCTCAAAGCAAAGCGCTTAGCCTCGGATAGCATCCGATGTCTCGAGCTGCGCGGGGAATTGCTCCTCGGGTAGCTTGGGGACTTCGGCTAATGGTACGGACTAATCCAGAAATAATTATCATACCCACTTATAAGCCTCTTTCGCACCCTAATCAAAACCCTTAAAATTTACGGTCAAGGTCTAGTCGAGCTGCAGTACCCAGGGTTTGAGGTGGTAAACTCAGGGGACTGTCAAGGAGTCAACTTGAGAACATCGCTGTGAGTACATGAGTTGCTGTGTAGCAGTGACAATGACAACCTGCCCAGTTTGAATCAAGCCACTGCACATCGTTCGACCTTTCTGACTTGATCGGCGTCACCTTTGATTCTGTGAGCAGAATACCAGCGGTATCAGTGACAGCGAGGAAGCGATCTTTCTTCTTCTCGCCTCAGATCAACTCGGTCAGGGCAGCAATGCGGGCATGACGCGACAGCATTGCAGTGGCACTGGCAAATTAAGCTTGCCAGGCCGCCATCTTGAGCCACACTGAAATCGAAGTTTGCCTCCTGCGCTTTGTCCTCAGCCATGCTCGGCAAGTGACAGAGCATTCCCAAACTAAAGCAGCTGATTTGAAGCGAAACCGCTCGCAGCAAACTATGAACACTTGGCTAAAGCACCACGTCCACATCCCACTTCACGTGGATCTTGACCTCAGCGGGTGGACTTAGCCATGAAATGTTCAGTCGAGGTAAATGTACGCGGAGCTGCGTACATCACAGTGGCGCTTAGCGAAAAAGAAGCTACAGCAGTCACTTAGAGGCTGAAAGTCTCAGTTATTTGTGCAAGCACGAACCTGCTTGTCCAGCCAGTTTCCAAACAGAACGACGTGTGCTGCGGCGGCCATGATCCCTGATCTCAGCCCACCGCCGGGCACACAGCTCAAACCCTCAACCCTTAAACTCCAAACCCTAAACCCTTTACCCCGAAAAGGTCAAAGCCTACCTAAACCTTCAGCCCCAAACCCACTCTACCCCGGAACGGCTACGAAGTGCAGTGCAAGCTACGGCTTCGACTTCTTCGGGCTCCGCGCTCGTGGCACCTGGGTGGGTTACAAAGAAGCGAACACAAACATGCCCAGGATGCCCGGATGGGCTTCAAGTGTAGGGTTTACGGTTTACTGGGGTAGGTTTTGGGGCCCTTTAGACATTAAGTCTTGATGGCTTTGTAAGGATTTCGTGGTGGAGTAAAAAAACACTAACACTAAAAAAACACTAAGACTATCTTCAAACCTACCCCCGTTTAAAGAGTAGTGTTCAAGAAGAACTTAAGTCGTGGAAGGCGGGCAGCGGCCTAGAAGGGACACACAAAGCTTTCGGTCTCATTTCTGGGAGTTGCCATGGAAGCCATGACGTCTCTGATGAATCTCACTTTATGCTTGTGTTGGGCACCTGCACATTCTGAAAGGGCCCTTGTTCGGTGAAACGCAGACCCGTCCCAATGCCGCAGCTGTGGGCCCAAAGAACTAAAGCTTGAGGTGGCGTGGTCAACGCACTTCTGGCATGTACTCACCTGGGGCCCGTGCCAGATCTTGCAGACTTGTTGGTGGGCGTTCGCATCACCCGTGAGAGGGCAGACTGCTTGACAACCTGAAATCCCCACTCCTCAGTGCAGGGCATATGGCTTTCCAATGCCTCTGATGTGCAGACAGACATCCTTACGCAGCCTAAACCCTAAACCCTAAACCCCTAAGCCCTCTCGTTTAGTAGGCAAGACTCGTGCGAAGATCCTTTTGTATCAGTCAGCTTGACCTTGCCAGCTGTCGGGCGCCTGCACTTGATGCAGCCTGGGTGGCACAGGAAGGGTTTAGGGTTTAGGGTTTAGGGTTTAGGGTTTAGGGTTTAGGGTTTAGGGTTTAGGGTTTAGGGTTTAGGGTTTAGGGTTTAGGGTTTAGGGTTTAGGGTTTGACATGTAAGATGCAAACGCATGGGAAGCACTGACCAGCAAGCATCTGGAGCTTTTCACGTCGAGTCATACCAGCAACTATTGAGTCTTCATGGTTAAGACCTTCTAACTGTGAATGACTTTGAGGTTCAGTCCATCCACGCACCTGAACATCATGGATCCAGCAAGTTCCTGGCCCAAGGGACAAATCACGATGCAGCAGATGCAGCAGCAGGCCAAAGGCCCCCTGAGCTGAAACTCATAAGTGAAGGCTTCAACACCTGAAGCTATGCCGCCATCTTAGAAGCTGACTCAAGACAAGGAAAATATCTTCGTTCGTTCCGAGACACCCAACTCCTCCTAAAAGGATCGCCGTGGCAATGCATGTGCTCCCGATTTCCAGCCCGTCGCAAACAATCTGCGGCTCCTCGTGGTAGGGATTTGTGTTCGGGTTTGGGGTTTGGAGCGGGATTAGGGTTTAGGGAAGTTTAGGGTTTAGGGTTTAGGGTTCAGGGCTAAGGGTTTAGGGTTAAGCATCCAGGGTCGGGATACAGCTCCATGTTCCGCCCGCGCCTGAACTGGCTCCAGTATACCGAACAGGGACAAGTGATCTGTAGCGCACCAGAATCCATCAAGAGACACCTGGCAGAAGGAATTGCGAAGCACGAGGGGCTTGGGGCTCAACCTCAACACACGGCGTTCTCAGGCTCAGGAATGCTTGACCCTCATACCTGCCGTACATTACAAAAAAACGCGGGTTCCCTAGAAATTGCACACTCACTGTCTCTGTCTCCTCTCTTGCAAGACTAAGTACTGCTTTGGGTGCCGCGCAGTGGCGCTCGAGCCGGAGTAGGCAACAGCCAGTTCAGCAGCATCCGGTCTGTACGTGCCGTCCTGGTACCCAGAGCATACACCCCCATGCAACTGGCACTGAAACCCTAAACCCTAAACCCTAAACCCTAAACCCTAAAATCATTAGAACAGGTGAGGTGAGGCGTCCTGGGACCAGGTCCCGGAGTCAGTTTGGAAGGCACACACGGCCAGGTCCGGGAACACACTCTGGGAGAGCCTGGCATTCTGACATTGCGCACAACGGTTATTAATATTAGTATTCTTATTATTATTATTATTATTGTTATTAATATTATTATGATGATTAGAATTATTGTTACTATGATAAATATTCGTATGATTCTTAGTATTATTAAGAGCATCTCTAGAGCCAAGAGCCTGAGAATGCGCCCTGCGCTAGGCCACTATTTTGACAACACGTCAATGGCGATCCCAAAGCCAAAGTCTCAAAGGCACACCAGCCTCATGTAGATACGAGGCTCCAAGCCTGAGAGGGCCTTGGATCAGAGACTGTCTGAGAACTGCGGCGCCAAATGAACGGCGCTGGTCTACGCGGCTATCCACAGATGTCTGAAGTGGCTGCCGCTCTACAGAAACGATGCCTCAGCGGGTTCGGCATGCTTCTGGGGACGGCTGCGTGAATCACGAACCCTTTCATTTTGGGAATCATAGGGTGGGGATGGAAAGTGAGTCTCTGCCCAAAAGAGAGAAGTCAGCAACACTAAGCCAATCCGATGCAGGTCACAATAAAGTATGGATCGTTGATATCGCTGTTCATCACGCTGACCTGCTCAGAGATGACTGTCAATCCGCAGCAACTGAGCACAATTGCCAGGACAGCTCTAGCCCGACATCCGCGCAGACACTCTGCTGACATTGATGCCGTCATCTCAGATGCGCCTCCAACAAAGAATGCACGATCGCTGGTCGGCCGTCTGCCAACGACACCGTCCTCGTTAGAAGCAAGTGTGGGGTTGTGGTGCATTGTGGCGTGCTCTATTTTCAGCGGCTCGGCTACCCATAGGAATCAGATGAATACATGGGCAGTGTTAACGAGTGCCGCAGCAGGAATGAAGCAGCAACGAGAAATCACACTCCTGCTGCTGTCGTTGCCATGTTCTTATACTTACTGACATGAACCTATGTGTAGCCTCATTCAGCAAACTCTCCTACAATGTCGGTCACCATGACAGCACATGCAGTGTCGGAAGGTACCTCACTGAATTGGATGACTCGACCCGGTTCACACGGAAGCCACAGCAACAAATGAAGCTGCGCGAAGCTTGGCGAGCAGCTTGGCGAATAGTCAAGGAATGAACCCTAAACCCTAAACCATAAACCCGACAAGCCGAGGAGCGCATCCGGAGCCATCAGTTGTGGGAGCGTGACATTGGTATACACGTTGGAATGGATCTCTGCGACCTTGAACTACTGGTAGCATCCCCAACAAAGCGCTTTAGGGTTTAGGGTTTAGGGTTAATTCAGCAAGTTAAACAACCACATGGGGCCTTCTGAAAGCAATTTCGCAGAGGAGCATTACATGTAGGCTGTCCTGTCTTGACCTGGACCATACCTGGACTTTTTGACTACATGCATGACTTTGAAGGATGCTGTATTTCAACTCCATTCCATCTGCATCAGCTGCCAAGACCTGGTAGCTTGTGGAGTGAACCCCGCCCCCCCCCCCCTCCCCCCCCCCTTTGAGGGGGGGGGCTGCTGTAGCCCTTGGGGATATAGACCCTCTGAATCAGGTCCCTGTTTAAGAGAGCCAGAAGAGGGTAAAGAAGGGGTACCCTTTGAAGGGTCCCCCTTATCCTACCTAGGACGACGCAACTCTGTGGGATGCTGCCCTCCGGCGACAACTTTGGTTTCAGGGGCCCTTAGTGGCTTGGTTAGATCTCGTCCACGGGTCGTGCTGCTTGACAGGCGCTGGGATGGACATGGGTGGACGCTTTCGCAGTTCTACCAGATTTCTCACAGCTTGCGCTTCTCCATTGCGCTTGTGTATGTCTACGCTGGATGGCCAGGTACTATCTGGTGGAGCCTGGGTTTTGGCAGTTTTGGCAGTTTGTTTCTTCTGCTTCACCTTGTTTGGCTTGGTTGTGGTGGTTGGCTTCACTACCAAGGGGGCCCGGGATGCTGGCCACCTCGTACAGGATGCATGCTTTGCATGCTTTTTGTGGAATTTGCCCCGTTTGCACAGGGAATGGTTTGGCTCCCTCACCCGTCTGCAGCGACGGATGGGGCACGAGACAAGTCTGGGCGCATCCTTTTCGATGAGGACTGCATACCGGCTGATGGCTGCGAAGTCCAATCTGTTCGACGTACTGCGGGCCGTGGCATCTACAGTGCTTGGTTCAGGCCATTCCGCCATCAAGTAGTCGCGCCCGCATTTTGCTGGCCGCCAATGCGGCGTCTTTAGGTTGACGTCCAGGCAGTGACACAATGACACCCCCCAGCCTTTCCGGTGCCAGGAGCCAGTTCGCGATTTGTCCCCGGTGGCATGCCTCCCAGTGTTCCGAGCTGCACGGCGTCATTGCCGCACCAGGGTTCTGGCCGAAGCAGTGAACACACTTTGCCATTCGTTGCAGCCCCAAATGCGACGCACACACCAGTTGCTTGGGAAGTTCTTCTTCTGCTTCTTCTGTTCTCTAAATGGGGTCCCGAGCGAGAGAGAAAAAGAAGAGAGAGAAAGAGACAGAGAGAGAGAGAGAGAGAAAAAAAAAATGACAGCGAGAGAGCGACAGAGAGGGAGAGAGCGAGCGAAAGGGCAGCAGAGAGAGTGTGAGAGCGAGAGAGAGAGAGAGAGAGAGAGAGCGAGTGAGCGAGAGGAGCACCTTCTGGGGACGTCTTCTCCATCACCCGCTTTCGTACTTCAAGGGCTGGTGGGTTCAGAGATTCCTGATCCCTCTAGTATACTTCTATTGCTCGAGTGACGAGAGCGGAGGGCGGCAAATCCTCGCCCACATGCCCCACTTGCCTCGCCCAGCCTTCCCGTTTTCCTGGCCGCTCCCTGCCCCACCCCCCCCCCCCTCCCCTCCCCACATGCACATGTCATGTCGGGTCCTGAGAATGAGAAGGCCCGCTCATGCTGGTCGATGTTTGGTAGGGTCGGAGTTCAGCTTTGACACAGTAGGGCCGGACAGGTGGGGCGGGCAGCCTTAATTTTACCTCCTTCTTCGGCCACAACCATATTCTGGATCTTCCACCTTACCTTAGCCTCGCCTTCCTTCGGGTATGAAGGGAAACGTGTTGTATGCACAGGCGGACTTCACAGGAACCCCCTCGTGAAAGGTGAACATGGTAGCGGAGAAGATGGAGAGGCGGCGAACTCATCACGGCTGCATCCAACAATCGCTTGAGCCAAGAATATGTCTGTAGTATACTTTCAGGTCGTTTCCTCTACCTGCGCTCAGCAGGGTTACAGTCTTAAAACTTTGGGCGGCTCTTGTGATGAAAGCGCGGGTTCAAGCAAGGCAGTTGAGCTTCCAACAGATAGAACGTCATAGGTCGATGAGAGCCTCAGAAGCAACCAGCAAGAGGGTTCAGGGTTTAGGGTTTAGGGTTTAGGGTTTAGGGTTTAGGGTTTAGGGTTTAGGGTTAGTTTAGGGTTTAGGAGCCGATGCAATTCATGTGCCTGAGCTGGGCTTGGCTTCGGACCCCGCAGGGACGGCAATCCAGATGTCCGAAGCGAGCGGTGCCACCACGTTCACGAAGCTGTCGCTCCTGAATGGGAGCCAACTGGGTGTGAGCTTTAGGCATGTATATATATATATTATATATATATATATATATTATATACATTATATATATATACATATCTGATCAAGGCAAGAGCAATGTGGACAGTATGAAGTCCATGAAGGTACCGCGCGCGACATGACTTAAAGACTTCCCGGCAAGTGTCGGACCAGGCAGCGGAAGGGTAACGAGCGCCCCAGTGATCGAGGAACCAGTCCACGGAAAAGCTCCCTTGGTGAAGCAAACATTCAACGCCAAATCGTGATGTGGGGGGCCTTTGAATACGACCAGCAAACAGCAAGTACTCAACAATGGTGCTGAAAGGCCGATATGTTTGGCATCGCAGCTGCAGCTTGCAGCGCTTCTCCGAATTTCTGGCCCGCAAAGTGCAGCACCTGAGCGCAGTCCCACATGTACATGAAAGTCCCCTTTATGGCCACTCCCTGTTTTCAAGATGTTTCGGTTGTACCGCACTGGACCGCAATGAGGCCATCATCATATGGGCTGAGTCAACGCACTCACTCACTCACTCAGTCACTCACCCGACTTCGTACTTTGTCTCCATCACTTGCGCCGATGGAAAGATTCGAGCCGCAGAGTATTGTGAGTACAGCCTGCGCATATGTACCTCCGTGTCCCTGCACGCTTCTGCTAGGAAAAGGTGGTACAGAACCCTGATATGCACAACTCTCATGGCCATGACCCCATGCCAGCTGGAACATGTTACGCCGCACGCGGTGCCCTAAGACTCTGACTGTGTCTCGCAACGGGGTGCCAGGGGGCGGTGTGCCCCCTGCATCGACGGCCTGGACGCGAGCTTCCAGATGTCTTTTTAGGGTTTAGGGTTTAGGGTTTAATTAGGGTTTACGGCTTTTGGAGGCTGAACCTTCGTATAACGCACCTCAAGAATGGCGAAGAGCGAGAAGCGTGTGGCAGCACACCAAAAGCCGCTGCTCCAGTCCTGAGATGCAGCTTCCCCTGCCTGTCAGCCTGTCAGCTCAGCTAGCTGCTACCCAACCCCAATCTACATTACAAAGACTGCTTGGCATGCATCTCCGGTCTACCCAAAAATGCCACTCTGCGCCACAAGTGCCTGACTTAGACCAGCGCCAGGCCACCGGACCCACAGCAGAATTGAGCTCCGCGGCACTCGGCCTGTAGATGTAATCCTCAGAAGGATGAGGCCGTCATTGACCGCACATACTCGCACCAAAGAAGGCTGTCACTGTGGCAGCACACAATCCATGACAACCCAGCTTCGTGGGACCACTCATCAAACTGGTCGAGCATAGCGCACACGGCAGTGTCTGGGAAGATGCCTTCCGAGAGCCTGCTCCCAAACGCGAAGCACGCACGTTGTGGCGAATCAAGACGTTGTTGGCCCCTAGGCCCAGATAGAGGCAGGGTTTAGGGTTTAGGGTTTAGGTATAGGGTACAGGGTACAGGGTTCAGGGTTTAGGGTTGAGGGTTTAGCGTTCTGGCAGGCCTGACGTAGACGCGTGTGTTGGCTGTCACCCACTCCTGAGCAGAAACCACAGGGCAATATGGGGGTTTCCAAAATGAGGGGTGCCTTGTGGGGGTCCTTATTATAAGGGAATCCCACTATATGGTCAGTTCTCTCAATTAGGGTCCCTGCTTTGGGCACCAAGAACCCCGAAGGGACTATAGTTCAGAGAACTGATCAATATGGGCATTTCCCAAAATAGGGGTACCCCTTTATTGGGGTATAGAATAGGAGTGCCTTGAAGGGAACCCCCAAACAGGGTACCCCCTATTTTCGGAAACTCCCATAATATAAGCCCTAAACCCTAAACCCCTAAACCCCTAAACCCCTAAACCCCGAAACCCTAAACCCCTAAACCCCTAAACCCCTAAACCCCGAAACCCCGAAACCCCTAAACCCCGAAACCCCGAAACCCCTAAACCCCTAAACCCCTAAAAACCCTGAACCCTGAACCCTGAACCCTAAGATTTCGGGTCTTGCTCGAGTCAAGGTGTAGACAGGCGTCGACGACCGACAAGTATGTGACCGAGACCATGTCCACGAGGCTCACCTGAGGGGTTTAGGGTTTAGGGTTTAGGGTTTGGGGTTTGGGGTTTAGGGTTTAGGGTTTAGGGTTTTAGGGTCTCAGCACAGTCAAAACGGTGGAGCTTCTTTGATTTTAGCACAAGAAACTTCTCTCCCGACTGGCCTGGAGCATCGCTGGGCCGATCTGGAACTCACCCTGTGCTGTTGTGACGATCCTGGGTTTTAGGGTTTTAGGGTTTTAGGGTTTTAGGGTTTTAGGGTTTTAGGGTTTTAGGGTTTTAGGGTTTTAGGGTTTTAGGGTTTTAGGGTTTTAGGGTTTTAGGGTTTAAGGGACCATCTTCCGAAGTCCATCGCAGAAAAAACACAAAGCTCCCCCAGCCAAGCAAAGCTCCATGCTGAAAGCCTTCAGGAATGTAGGACATCTACCAGACAGACAGTGCCAAAAAGTCGCTGACTCAGGCCCAAGAGTCACTCCCGCAGCCAGCTCCCCCGGGAGGCCGAAGGCCGCTTCTGCTGCAGAGGTGGTGGAGAACAAGGCCACCTCAGCCGAAAATTCGGGCTTTAACCAGGACTCCGCTGACATCTCTAAACTCCAGCAGCCTTCCAAAAGAAAGCGAGGGGCCCCCTAGTATGCTGCGGTCGAAGCTCTATGCCCTGCCCGGATCCTGACAACGTGCGTGCGCACACCTCCCACTGAGGCCATGACAGACAAGGCCGGGTACGACGCAAGCAGCATCGTGCGGAACCTAGCTCATCAAGCTCAGGTAGTTTTTTGCTAAGCTAACTAGAAAACGCCATCGACAGGGACCCAGCTTTGCCCTTTTCACCACAAGCAGGGCTGACAGAAAGTCTGGGGCAGGGACTGCACGGGGACTGCCACCACTAGAGCAGAGCCCATCGTCGCCAGCGTCATATAGCCAGAAGTGCTCATCCTGACATGAGCTAAATTCCTGCCAATCCATCCTAAACATGCTTAGCTGTGGCCTGGAGCGGTTTGTTTCCTTGGACAAGGGCTAAATACACCTCACACATACACATCAGTAACCTTTGTCATGCTCTTGAGAACCGGTAAGTTAGATCTTGAAGACGAGTCGCGGATCTCCAAAGGGTATGGTGAGGAGACCCGCCGCTATGTCATCGGGAAGGCTTTGGCTTCTCTGGGCCGCCTCGGTACAGTAAATCAGGCCTCGGGGTTTTGTGGAGTTGAGCGGTGTTGGCAAGTTTTAGGGTTCGACTTGCTAAGGAAGCAGGCTTCTATAACGGTAGATTTGTTCAGCAACTGCAGTGAAAATGCTCACCTAAGCCGCTCGCTCACCGAGGCACGGAAGCATATGGGTCAGCCACCGACAGACTGATCGCCTGGCTCGCGAGGGGCTCGGTCCAGGTTATCACCTTCCACACGATGCTGAGCACTGGCTCAGCAGGGTCAGTCAACCGCATTGCAAACAGATGTGCGCAGGGTAAAGAGCCTTGCCGGAATCATTGCTGCGCTGTATTCAGCATAGCATAAGGCAATGGTGCTTGGTGTTGAGAGCTTGAGAAAGGTTGCATACTACCTCCCTGCTAGCAGTCGACTAACGAATGTATGGTCAATGCGTGGGCCCTTTCCAGCACCTTGTCCAGGACAATGGCGCCCGTGGCGTCCAGAGCCGGCCCTGCACTGGCCTGCAGGCATCTCTGCCCCAAGAAAGAACAAGGTCCATGCATGTCCACAAACTTGCAAAAACGGTTATGCCCGCTGCTGCATACAGCCCCATGTTGTGGATTTAGGGGTCAAAGCCTCGAGGATTCCGAAGAGCGAGAGGTGGTACGCAGCACACCAGAAGCCCCCGGCAGCCGCCACCTGGCATCCAAGAACTGGCTGCCGGAGGTTTTCTCCGCTGGCTGGGATGGGCCAAGCGGCATCGGGCCCAAAAACATTGCTGATCTCCTGCATGTCCGGCACGTAGGTCCCATCCTGCCAGCTCGAACTCTACGCTTCCGCCCTGACCAGCTCAGCACGACTGCATGCTGGAACCTCGGACCAAGTGTTGTTATCGTTCAGAAAGGCGCACACGGCATCCGTGAAGTTGTTCGCAGAGAGCCTGCCAGCTTTCTTCAACTTCTCTTCTAACTTGAGGCAATCCATGATTACGACGCTCCATGACACTCCGTCGCGTGGCTGATGTCACGGGGCTGATGTCACGAGGGGCCCTGTGCTGTTGCAAGGCACGGTGGCGAAACTCCACCCGCCTCATGTAGATGGGGTTCGAAAAGCTCGGAACAACCTAGGCAGACAGCCCAGTGACTATCCTTTGTGGCAACCAACGCGAGGGCACCGTGCGGATTTTTAAAGCACGGAGAAACCATGGAGAATGCACAGGCAGTGCTTGGACGGAACGACAAGCAGAGGGAGGATGGCTTCATTTGAGCTTGAGCAAAGGTGTACCACTGGCACAAGTAAGTATAGTAAGTGCAAGCAAGCTTCCAGAACCTGCGGGCCACTGAACTGGTCCAGCTCAAGAAAGCTCACCTGTGTCCCACTGTCCGAGCATCTGCTTCTTTCAAGCGCTGGGCGCTGGCCTCCACCATCTTGTAGCCAAGCTTGAGATCCTTCCCTTGAGCCGTGCGCACACTCCTGGGCACGGTCTCATGCTCAACAGTTCTCAAGAGGCAGAGTCACTCAACCCGGCTCAGAAACGAACAGGCAACCGAACTTGATCTCCCACCGCCCACACATTAACCCTAAGGCCCTAAACAGCTCATGGACATATTTGCCGTCTGGGTCTCCATCCCTCTGCAGCCTCCCACGCCACAGGCAGGCCCAACGCTTGCACATCTGCTATGTCCAGCACGACTTCCAAGACCTCTGGCTTCATTCGTGGGAATTGCGGTGCTGGTGGTACTCATGGGCGGGGGGGGGGGAGGGCGATGCCCTATGATTCAAAAGCGTTTGTTTCTGCAGTCGGCATGCGTGAAACGTTTGTAGCTGTCCCAGCATCGGGCTTGTGTAAACTGGGATAATCTGGGAAATGTCTGCAAAGAATCTGTGAAATACAGCTCGATCGCAGATTGCAATTGTGGTCACGTGATAAATCACCAAGCAAAGACACAAAACACAGATACATCACAAAATAACCAAATGCCCAAAGCCGGCCTTTACCACGAAATCAGACTTACAACAGACTCCCTCTATGAAGGCAGCAGGATCAGGAATGCTCGGAACCGGAAGGTCATCTTAAAGCGCAGGCCCCTGAGCAACTTCGACCTGTGCGCTGCTCAGGTCGCCACAGAAACAGCTGCATAGGGTGAGCTGATGGAGGACTGGAGCCTCAAGACACAGGCTTGCTGCTCATGCTGTTCAGCTGCACAAATGTGATGGCCAGCGTGACTGGGGAAGGCAGAGGTTCCCAACGGAGGCGCATTGACATGGAGTATCGAGTATCGAAGAGCAACGCACAATTGTGCAGAGCTGTAGGCGACAGGCCCTGTCGGGATGGCTATCGGCACCGTGGGATCGTAGATCGTCGCCAGCTTCAAGAACTGTGAAGAGCTACCCCTGGGCGCGTCTTGTGCATCCAGAACTGAAAAAGCTCGCAGCGTGCCAAGCAAAGTGCGGGCGAGCTGCGCGCTGGGAAGCGGAAGAGTGATCAAAGCTAGCGAGGTCCCAGCTACCGGACTTGGCTCGGGGATAAGCACCTCGGCTGATGCCCTCGTGCTCATGGACTGTCTCGTAAAGAAAGGAAGCCTCTGTGCTATACATGCCGTGTCGTACGTTTTGGCTTTCAGGGCTTCGCTCTTGCCATGGAAGTGCCGCCTAGTCGCTGGAATGTATGGGTTTTGCATCTGTTGACTGATCGCATCGGCAGCCAGCGAACTCGTCAATGTCAAGACCTGCGGGGAATTCTATTGTTCGCCTCTGGCATCTGGGCTCCCAGCATGGCATTAAGCGAAGACACAGGCTACAGCATCGCTCCCTCTCAATTCCAGGAATTCCTGTGTGATCTCTCAGCGTGGAAAGTAGGGCGAACATGGCGGACATGTTCCACTCACCGTCATCACATGGACCTTGCTCTGGAGAGTTTGCGCCACGGACTCCGGAGCCGGACTGGCGCTCACCATGCGGGTTGTCGTCGTGGCGTCGACCTGTCAATCTGTCAGCACGATTGCCGGAATGAGCAGCAACCTTCGAGTTGTGTTCCATGACAATGCGAACTGACGTCCGACATGGTCCGACAGTCTGCATTGTGGTTTGTCACCTAGAGCCTTAGAGCAATTAGACTAATTCATGGCTAACGGCCTCCAGGATTCCGAAGAGCGAGAGGTGGTACGCGGCACACCAGAAGCCCCCGGCAGCTGCCACCTGGCATCCAAGAACTGGCTGCCGGAGGTTTTATCTGCGTTTGGCTAGGATGGGCCAAGTGGCGGCGGCCCCAAAAACACTGCTGATCTCCTGCATGTCCGGGGCGTAGGTGCCATCCTGCCAGCTCCACTTCTACGCTTATGCCCTCACAAGCTCAGCACGTTCTCCGGACCTCGGACCAAACGTTGTTACTGTTCAGAAAGGCGCACACGGCATCCGTGAAGTTCTTGTCAGAGAGCCTGCCAAATTTCTTCAGCTTCTCATCTGAAGCAAGCCATATCTAGCCATATCTACGACACTCCGTCGCGTGGCTGATGTCATGGAGAGCTTTGTGCTGTTGCAAGGCACGCTAGTGAAACTCCACCCGCCTCATGTAGATGGGGCCCCATGAGTTCGGAACGCCCTTCGCAGACAGTGGCAAGAACTGGATCTAGCATCTATCCTGCTACTGTGTAGGTTTAGCAACCAACGTGGGGGCACCGTACGGATACGCGCAGCACCGTGAATCCATGGAGAATGCACAGACCGTGCTTGGACGGAACACCAAAAAGAAAAGGGAGGGTGCCGGCTTCATCTGAGCTTGAGCATAGGTGCACTGCTAGCAAGCAAGCCAGTGCAAGCAAGCTTCCAGAACCCGTGCGTTACCGGAAAAGTCCAGCTCAAGAAAGCTCACCTGTCAGACAGGTTGCAGCTGGCCCACACGGCCTGTCTCGAGGTGGTTCCTTCTCCGAGCATCTGATTTTGTCAAGCGCCGGCCTCCACTACCTTGTAGCCAAGCTTGAGATCCTTCCCTTCAGCTGTTTGCACGCTCCTGGGCACAGTCTCAGTCTCAATTAGTTCTCAAGAGGCAGAGTCTTTCAACCCCCGGTTCAAACACCAGCAGGCAACCGATATTGATCTCTAAACCGCCCACACATTCACTTATAGCTGCCATCCGGGTCGCAATCCCTGCACTGTCGCCGCAGGTAGGTCCAACGCTTGCACATCTGCGACGCCAAGCTCGACTTCAAGGACCTCTGGCTCAGATCTCACATTGAAGCAGCAGGCTCGGGAATGCTTGGATCATCTTGGAACGCAGGCCCCAGAGCAACTTCGATCAGTCCGCACTGCTCAGGTCGCCACAGAAACAGCTGCATAGGGTGAGCTTATGGAGGACTGCAACCTCGCATCGCAGGCTCGCTGCTCAGACTCTTAGACTACACACACATACACACACACACACAGCAGGCTCTCACCTGCACACTCGTGATGGTCGTGCGTGACCTAGTGTGAGCTGTGAGGCCTTCGCGTAAGTGAGATGCAGAAGTCACCAACACACAGGTCGCACTGACATGGAGTATGGCAGAGCTGAGCACAGTGATGCAGGGTTGTAGGGGACAGGCGCTGTCGGGATGGCTATCGGCACCGTAGGATCGTTGATCGTCGTCAGCTGGAGGATTCCTGAAGATGTCTGCCTGATTCCATATCTTACGCCCAGATCTGAAAACCATAAACCCTAAACCCTAAACCCTAAACCCTAAGCCCTAAACCCTAAACCCTCACAGTGCTTGTGTAGTGCTTGCGAGTGGCGGGTCGGGAGTCGGAAGACTGATCAGACCTAGAGAGGTCCCGGCTGCTGGATTGGGCTCGGGTATGACCACCTGGGCCCCCGGTGCAGAGAAAATGCCCCCAAAGGTTCGCTCCTTGCCATTTGCCATAATTTTAATAATAATAATAATAACAATTATAACAGTAATAATGATGATAATAATAATACTAAGAATAGTAATGAAAACATGTGCTGCTAAGGCGCTGCAACTTCGGGAGTCTGCATAGCTTGACTGAGTGCATCGGCGACAAGCCCACTCGACAACGTCAAGACCTGATGGGGCGATTCTGACTCGTGGTCCCTCTCGTGCCACTTTTGACATCCAAGGTGATATTATGCAGATGAAGCACATGTTCCATACTTCGCGGCTGTCGACAGAGGGACCAGTCTATAGACATCCAAACCCCGCAACGACATGTTGCTAGCCCTGGAAAGCCCCGATGGCACACATTTCAGCTATCACTGCAGGAAACAGCATCGGCTCTTGCAACGTTATGGTAGCGCAGTCAAGGAATGCTGTTACAGCTGGTTACTACAACGCGACAAGGGCACAACATCCTACGACTGCACAAGACTCAACCGGCTTGGAGAATGCTCATCGGGACCTTGTTCTGCAGGTTCTGCGCCACAGGCACCGGCGTCGTCGTTGGCTGTGGCGTTGTGGTTCCCGAAGCCTAGGTCCACTGAATCCCTTGGCCATTGACAAGATTCCATGATACATACCGGAATTCGGGGCATGATCGCCCACCTGGTGCTTCGACCCTAAACCCTAAACCCCAAACCCTAAACCAGGTGTGCTCCAGCAACGAGCGGGACAAAGATCCCGAAGAGGCCGAAACCGCGGCTGGCCACGCACCAGAATCCGTTCAGGTCCTCAGATTTAGGGTTTAGGGTTCAAGGTTCAGGGTTTAGGGTTTGGGGTTTAGGGTCTACAAACTCATACCTCAGGATATTCCCCTACTAACAGTCCTTAATAAGGGATTATAGTAGGGGGTACTTTAATCCCTATTAAGGACTGTTCGTATAAGGGGGAACATCCCAACTCATGCACCCAAGAGCAATTACAGAAAGCTGTGCCAGCGAGACTCAAGCAATGATCAAATGCGAGCGCAGCACCCATGCAACAGCAACTCACTTGGAAGGGCATGTTGTTCTTGCAAAGATCCCAATGTGCCCAGGATTTCGAAGCTTCATTACAAGGCTGGGGGAGGGGCGCAGAAGCGTCGAGCAAACAAGGGAAACCAAAATCAAAGAAGAAACCGCAGGGAGCAGCAAGGCAAAGAGCTCAGCAGTAGCAGAAGGGTCGCCATGAGCAGCGGCAGCCGCAAGCATCACCACCAGCGGACGGAAACGTTGAAGCCTACTGTCGTCTGATTTGGCTGCGGCAAGAATCCCAACTCGTCTGCGTTTTCTGAATGTAGCTTGCGTTATTTTCAGAACTTGATGCCGTGGCCGTCAATGTTTTTGTTGTTTAACTTAATCTTCCGTGCTTTCGGACTCTAAACCCTAAGCCCTAAGCCCTAAACCCTAAACCCAAAACCCTAAACCCTAGACCGCCCTCTTCGCTTTGGGAGGCCCAAGACTTGCATACGCGGCACTGTCGTGATGCCTGCTGCCTGCAGTTCTGCGACACTCGGGCGAGAAACCGCCGCCTTTCAGGGGCACATGCGGCAGAGTCGGGACAAAAGCTACATGAAGGGTTTAGGGTTTAGGGTTTAGGGTTTAGGGTTTAGGGTTTAGTACCATGAAGATTCATGAAGATACATGAAGATACTTCGTAGTGCCATGAAGGGCCCTCAACTAAATCCAGTCTCCTGCTTCCACAGATTGTCGCGACCCAGGCGAATGCAGGATGCGGTTGCAGGGTACGATGTGTTCTGAGTCAACCTGCCAGGGCAACCAGATTCCAGAGCTGCAAAACATGGATGCTGCTGCATGAATACTAAAAGTGTGAAATCGAAGCATGCACTAACGCCCAGGCAAGAACACACAAGTCCGCGACCCTTCAGCCTCCAGTACGTCTTCCCAGTAGCATTCGACGCCTTGATGCATGTTGACGCAGGAGCAAGATCAAACCATGCACTCCAAATATAACTGTACCTACAAGCCCCCTAAGTCCCCTAAGTAGGCGATAAGTAGACTTATGACTGGGGTTATACGGTTATAAGTTACAAGCACCCATGAACCTCCAAGTGCTCTCCAGCGACGATGGCATTAGACCGTCTCCATGTATTCTGCATAGAACAGCATGCCTCCCAACCCTTCAACGATGCAGCAGGATGGAGTATGTTTCCACTGTCGGTGGCATCTTCCTACTGTGGAAACTGTGAGCTCTGATTGAAGCAACTCATTTAAAATCACCTTCTTGGCAGTATTGCCTTCGATGAGCCCTCACTTGTCGGAATTCTTTTTCAGCCGTTCTCAACGAGAACCGAAGTCCTCCATCCCTTTCTGCCGTACTCTGCTTACTGTCTAGTTCTTTTCTGCTAAACACGAGATCTGGACACCCCTTCCACGCTGCTTGATCAAGTTGGCCGCAAGGCATGTTGCAGATTCTCGTGGCAAAACCAGACAACAAGCTCAGTTGATTGCAAGCTAAGGCACCACAACATCAATGTAGGTCCCAGATTGGACGGTCGCCAGGTCTGCCTTTGCTGCTGTCGAGTGCTGAAAGGATGCTCAAGCAGGTTGATTTCAGCCGCAGCACTTCGCATATTCACAATAGTGCAAGCTGGCAGCATAAAGAAAATGATCTCCAAGCGTGCCATTTGTATTGTTGATAGAAAGAGTCCTCAAGTCTCACGGTGTCAGGCAAATGTAGACTTCCAAACACTGCTACTTGTCGGAACCAGGTTTCCGCCCCGCAATGCCAATGAGACAAGCATCTCCCCGGCCACAGGGTGATATGGAGCACTGGCAGGTAGCCAAGCTGACAATTGCGCGCGGTGGTCTACAGCTGAGACCTGTGCTCTACACGCGAGATGCTCAAGCTGCCTCTCAGCCACCAAAGCATCTAGTGACAAGGGCTACTGCACCGGAGCCGCTACAGTGACCTTTTCCGAGCAATGAAGGAATCGCACGATACAGAAGCCGCCAAAGCTGACGCTACCTATCCAAGTAGGGCCCCAACCAGGAGAGCCGGGTAGGCAAGCTGCTGGAGATACCTTGAGCTCATTCTTGCAACGAGCTTAGCAAGCCAATGTCTTCAACATTCAACATCTGCTGCAACAAAGGCTGCACTTACGACAGCCAGGCTGCACCTGCGAGAACGCAGCAAAGGCCGAGCCAGCATCGCCAACTCCAGTTGTCGCAACTTGTATCAAAGAGGGCGGCCTGGACTCAACGAAGCCAGTCACGGCTGGCGGCTTCCAACATAAACGGGGGTCTCCGAAATTAGGGGTACCTTCTTGGTGTCCTTCTCACAAGGGAATCCTAGTATGTGGGGGGGTGTTTTTTGGGGGGTCCCCGACTTTCGTAAACTCCCATACAAGTACGTATTCGCCTCGGCCCTGGCCGAGAAGCATCTGGAACAAGCATCCAAGAACCGGCCTCCTTCCTCCCACACCCCAACAACCCAGCCTCCCCCCTCCCGTGCCAGCTGTGGGAGCTGAGATCGTCCTGGGACCCCCTTCAACCTCTTGGGTTTATACAGGTCGGTTGCTCTGCGGCAGTTATTTCCTCGACCTGCAGTCGTCTCCCGTACCTGCAACCCTAGACCGAACACTGATGAGTCATTCGGACATGTAGCAACCCTAAACCCTAAACCCCAAACCCCAAACCCCAAACCCCAAACCCCAAACCCTAAGCAAGCCTTGGCGATCAAACGAGCCAAGCTTCGGGTCTGAAGTGTACGGATTCGTCAGCAAGGTAAATCCCAGAACAATGCCAGCCGGCACATCGTCTCGAACAAGCGTCACCTTCAATGTCGTGTTGACTAGGGTTTAGGGTTTAGGGTTTAGGGTTTAGGGTTTAGGGTTTTGGGTTTTGGGTTTTGGGTTAGGGTGTAGGGTTTAAGGTTTAGATGCTGACTCGGGCGACGCGCGTGCCTGCATCTTGGTGAGGTCTGCACTGGCCGCATCCAAAGCCACGGATACCAAGGGGCTCAGTTCTTGGACCACCTAGGTGACCGGCACTGACCATCGTCAGTGCAAAGGCGACTCGCTACTGACAAAGAGCTCTACTACCGACTACGTAGATCCATGATGATGATGCTTCTATGCTAATTCTCGTCTTATGATAGAAATACATGTTATACATACACTATATTTTGTGATAAGATGTAGACTTATTTGTTCTGAGATATTTCTGACATTTTACGGTATATTGCGATAACAGAATATATGAATAAGTGTGTGTATATATATATACATATACCGCCACAGGAGCTGGAGGCCAGAAACTGACATGAACAAGCATTGGCTCCTACAAGCCTGGCGTTAAGAACTGCTTGGGGTTAACTTCCGAAAGTTGCATAAGCCCAGTCTGTGAACCCAGAGGGACAGCATTGGAGCGGAGCAGCATCGGAAAAGAACGAGTTCACAATTTCGTGCTGGGCGCATTTTTGTGCACAGTAAAACGCACGAGCTCTCAACGTTGTCAGCATGAGGTCCCTTGCTGCCATCCTAGACGTCTAAATGAGTTTGGCTCCGTCACTTCCTGGTCTTTACATTGTGTGGGAAAGGGCGGAATTTTCGCAAAACTACACCAGCATGTACGAACCTCTCCATTCCCCCCAGCGATCCTAACTTCCTTTTCCTGTTTCTTCGGAGCCTCCGCCCTTCGTAGTACGACAAGCTTGGGGAAGGGTTTTGCTGGCCCCTGGTGCAGCTCTAGGGGGCCCGTGATCGCGGCTACACTACCACCGGTGTTGCTACCCTCTGCGCCCCAGCCCACAAAGCAAGCGCAAGAAGCCCCAGAAAGCCAAAACTCGCTCAGAGCTTTTGGGTTTAGGGTTTAGGGTTTAGGGTTTAGGGTTTAGCAGCAATGACACGACTGAGCTCGGGGCGAAAACAGACAAGGCCTTCACGGTCGTGACGGGTGGGCTTCCAATCCATTGACCTGGGTGGTTGTCAAAAAACTCGCCTCGGCTTCCTGCCGAGAAGCGTCTGGAACAAGCAGACCCGGATCGGGCCTCCTTCCCCGCAACCCAACCCTTCCCCCATGCAAAATTTTCTGACCCCCCCCGGCCGTGTGGGACCCCCCGCAATCGCTTGGAGGAGCTGCAAACCGATGCCGTGGAGGGTCCCGCCTGTCCATGGCTCCTACCGGGGAGTGCCTCAAAACCACCCCGCACCCCCCCCTCCCCCTCCCACCCCCCCCTCCCCCCCCCCCCCCCCCCCTCCCCCCCCCCCCCCCCGCCCCCGCCCACCCCCCCTCCTTTCCTGTCCTGGGGCCGGCCGGGCTGCCGAGGCGGCGCGCGCAAGCGTTTACAATTAATTTTCGGGTTTAGGGTTTGGGGTTTAGGGTTTGGGGATCCCTATTATGATGCGGCACCTAATATTTAGGGTACCCCAAAAGGGATCATCATTTTGACAATCACCCACCTGGGTCGAAGCCAGCTGGTCCGCTTAGAGGGTTTCCTGCACTGAGGCTTCGAATATTCCAATCCCACGGGCTCCACACAGCATTTGGCGATGTGATGCTTGCTTTACCTAGGTTGCCCTTAGAACCTGAATAAAAACAACATTTTAATATCCTCTTGGGGTTTATATAAACAAAAGAAAAAAAACACCAAGGGGGATAGAGTTACGCTCTGCGCGACCATTCGCAAAGTCGTGCGCGGTGCCGGTGCCATCCTCCCCGGGAACCCCGAAGACGTCGATGAAGTTGTCGAGTGAGTCGACGATTGCGATGTTGTCGTTTCCGTTCGAGTTTGCCGCACTTCCTGGTGGAGCTGACTGATCACAGGTGGCTGGTGAGTACACGGCGTCGAAGACGGTCTTGTTATTGCAGATGAGATAGAAGCTGCCAGCTGGTAGCACGATGCCATCAAGAACCACTGCCGACGCGGCTGTGTAAGCGGCATTTCCATTCCTTACAGACCCCACGAGAGGTTCTTCTTTTGCTTTGGAGGAAGGGGCCATTGACGTGTTAGCCTTCCAAAGAAAGCCCTAGCACCAGACAGCAGAAATACTTGCAGAACTGCAGAAGGGGTTTCGACCATCGCACCAGACGCAAACCTGAGCGGCTGCACGCTCAAAATCCCGCAAAAGAAGGAGGACTTCTAAGAAGCATGCCGGAGTCTAAACCCCAAACCCCAAACCCCAAACCCCAAACCCCAAACCCCAAACCCCAAACCCTAAACCCTAAACCCTAACACAAAAAGAGGCAAAGCTCCCCAAACTCAGCGGAGGATCCCTGGAGGTCAATGCCACCAACGGAGTAGAACTCGACAAACCTGCCAGCTGGGATGCTGCCGGGATCGGCAATCTCCGTGATCAGCACCTGGCATTTAGGGCTTTATTTAGGGTTTTTAAATGTTGCAAACCCATTTAGGGTATCTTTACTGTCAAAAACGCATTTAGGACTTTTATGTTAAAAAGCCCTAAAAGAGTCACCACTTGCTCGGGCATGCGCCGAATTACGCACCACTGACGCAGATTAGCGAGCACATGGGCCAAACCTCTCTTAGTCTCTTGCATCCGAGGCGCGTCAGCTGTACGTGTCGTCGTCGTGGTGGCTGCCTCCGTGGTGGTGGACGTCGTGGTGGTAGTCGTCGTAGTAGTTGTGGTGGTGGTGGTGGTGGTAGTGGTGGTGGTGGTAGTTGTCGTTGTGGTGGTAGTCGTCGTAGTTGTGGTGGTAGTAGTGGTGGTTGTCGTGGTGGTAGTGGTGGTGGTGGTAGTTGTCGTTGTGGTGGTAGTCGTCGTAGTTGTGGTGGTGGTTGTGGTGGTGGTAGTGGTGGTGGTGGTGGTAGTGGTAGTGGTGGTGGTAGTGGTGGTAGTGGTTGTCGTGGTGGTTGTCGTGGTGGTTGTCGTGGTGGTTGTCGTGGTGGTGGTGGTTGTGGTGGTGGTTGTGGTGGTGGTGGTAGTCGTGGTTGCCTCAGAGGGTGTCGTACTGACCGCAGCTGCGCATGACTGCCCGTGAATACTTGCATCGACTCGCAGACAGGACTCTGACTACAACCCCTGCAGTGCATCGACATGTGGCCGTTGGCCTAGCCTGCAATGGTTGAGTCCTCCTTCTCCCGAAACCCTAAACCCCAGACCCTAAACCGAGCCGGGGGAGGAGGCCCTAAACCCTAAACCTGAAACCCAGGGCATGGTGCTTCGATCTGAGAGTGCTCGATTGCAGCAGCAACATGCAGCTAGCGAAGCACCGATGCCAAAGATAGACCGAAAGGGGGGGACCCAAAAAAACAGTCAGAAGAAAGGTAATCACAACAAAACAATCGACACATATTCTAATAAAAGACAGCCTAGGGATGCTTGGTTACAAAGCTGGCTCTGTCAACTATGCACCCGACGCACACAACCGCCGTGCCATTGCACTGCGTCGGACAGCCACCGCAGCTGGCACAAGTGAAGAGATCCTCGTCTTCCTGAACAGGCAGGGCAGGCTCTCTTCCCAAAAGCAACTGTCCAAGTGTGGGCGGGGTAGGGGGACTGTACAACTGACTTCAACAATAATATAATATGTCAATATAACCACATAACAATCTAACAATATAGGAACATATAAACCTGATAATCTAATAAGACAACAATATAATTATGAAGTATAACAATCTATATTATACACCCTATACTGTACACTATATACGCTATATATATATATACACTTCCTCTCTACTTTTTCTTATACTATATACTATGTTTATTATATTAAATTTGATTATATTACATATTACATATTACATATTACATATTACATATTACATATTACATATTACATATTACATATTACATATTACAGATTACAGATTACAGATTACAGATTACATATTACATAGCAAGTGCTCTTTCATTTTTTGTCCCAGAAGGAGAAATGGTCAAAAGTCACAACCCGATCTATATCATGACATAAAAACCTCAGATTAGATTCGGGCACCTGCCAGACCCCAAGACAAAACTCAACCAAATCAAGCAAAGCCGCACATTTCTCGCAGTTGCATTCTCCATCATTCCTCTGCGCCATGGGAATCCAGCATCTCTCACAGGCAAAGAAGGTTTCTCCTTCTGTCAATCCGCACCCCATGCCAGTTCCACACTGGCCCGTGGTAGGGCAGCTGCAAGACGTGCAATCCCATCGAGTCTCATCTTCACACTGACTACAGTCGCACTTGTTGTCGTTTGTAGTGGCATTTGGCAACTGGCAACCGTCAATACACTCGAACTTAACCTCGGCTGCAGGCCAGCAAGATGCGTAGGTGAAACAAATCATGCAAGTTCCAGCAGGTGTCCTGCAAGAAACAAGTATACACTGTGCCGGTCACGAGAACTTGATGTTTTTGTTTAATGTTCTTCCTGGTCTCGATACTGTTGCAGGCAGTCCTTCCTGTCGTTTTGAATGTCCCAGAGAAAAAACCGCCAGTACCACATACCACAACCCACCTACCAAAGCAGTCTGGTGGACTGTGCGGTGCTGATGTCCAGCTCGACCTCACGACTGGCGCTCGCGAAGGCTGGCCCGTGGGGATACCACGCATACTTCACGAGGGCGGAACCGGCGGAACCTATGTGTGTTTAGGTGTCGCGATACCAACTCGTGCGCCAGTGTACCGACGGTGCATAGTGGGATACGCCCCCGTTGCTGCAGAGCTTGCTCCCGTCTGCGTTTTGCGGCCTAACATCCCTCTACCTTGGCCAACGCCCATCATGGGAGCATGAGCATCATCGGACCAGATGCTCTGTCAGTCAAGTGCCCGGTATTGCTGCGATTTTGAGTTCTCGAGCCGAATTACACCCCCCCCCTGTTGCCCGCGACCTGGCAGGCCATCGTGAGCAGGATGGCGCAAGCGCAGCGAAATCAATCAACAGTGCTTTCTCGCGCAAAGACAGATGCGGGTCTTTGCCGGCACTTGTGAACATGAAGGAACCATGAAACCCCAGCCCACAAATGGTAAGAGTCCCACCTTATAGGGGCCCTGACATCCTTGTGCTTATGTGGTTTTGGGGCCCCTAAAATCATGAACAGAAATACATCAGTAGACCCATCTCCAAGCAGCCGGGCATGGCGAGCCAGCTTCACAAGCTGCTGATGGGCAGCCACACTCCGTGCAGTTCCAGTGCACCTGACACCACTACTGAACCAAAGGGGAACATTCATCCTACTAAACTTACTAAACAAAGCTGAGAATGAGACATCATGTCAACGTGGAAGAAGCGCGCACCCGAATTCACAAATACTAGATTGCGGCGCGGCTTAATCGGGCTTCACAGAGTAGCGGGTGCTGACCGCTGATTTCTTGTGGGGCCAGTCAAAAATCCCGCAAATGGCTGCTGCAAGCTGAGCACCTCGTCTTCGCAGTCCCCACAATCGCACCATCCGTTGTTGATCTTCCAGTAGTCAATGATGCAGCCATTTTGACAAGTGAAGGTGTCGCCTGGACTCACTGAGACAGTTGAACTACTACAGTACCAGGATGCCTTGTGTCAAGAACTCCCGCATGGTGGGTGTCCCAGCTGCCAAAACAGGCCGATGCTTAGCACATGATCAGATGCCGCTGAGCTTCCTTCGTAGTATGTGCACATCTTGAAATCCCCTGAGCAAGAGGCTGCCGGACAGCCATCTTTGCAAAGAGCACACGTCCATTCGTCCTCATCTTCGCAATCGGCGCAATCGCAATAGCCATCATTCCGCATGTAGCTGGAAGACAGCTGGCACCCGTCGTTGCAATAGGCAGTGGGCGGGCTCGTAGGACCACCATAACCAGGACCATCACCGTAACCCGTGCCAGGGTAACTGATGCAGCTAGTGTAGCGACCGCATATGGTTGGACATTGACATATCATGCAGTCCCACGCACTTTCATCCTCACACGAAGCACAGTCACAGTGATCGTCGTTCTGAAAGCTGGCGTTTATCAGGCAACCATCGTTGCAGCTGAAGGTGCTCTGTGCCTTGGCCGCAGCTAACAGCTTGCCAGGTCTTTCGTGGCAGCTGAGGACAGTTTGGGGTTGTGGGCCTAAAGGGCTTGGGATGCCAGACGGTGATGTATAGGATTGCGTACGTGGGTGTAGGCTGCCCTAGCAAGGGCAGGCAAGGCAAGAAGCAAACCACAAACTCGACGAGGATGCTTATCCTAAACCCTAAACCCCAAATCCCAAATCCTAAAACCCTAAACCCCTAAACCCTAAACCCTAAACCCCAAACCCTAAACCCTAAAGCCGCCAAGGAGCCCTTCCATGGCCAGCCTGGAATGTTAGGTGCACTGCTGATGCTGGGAGCACGGGATGCAAAGGATTTCTAGGCTTCAGGTGCGGGTGGGTTTAGGGTTTAGGGTTCAGGGTTCAGGGTTTAGGGTTTAGGGTTTAGGGTTTAGGGCTTAGGGCTTAGGGCTTAGGGTTTAGGGTTCAGGGTTTAGGGTTTAGGGTTAGGGTTTAATTAGGGTGGTTTTGCTTTTCTATTTGGGGGGGGGGGGGGGGGGGGGGTCGTGTCGAAGAGCTTATAGATCAGGCGACTCCCTGCGAACATAGGCGTGACTACCTACTGTGCCTTTGCTACCCCGGACCAACAATGCACTCTAAAGGGTTTTTTCAGCTGGCTCTCTGCATGGAAGGCACCAGAGAAAGCAGGAAGAAGATCAAGCGGCAAACCATCCGCACTCAGCGGCGTCGCAATGAGGCGTTAGCTGCTGGAGATGCACCCGCTTCAGTAGTGCAATTGTTGCATTAAAGTGTGGGCTGGGGTGGGTCTTTGACATGGGAGGCGGATGCGGGATTTGTTTCTGGCTGATGCTCATTCCGTGTTCGACACCAGCTGTACACGGACCGAACAGTCAAGCGTCTGGCTTCTGTGCAGGCGTGCTAGTGCCGCTTGTGTCTAGTCTGCAGGGCGGTGGCCGTTTGAAAACGTGTGCAACGGCTTCTCCAAACTGCTGGGGCATGTGTCCAAAGCGTCACTCATGCTCTCGAGCAGGATCATGGATATTTCAATCTGCGCATGTTTGCGCGGGGATTCCTTGCTGTTGCGATTCATGACTGCCAGGGCTGCCAGGACTCAGGCAAGGTACATGCAACCATGGAAGCCCAAGTAAACAGCATTGGTTCTCCCGCAACATGTATCACTATCACTTGTTCGGGCAAGCCCGAAACACGAAGCACCGAGAGGCGCGCCCTGGCAAGGCGTTCTGCTTTGGTTCGCCTCAAAGTTTCAACCAGCACAGAAGCTCAGGTCAACTTGCAAGTGTCTTTGATGTTCGTACTAGGTCCGGGCTGGGTAGGATGGCTTTGATTGCTTCATTTGAGTTGTGGCCCAGGGTCGAGAGGTGTGCAAAGAGTGGCTTCAGGCATACTGGCGCACTTGTTGTGTTTGAGGTGTGTTGTTAACGCAACCACTCTCACAAGTCCCCATTACTATTCGTGCTAGTGGTACGAGTCGCAAGTGCAGGTAGATTACTCCTACTGGTTGCGCTGCTGCTATGACTGCTGGTCCTTGTAAACAGCTCTAGAACAGCATAATATTCACACGGGCGCCCATGTGAAGAAACAAAAAGGTCTTTGGAAACCCCGCGGAACCATCCAAAATGACGAGGGGTGCACAGGAAGACAAGGAGACGGCGAGGCACCGGGAGACAAAAGGAGGCTAGGGGAAAATACAGGCGATGCAGTGCCCCTTTCAAAACTGGTTGAGACAATGTGAAACACGGAGAGAAACGAGAAAGGACAGGAGGGAAGGAGGGTATTCCACAGCCACAGGAAAACGATAACACCTGTGTATAGACCCCACATAGTGGGATCATAAAAAGGACCCCAACAAGGTACCCCTAGTTTCGGAAACCCCCACAAGGAGACGTGGACAAAAAAGTCCCAAGGAAAGGACGCCCGCTTTGGCGCAGCGGCCAGCATGTCAGCTGAGACTTGGTCAGGAAGGCGGCCTATCATGATGGCCACGCAGTCGTGCGCTCAACCCTTCCAGCAGTGCCTCTGATTACGCATCATCCTTCTTCTAAGATACATGTGCTGCAACCTTGGCTTGCCTGTGAGCCCACGCTCGTCCTCCTCCACTTCAACATCCGAGTCACCTGATTCCGAGATAGAGCGGTTCCGCCAAAGGCATCGTTGGCATTTCCAAGCTGCGTACTGGGCTAACCCAGAAGTGACGGATGCAGCTTCCAAGGCTCCCGCTACCGGAGTTGGAGGATGAGGTCATCTCCTGCCAGGCTTTGTGGGGCTTTGCGCGCCGCACTTCCCCAGATCCGACATTGCACGAGCAGAAGCTCAAACAAATAAACTCCATTTCCAGCCCTTGCAGTGAAAGCCCTGGTATGCCTGAGTACCAACCTGCTTTCATCCTAACAAACCTGGGGAACTTGCCCCGTGACCTCCATCTTCAGCTTGGCACAGCTTGGCGGGGCGTGTTGAAGGCTCATCGCACAATCGCGTCCCGCTTGCAGCATTGGGGGGATCTTGGGGGCGCTTCGTGGTCCTTCTTCTGAGGGGCCATGACAGGAACTCTTCACGAAAAATCGGCCTTTGCCCTTTAGGATGTCTTGTCCCAGCTTGAGCTTCTCGGATCTGAGCTTGAAGGGCCCCAACTCGGGCAAATAAGCCACTCAGCCCTTACGCCAAGGCCAAAGTCCAGGAAGCTCCCCGGGGCATGAAGCCGATGGCACGTCGTGGAGCTTGAGAAGGCGCTGGCCCTTCCCTCAATCCATAGCCTAAGGCCTACGTGGCTTGCCTCGTACATGTGAGTGTTGCTTCACGCGAAGCAGCACTCTTCGCCGCGTTCAACGCAGATCTTGAAGCCCTATACAACCCAAGGGCCCATACTTCAGAACCCTTTGAAGGAGGTAAGGGACCATATCAGGGGCCCGCACAACTACCCTGTAGACCACTGAAAGTCACAGCACAGTATGGGAAGGCAAGCTTTCGGCTCCTCCGCCGGTCGCTTGCGGCCCATCTGGAGCCTGCGTCTTGAGTGTACATCGGGACGAGCGCTTGTTATCTGAAAGGGCAGGGTTTGGGGTTTAAGGTTCATGGTTTAGGGAGTTTGGGGTTTAGGGTTTAGGCTTTGTGGGGCTTAGGGTATTAGGGGTTCAGAGTTGAGGATCTACTGCTTAGGGCTTAGGGACATGCTGAGAAGCCGCCTCTCCACCTGCGCAGCTCAACTCCTGACCTTCCTAGTCATCCTCACTCTTGACTATTCTGCTATCTTGGGATGTTCCCCCTTCTGCTAACAGTCCTCAATAAGGAATATCATCGGCCTACTCAGGACTGTTAGCGTAAGGGAAAAAATGCCAACAGATGTCGCTGGTGAACACAAAGCGATACGAGCACAAAGGAAAAGAGCGCACACTTGGACCAAACATCGGGCTTTTTTGTATTCAGGGCATTGCCCCCCAAAATAGGGCACCCCTTGTGTAGCCCAAACCTACTACCGGTACAACCCTGATTATCGGAATGCCCCGCCCCCCCCCCCCCCCCCCCCCGCCGGCCCTAAACCCTAAACCCTCAACCCCTCATAGCCCCAAACTGAACCATTCAGGCGGCGCACTCGATGGACTTCTGTAGCCGAAGCTTTCGGAGCTGCTTGAAATCATCTGGGCTTAGGACCTCCCAGTGCTGGCAAGGTGGGGTTTAGGGTTTTGGGTTTAGGGTTTAGGGGTTTAGGGTTTAGGGTTTGGGGTGTAGGTTTTAGGATGTTTAGGATACTTAGGATGAAAAGTGCGGACTCCGCCAAGATGAATGTTTGCTGGCGCGTTGGGATGCAGAGACACTGTTCAGGGAGTTGCATAAGTCAGCTTGGCACACTCCCAGGGGCAACCACACCCACACAGTCTACAAGGTTCTTGTGATGTATTGAGCACACAACTGTGGAAGGTTCCACTGCCACTTGCGAATGCAATCAAGTCATCACAGGGCGACGCACGCACCTTCTCGGTCATCAGATCTTTCCTTATGTCGGCATGAGCCAGAGAAACACAATTTTTCAATGCTGGGCAAGACCAAAGTGTCTTCTGGCCGCCGTGTACGACCAAGGTCGCGGCGCATCTTTGGCAGTCCCGTCATCTACCTTACCGAAAGCGTCAAGACTGCTTATGATCGGCGTTTGAAAGGCCCAAATGCAGAAGCCGCTCTCAGACTTGCAAATGCTGAAGGGAAATGGCAGGGAGGCGTTTTGAGACCCTAAACCCTAAACCCTAAACCCTATCAGTGATGCCTTGTGCTTCTTGGATGCCAAGAGCTCCAGGCCTTCGATCTTCTCCGATGCCTCGTAGAATTCTGACTTTAGGCTATGCCGACAGGCCCGGGTTTAGGGTTTAGGGTTTAGGGTTTATGGTTTGGGGTTTAGGGTTTAGGGTTTAGGGTTGCACGTGCCTGAAGCTCACCGAATTGCGGAGTTTGCACCTCCCCTCTACCTCGGGCAAGGGTGTGCTTTCTTGTGTGCCGGCGAAAAGTGGCGACTCACGGCCTTTACAAGCTTGTTCGTGTGTTGGTTTGTCGGTGGGTTAATTATAATTAATTAATAATTAATTATTAATTAATTAATAATTAATTAATTATTAGTTTATAATTAATTAATAATTAGTTAATAATTAATTAATAATTAATTATTAATTAATAATTAATTATTAATTAATAATTAATTACTAATTAAAGTTTATAATTAATTAATAATTAGTTAATAATTAATTAATAATTAATTATTAATTAATAATTAATTATAGTATTATAATATTAATTACGAATTAATAATTATTAATGACTTCTTAATAATTAATAATAATAATTAATTAAATTAATAATAGAATTAATAACTAATTAGTAATTAATAATATTTAATTAATACTTACATTAATAATTATAATTAATAATTTAAGAATATGAACTAATTATTAATTATTATTTATATATTAATATTAATTATGATTAATTAATTATTAATTAATTTATTAATGAAGAATTAATTAATAATTACTGAATAGTAATTAATAATTACATTAATATATTAATTAATTATAATTAATCAAAATAATTAATTAATTCATAATTAATTAATTATTAATTATTAATTAATAATTAATTAATTAATTATTAATTAATTATTAATTAATAATTAATTACTAATTAATAAGTAATTAATAATTAATTAATTAGTAATTAATTATTAGTTAATAATTAATTAATAATTAATTAATAAGTAACAATTAATTAATAATTAATTAATAATTAATTAATATGTTTCTGTGTCCGTGGTGCCCCGGCTTCCTGTGATGCATTCGGGCCGAAGGGGCCCAAAGCCGCAGCACAAAACAAGCAGTCTTTGCAGCTTCTTCCCCGACCCTTCCCCCGCGCCGTAAGCATACACCACCTGTTAAACACCCAGGTCACCGTGCACACCCTGCCACTGAGGGCCGTGCTGACAGCCATCGTCGCTTCTCTGCCACGCAGAGAACGGTGCAGGAGCTGAGGATGAAGCCTGTGATCGGAGTGGCGAGAATCCTGCTGTGTGAGCTCTTTGACCCTTGAAACCGAAAAGTTCCTGTCGCGGCCGCACTTGCCGACACTTCGTGTATCTCTGCAATCGGTGGAACCTTGGTGCTCCTGTCCTTCCCAGAATTCTACATCGTTGTTGCTTGGGGCTTTGGGTTGGGGTGTTGGGTGTGCCTGGCCGCGATTTACCACTTCGGTCTCTTTGAGAAGACATCGGACCCCAAGGAGAGTTTCAACATCAGCAGTGTAACTTCCAACTTAACCCCTGCTGTTTCGGGCCTACCAGGGTTTCGGCTTCAAGCCTTGAACGCCATGAGAACGGAACCCAAGCGAAGCCACAAAAGCTCGAGGGTCCGAAACGGAAGGTACTCGTACTTGCTTGTTAGTATATTTATCTGCCATATCATATCTGCCGAATGCCAGGTGCACTCTTTGAATGCCCCTCCCAGTCATCTGGGGGCAGAACTCACGGTAGGTGTTGATGAGACTCTTAACCTCTGCAAGCATGTCAGCAAACCGTACAGATGCGTGAGCATGGCTTGCACACAGTAAGAGGTAAAATTCGAAATCACAAAGGTCGAACATGGTCGAGTGATGTAACTTCGGGTCAAGTTGCTGCCATCGACACGCCTGGCGCGCGCGTCTAGGCTCTCAAACCACGCCCACACATGCTTACAATCAAATCTCCAGGTCTTATGTTGGAATTCCTCTGGTATTCTCCAACTCAATACAATGACTCACCTGCTCCCAGCACTCGTTGAGCAGAACGGCAAGCCAAAAACACTTCGACCATGAAAGGCCTTTGTTCTTGTGCTTGCGGAAGCTGCAAAGATCTGCCAGCCTCACGCAGCAGCTTACGGCGAACAAGTGGGCTACGTCTCTTGAACAGCTGCATGAACGTGTTGTCCCACTGCTGCCAGTTCAGAGTCTGCTCTGGATAATAAGGGCGCTGCTCCTCTTCTGTCAATATGTTGATGGACCTGTTGCAATCGATTGAAGCTTCGCATGCAGCGGAGCGGCCATGACCAATGCAAAATGGAAAGCTTTTGTTACATCATACTCGAACATGGTGCGGCTGGAAGGTGCGTGAAAGGAACATCCAGCCTGGCACATACCTCTCGGATTGTGTTCAGGCCTGAGAAAGACTGCTTACGGCTCCCTGGTCACTGGCCACAGCAGAGATTCTCAGCAACACTTTTGTGTCCAGTTTGGATAAGGTTGCCGCCAACTTCAATCACCTCGGGAGAATTGGCCTCTGTCACGAAGTAGCGAACCTTGTGCAACTTGTGCGGCATCGAAAAAACCAAAAACACGTAGTTCGTGTAGCCACTATCAGTGTGGTCAGGCAAGCAAGCCGCTATGTGCAAGATCACCGGTCGAACATCGTCCTGGCAACGAATCCACGACATGAGGGTGCACAACTGCTGGCAAGCTCAAGGAAAAAGGAAGATCTGGAAGAAATGTGCCAGCCCGGCGGGTGGAACAGCCGGATGCGATGCCTCTACGAGCATCTACCAGCACATGTGACAGCGAACTGAGCTGCGCATCAACTGCTGGAAACCCTAACCCCTAAATCCTAAACCCTGAAACCCCAAACCCTGAACAGCACTGCCAACACCCAGCTTGTGCACATGCTCGAGACCCTAAGCTCATATCAGCACCTCCACCAGTGCAGCCATCACTTTGGTCACCTCCTTCTGCGTTGGGACCTCTGTCGATGGCCAAGTCAAGCTCCAACAGGCTTAGGATGCTTTGGGGTTATTGAGGGTTTAAACTTGAGGTTTTCCAGGCTTTAGGCTTATATTAGGTTTATATTAGGCTTATATTAGGCTTATATCAGGCTTATACTTGGTTAGGTCTCAGTATCTGCACCGCACTGCCTTGAAGGCTGAAACTGAAACGACAGATTGCCCGTGGTCGCAGCATGACATCACAATCTTCGCAAGAGCCTGAGATGTTGGCCAGATACTTCTGCAAGAACCTCCGCGACTCATGGGAGGCGCTTCATGGGGCTCATTCCCAAGATGTTCTTGAAACAATGCAGAACAACTCTTAATCCCTGTTCCCCTAGGAAGAAAAAAGGATCCTTTTTGCTGATATATAAGAAAGCCCATAACCCAAAAAGTAAAAAGGATCCCTAACACTGATCCAGAACTGTGGCTGTGCTCGGCCGGCTTTAGTATAGAGGTTTTCTAGCTGACCAGAGGCAACTGTTCCGGACAGTCCATTGAACATTCTCTTGCAGGGGCGGCCATTGCTGAGACTTGAGACCGGGGCGCTACTGGAAGCAGGAGCACGGGGCGCGGACAGGGAGAGGTTACATAATCAGAATGAAAATCTGAAATTAAGAATAATAGAATAAAGAAAAAACTTACGCGCACACACACACACACACATAAGAACTTTTTTTGGTTGCACGATATGTTTCTACTATAACGACTATATAGATGTATAGGCTATTAGGTATATATATATATATACACACACACGCACACTTATGCATGCACGATTGCATGGCATGATTTTACTCTATGATTCGGTCGTGGTGCATAGACTAGGTAATATATGTGCTGCTTTGTAGCATATCTTCCAGACTGAAGCCCAATGAACGGCAAATTTCACGCTTCACTTTGTTCATTGTAACTCCCCTTGCATTTTTGGCTTTCAGTGGTTCGCAAGCCTAGACCCTAAACCCTAAACCCTAAACCCACGGTATTAAATATGCTTGCTACTTTGGGACCTGCATCAGCGGTCGAACTCACGGTCAGACACTTTCCACACGGGGAGGTCAGTTCTGAACCACAGCGAAGTCAAACAGGGATGTTTAGGGTTTAGGGTTTAGGGTTCAGGGTTCAGGGTTCAGTGTAGCTGCCCGGAGTCCCAACGCGACAGCGCCATGATTGATGCAGAAAACACCCACAGCTGCCGCGAGCGGAAGCTTGTAGAGTAGCAGTACCAACAACTCTTGCTCTCCCATTCCGCCCTGGCATTGTTAGAGAGAATGTGGGGGTTTACTACCCGGGGTGTACGATACTAGGGGTACCTTATTGGGGTCCTTATTATAAGGGGATCCTATTATTTGGGATCCATATTGGGGTCCCTTTATTTTGGTGAACCCCCAGGTGGCTCTCCGAGACGGTGCCAAGGGGCGGATACAAGTTCAACACCTGAAGCTGGTGCCGCCCAATCAGCCTGACGCAAACAGGAACAAATCTTGGGTTTAGGGTTTAGGGTTTAGGGTTTAGGGTTTAGGGTTTAGGGTTTAGGGTTTAGGGTTTAGGGTTTAGGGTTTAGGGTTTAGGGTTTAGGGATGTTCCCCCTTATACTCACAGCTCATTATAGTAACTACCCCCATTCTAATCCCTTTTATCCCTCTAAACGACTGTTGGTAAAAGGGGTTCAAATCCCTATAATCCCTTTTAAGGACGGTTAGTATAAGGGGGAACATCCCAAAACAAATCCTCAATTCTTGTACAGCATGGAGAACTGCCAGGCTGCTTCATCTTCGGATTGCAGACTCGGGCCCAGAACCCTAAACCCTCAACCCTAAACCCTAAACCCTCAACCCTCAACCCTAAACCCTAAACCGTAAACCCTAAGGCCTGGCAACGAGGTGCAGCATCAGCAGGCGGAAGAGGAAGGGCTCGCCGCCCTTGCCAGAGGAGAGATGAAGGGAGGGCTCGGCTTGAAACACTCGGTTTGCCCTCTTCCTCGGCTTACTTGCCGCCTTGCGTGAGATTCTCAAGTGGGATATGCTCATCGACAGTGGCAGGGGCTTCAGCCGCCCACCTTGCTCAACCGCTGCAGCAGCTTTTCGGCAAGCGTCTGCGGATCGTTGAGTAGATCCTGGGAACATCTGCAGGCTTTTGCTCCGTTCTCTACTTTAAATACAAGGGGGGCGCGGCATGACCGGGATCCGAGGAAGGGACCACCATGTAGAGAGCTCACCCTAAACCCTACACCCTAAACCCTATATAAACCCTAAACCCTAAACGCTAAACCCCCTTCAACTTTTGGCTTTAGACACAGCAATTTGAGGAACTCTAAGCCTCCAGCAATAGCGACGAAGTTCACGACCGTGCTGTCCTTTCTAGCGTTTTTCCTCGCCTGCGAGGAGGAATGGACTCACAAATCGAAGGGTAGCTTTATGGTCTCTTAGTATGGGCCCTGAAAAGGGTATACCCTATTCAAATTAAGGGCCCAGACATCAGACCCCTTTTTTAATGAGGTAAGGGCCCATACTGAGGGCCAACGAAACTTCCCTTAGAACAAAGGCCTTTTGGAGTGCGTTATGGTTTGCCGGTGCCAGTGTAAGGCCCCTGCCGCCTTTTTTGCTGCCTGGGGTGGGACTTCACCACGACAAACACGACATTCACACCAGTGTATCATCCGCTTGTAAACCACACGCTTGAACAAGCCATGCATCCAAGGCACTTTCTTCGCTCGTTTGAGTCTCTTCACGCGATTGCCCGTCTTCTTGGCACCCACGATGCCCGTGACGGCCTGCGCGCAACTCTGACAATTCTGCAGCTCAGGCTTAAGGCGTTGATTGCAAGCTTTCGGCTCAGATCCGCATTTTGCCTCGTTGATGTTCTCATCCTCTTCTTCATCCTCACTCTCATCGAGGATGCCTTCGAGTCCCTGCGATTGGCCGACACCATCCGGTATGCAGCACAGAAAGCCATGACGTCAGCATCTGGAGCAGGAAAGTGCTCAGTTAAACGGCCTTGGTTTTGTTGCCCAGGAAGAGATGTGCCAAAGCCTCGGGACGATCGTGCTTGAAATCTGTGGCCAGTGCCATCAAGGCGATGACTGTGGCCCCAAGCATCACTCAAAAAGTCGAGGTTCCTACAGCCGCGATCTTCAAATCAGGATGCAGCAGCCCCGCACCTGCGCTTGGCCATGCAAGCCATACAGTACAGCTCTGTAACAAGGCTCCCCTGATGAAAGCTTCTGAAACACTTTCTTTACTGGCTGCGGGCAAATCCGGGAGAGCATTGCTTGCGAGAGCCACAACAGCCGCTCAGAGATATTGGGACCACAAACCTAACCTTATCCTAACCTTAACCTTAAACCCTAAACCGTATACCCTAAACCCTAATCAGCTTTGTCGAAATCTGGGGCTCGCAGCTAATGAGGTTGGCAACGTGCGAGTCGCACCAGACCTCAGTGCCCATGCCGGGCTTAGCGGTTTAGGGTTTATGGTTTAGGGAGCAAGATGGTGGTTTCCGAAATTAGGGGTACCTTGTTTGGATCCTTCTGATGAGGGAATCCTACTATTTGGGGGTCTATCTTGCGGGCCGCCTCTTTTCGTAAAATGCTGCTGCTAAGAGCTGAGATTCCGGCATTTTGGCGGTACCTGAGCTGTCACTGAACTTCTGGATGTGGAATCAAGAGAGATCAAACGTCCGACAGAATCGGCTTTTCTGAGTGAGACCATGCCATGTAGCTTGGGGTTTCATGTAGCATGGGGTCCCAAGAAACATTTTCAATTGCACCGTGCCCTTGGCAACGTCTGTCAATCTCACAACCAAAACATCTGGCTAGAGACCCCCACCACCTTTGCATAGCCGGCGCGGTCAAGGTGAGATTGCGGCTGTGACGACCGCCCACCGTTTCTGCACCGTGTTCCCCTCCTCTCCTTACATCCCTGTTGCTGCCCAGCTTCATGGTGATGAAAACGGCACACGCATGCCGACACACCTGCCAAGCAGTAAGCAGGGTCTCGCACCGGTGGTGTGCACAGCTCAACCTGGACGTCTAAAATGCTTATCATGGGAGCGTACGACAGAGCCCTCTTGACCTCGTGGCCCGGGCGCCTCTGCTTCGGTCTCCTTTAGCCGCGCGAAGAAGAAGTCGCGCAGCTCGAAATTGACCTGAGGATGGAAATGTCGCTGGCTGAACCAAGGCAAAAACCCAGGCTAACCCAACGCTGCACACGGCATGGCATCACCCAAGATCAGGCTGTGACCTTCTGATTCTTAGACTTCTGATTCATGTGCGCGATGTCTCGCACGATATGGGTGAAAATGCTCTTGCGCAAGGCTTTGTCCTGCACTGCGAAGAGACGTGAGACGCTCCAACAGCAAAGGAAGGGGGAAGAAGCTAGACTCATGTTGCCGCTACTTTTGGCCTGCGATTTGAAGAGCTTGAAGTAGACCGGCAATGTCTTGCTGCATGCAAACCTGCAAAAAATCAAGACGTGGGCACCCTAAAACCTAAACCCTAAACCCTAAACCCTAAACCCACAACCGGCCATGGCCACGCTGAGCGTTGGGCTGGTTCCGATTGCGAAGCAGAATCAATGCCTGGCTCATTACAACCCCACGAAGATGACTTCGGGGGCTCATAAGTGCCATGATACTTGGGGTAGCTACAGGTTTACAGGTGCCTTGAACCTCCGAGTATCCTCTGAGGCCGCTTGAGAGCAGGATTCACTTGGTGGCTGCCACGCCTGCACTAGCGTGGTCCGCATGCTGCCGTGCATGACCTCGAAATGCTCGTTCAAAGCACCTGAGACGACGAGGTCGATTTGAAACGCCTGTCATTGAAGCGCGATGCTCACAAGCTGCCCCAAGCACTCAGATCTCCGCTGATCAAGAGATCTGGAAAGGCCTCAAAAAACAGGGGCCACGTGCGAGCAACCTCGACTGGCTGCAAGGAAAGCAGAGACCCGTCCCTCAAGCTTGAGGTCGTGCCTTTGCCCGGTTCGGAAAGCTTGGAGCCACGTGCGCTAGGAACATGACCTGCAACATCCCACTTCTGGTGTGTTATTTAGGGGTTCGAATAAGTACTAATAGTATTCCCTAGTGGTCCCTTCATTTTTCTATGATAACCCCAAAACCGCTGGGAATACGAGTGCTTTTCGCAGCGTTGGTTTCCAGACGCACTCCGACATCTGAAGCTTCCCCACCTGTGAGTTTACGAAAATAGGGGACCCCAAAATAGATCCCAAATACTAGGATCCCCTTATAGCAAGGACCCCAATAAGGTACTGTAGCCCTAATATCGTAAACCCCCAAACCTAACCCTAAACCCTAAACCCCCTGAACCCCTGAACCGTAAACCCCCGCATGGGCTCTCTGCCGGGCCTGTTCTGCAAAAGAGCTGGAGGGCTTCTGCGGCTTCAGCTTGAAGATCTCCATCTGGCTGTCGAAGTGTGACCTTCCCAGGAAAGGAGGGTTTAGGGTTTAGGGTTTAGGGTTTAGGGTTTAGGGTTTAGGGTTTAGGGTTTAGGGTTTAGGGTTTAACGGTTTAGGGTTCAGGGTTCAGGGTTGAGGGTTGAGGGTTGAGGGTTTAGGGTTTTAGCGTGTACTACGACTCTGAACCGATCAGGAGGTCAGGCCCATGCCACTGCTGGTCGAACTCCACGCTGTACGCCTTGAAAGTGCTCGCTATGCAGCTGTAAGATAGCGGTAATTCGGCTGTAATCTCGGACCCTTCCCACCTCCGGGTCCCGCTTCATCAGGTTTTGCAGCTGTGGCAGGGACATGACACGCTCCTTCTCCTCACCATTTCAAAACACACACAGCATGTGACAAGAGAGACCGAGCAAAGGTCTGGAAGATCGGAGAGGGCGGTCTAACAGTTGTGGTACTTGACCTCGCAGTCTACCGCGCCTTGTCCTCATCAAGACTGGCTACAGCCGCGACAGCAGCCATTGCGCCGGCAGCACCTGCAAACACCTCGTGCAAGCCAGCAGATTTTTTTGCCGCAGACATGCAATATGCACATGCCACGCAACCATGCAGTCCGAGTTCAGCACAGGGGTGCCAGCGTCTTATCGGCTGAGCAGCAGCTCGCAAATCTGTTTGGCTTGTCAGCTCTGCTGTTGGCAAGTGTGGCAAGTGGTATGTAGCTTGCAGGGCACGATGTCGGGACGAAGGTGTATGGTCAAAGAGACTGCCGTTAAGCTAGTCTGGTCGTGCTGACTGATTGTTCAGCGTGACCCACATGTTGATCGAAGCAAGTAGCACTGCTGGCTGCAGTCCCACTGAAGACTTGGTCAACAAATCTACCTCCCGCAGTGGTGAGCAACGTGGAGCAGGTGCGCAGTAGCAATCTGCACCGAAGCATGTGGTGCCAGCCACAAGATGAAAAGTGTGTGTGTGTGATCTTGCAGCATCGCTACCACCGAGTTCACACCGGACGCGCTTGGCTTTTGGATCCTCTTCAACATCGGCGTGTGCTGGCGGCAGCAGCGTACACACGATGCCACTGTAGAGCTTCTGGGAGTTGACGCTCGGCATCTGCTGCTGCTCGACGTAGCAGTGGAAGCCAGCCTCGAGAACAAGGAGCTTTCTGTGCCAAAACGAAAGAGAGGTGCAGCTCAACTCTCGAAGCACGGCAGTCTTTGAACGTCTGTTAGTTTTCGAGCTTACGGTTCCGTGTCCGCTCTGGGCTTCTGAAGGGGGCGCACATTGCCGAGGAGGAACCCCATGCTTAGGGTTGCCTGAACGAAAAGCATTATCCTTGTCCTTTCCTTCCTCGTTTCAACACTTGAAAGGTTTAAGGTGGTATCTCAGCTCGTGCGTCTCCCGTCTGGGGGTCTGGGCTTGACATGCCTCGGCCCTAAGTCCGCTTTGATTTCACAATCTGACTGTGGAAACCCTCCACAAGATCAGTGAGCTGGATTGAGATTCCAATGTTCGACGACGGAGCACACTCCATTCTCCCAGCTGCTTGGGTGGAGAAACGGCGCGCACCAGGCTAGCTACGGAAGACTACGGAAGCAGATCAGCAAACAGAGAAATGTTTGCGACGCGGTGGCGCATGCCGAGCTTATCCAGCGGACAAAATGCGAACCCTACTGGGCCCTATCGACCCTGAAGCTGACTCTGTTCCCGACCTGCCTCGCTTAAATGGCCCTCGTGGACGCGAGAGCAGCGTGTCCACGCGGCAGCCAGTGCTTTGACCTCTTCACACCAGTGTCCTATGAGATGCTGCCACACCCGTCGAGCCATCGAGCATGTCCCTTCATGATTGAGCGGAGGCACCATCTTTCCAATGGCCTCTTTCCCCATGCACCGGACGACGACAAGCTCCTTCAAACAGCCCGCTGTAAGACAGGCTCCGTCCAGGAATCTTAATTCGGGCATTCAAGGCTGACAAACAGTGCCATAAGAAATTGGATGTACAAGTCTTGCGGTGTTGTGATTTTGGTCGGGGCCACGCATGAAAGCCACAAAACCAATCCAAAACAGGTACAATTCTGCTCTTCGCCGAAGCACGCCGATTCCAACAGAGGATTGTTGGAAGCGTGACTCGATCAGGCCGCTCAAGCGTCTCAGATCCGTTTCTCCCCGCACACTCACCTTGGAGAGCACCGAGATGTCTTCAGTATTCTGGGACTCTCACTTATGCGAACAGACTGGCAAATTCGTCTTAGCGGCAACGTCTGGTACATCCGTCTCCGCAAGGTTCCGCCGCACCTCTGCAGCATCCCTGGCATGCAGCAGCAGCTGCATCAAGCGGCGAAGGTGCACGTGATCCTCAACTCACATGCACAGTTGCGGGGACGGCTGCCGTTGCAGCTGCAAGTGGAACTTGGCATCACTCTTGTTGCAAGGCTCCAACCTTGCCAGGCTCCTGGTATCGGAACACGCGAACTGAAGGCACGAAGGCCACGCGTTGAGGCGCCGCCGCTTTTGCCTGTCGCCTGCCGAGTGCCATTAATTTGCCGTGCAGCCGGGTGCGGCCGCCCCCCCCCCCCCCCCCCTGTGTTCAACAGTCATAGTGGACTCACAGAGAGAACTTCGAGTACCTGTTGCACAAGGCCAGAGCATTCAAAGCCACGATCAGGGAGTCATCGGTTTCAGCCTGCGGTGGCATCTCCAAAGCTGAGGAAAGGTCAGGAACGTCACAAGAGGCTCCTACTGAGTCCTACTGGGCCTCCAAGATGAGCCGACCCTTGCTCGACTGCAGAGAACGGCTGTGTTTTGCAAGGCTCCTGCGAAGCAGCGAAGTCGGCATCTGACAAACACGCATTGCGTTTAAGGTACGTTCAAGACATTGTCACTGCACGCTGTGCCGAAGAATGTTGACTTGAACCCGAAGTCCTGCCACTTGGCCAACAGACATCTTTTGCTGATTCGCACGACCCGCTTCGTCGAAAGGTACAGCACCGGCAACGACGGCGAGCCTGGCTTCTTCAGTCGGCTTTGAAGTCAGAAGTCAGAGAGCGGAAGAGCGGAGCGCAAGTTTTAAGCGAGGTTGCAACAAATACCAAGCCCAACCGCCACCCGGCGCCTGTTCAGCCAAGAACGGGGTTTGCCAGTCCGGAGGGAATCGGGGGAAGAGCAAGGTTCGGCAACATGGCCTAAAGAAACCAATGCGTCACGGCTATGTAGTCAAGCTTCCCAAAAGCTGCAGATTGAGCCATGTTTGAAAGGTCCCCCGGGCGGAAAGCGAGGGTCAGGCATAGTGCCAATGCGCGACAGCTCTACCATGGCAAAAAGTAAAGAAGTTGCATTCTGGGGCTTGCTTCGGCTCAAACACCAAAACGCTCCGGAGGGAGGAAGGGGCGGAAGGGAAGGCCGCGGGGGGAAGGCCTTCACACCACATAGGCGCCCCAAGTTAGAGCCGAAGGGTACAAGAACGACCGCCAGAGCTCCGATGGAGCAACCTAAAACCTAAACCCTAAACCCTAAACCCCGGCCTTCAGCCTGGTGCCGCTGCATCGCTGGCTCGGCAAGGTGCCTGTCATGGAGCAGCAGCTCATCTTCGCTACGGTTTAGGGTTCAGGGTTTGGGGACTAGGGTTTAGGGTTTTTGGGGTTTAGGCAGGGTTTAGGGGCTTAGGGTTTAGGGTTTAGGGTTTAGGGTTTAGGCTGCAAAATGGAAACTATTCAACCTTAATACCCCACCCCCCAAGCCCCCCTAAACTTCGTCTCTGCCTGCGCTGTGTGAGCGCCACACAGCTGCTGTGGAGCTGCCTGGCATGAGCTCTGAGACATGGTTGGAGGCGAGAATCAAGAAGAAACTCATAGTGAGATCGCTGGACCAGCAAGGTAGCTCAAGGTCTTGGCCTCTGAGATGTGGTTTCCGAACTTATAGGGTACCTTACAGGGCCTT